ACTAACTAACCCTAACCCTAACTAACCCTAACTAACCCTAACTAACCCTAACCCTAACTAACCCTAACCCTAACTAACCCTAACTAACCCTAACTAACCCTAACTAACCCTAACTAAACCCCTAACCCTAACTAACCCTAACTAACCCTAACTAACCCTAACTAACCCTAACCGTATAGCAACACTAGGCCCTGGCTTTCAGACGGGGTGCTGACGCCGAAAACGGGATAGTAGAACGATGCATAGCAGCAAACACCAACCAGGATCTGCCACGGGATCTCAACGACGATGCGGGACAGCACAAACACTTGCCAAGAATAGACCCGGGACGGCTTCTCGCGGACCTCGTACAGAGACCGCTGCACGACGAATTTTGGCATTATCTGGTTGACGAGAGTCGAAAAGATTGTACAGAGCAAGAAGATGCTGAAGAGTGAGTTTTGAAAGCCCTGAATGGAGAAGTTCGTTTTCCAAAAGGAGAAACCGATGAAAAGACTCGTCACAACACCCAGCAGGAACTTGGAGTAAATATAGCCAGGCTGGCGGTAGTACTGCTGGAAGGCACGCACGATAACGTGCCGGAATTGAGCAAAGAACGGCTGCGCAAACTCGCCCTCCAAGTTCTTCTGCGCGGAATTATCACCGTCGTCGGGCCTGTCAGCGAGCCGGTGCAGACGGCCCAGCTCGGCCAGCACCTCTGTGTGCTCGAGGCTGTTGTTCCAGCACTGGACAAAGTCAATTCCCTCTGCACCGTCACCAGAGACCATGGATAGAATGTATTCAGCGGGGTTCTCGCCATCACCACACGGCCGGGCACCGCAGCGTACGAAGTATTCACGCAGAATCGTGGACTGTGGCCCAATATCGCCAAAGTAGACTGTGCGGCCGCCCTTGGCGAGAAAGAGAAGCCGATCAAAGGTCTGGAAGAGCAAGGCGCTGGGCTGGTGGATTGTTGCCAGAATGGCCTGTCCGTTGTCGACCAACTTTCGGAGAAAGGTGCAGATCGTCCAAGAACTTTGCGAGTCGAGACCGCTGGTGGGCTCATCCAGGAAGATCAAGAGGGTGGGCTTTGCTGCTAGCTCAACACCGATGCTGAGTAGTTTGCGCTGCTCGACGTTTAAGCCCTCGCCCAAGGAGCCCACAACCGCCTCGGCAAAGTCCTCCATGGCGAGCATTTGGATTACGTCTTCGACACATGCAAACTTCTCGGCCTCGGTAACGGAGCGTGGCTGGCGCAAGACAGCGCTGAAACGGAGTGCCTCGCGTACGGTCGTGGTCTCCAGATGAAGATCCTGTTGTTGAACATATCCCGTCCGACGAGGAAAGTTTGAAGTGGGGATCTTGCCGTTGATCAGAATGTCGCCTCGCACGACACCAATAGACACTCGCTGTGCCAACACATCCAAGAGGGTTGTCTTGCCTGCACCCGAGACACCCATCAACGCTGTTAGGGTTCCAGGCTTGACCCACCCGTTGACATCGTCCAATAGCCGTCGAGTGCCCTCCTTGACGGGAATGTCATACTGAAGGCCCTTCCACATAAGAATATCTTTTTGCACGGACAGATGGTCGCGGTTGACAGTTGGGGATTCGGTGCTCGCCGCCAGGACATTGGGCCGGTCCGGCGCGACGGACTCGGCATCATTGCCGGTGTGATGGCCACGGAGTGCTGCTGGAGCGTGGCCGGGACGGAAAACAAGCGCCTCCGCCTTTGATTCGTCACTCTTGTTTAGTTCTGTTGCAATCATAAAAAACACGTGGAAGGCGATCAGGAATCCGATCATAATACCAAGATTGCGCCAGACATGCGAGTATGTGTACCCGTAGTTGAGCTCCAGGAATCGATCGCCAGACACTTCTCTCTGGCCAGGCACGGCCCCCACAGCACCACAGATGAACGCGTCACCAGTGCCGTATACTGGGACAAGCGCCGTCTGGGTACAGGGGAATGACCGTCCGTGGAACTCGTTGCTCATGAGGGCCTCGAAGGCGTAGTAGATGGGGTTGAGCCAGCGCAGCCAGGAGAACCAGGGGTGCATGTACGTCTGTGGGAGCGTGAAACCAGTGTAGATCATGATGGTGATGACCACGATGCCTGCCAAACCCATGGCCTGGCCAACTGACTTTGTAGCCGCCGCTAGGCTGCGGAATATGCCGGACATGGTGAATATGGCAATGGTGAGAAACAGGTAGAATATGAAGAACGGACCGGGTTCCCGGCGAAGGTTGGCCATGAAGTAAAGGATGATGCTGAACATGGAGCAGCGAAACAGCTTGATGGGCGCGTCGCTAATTACACCTGCGATAGACTCTGTGTAAGGATGCACAAATGCGTACCGGAGCTGCTTTTGCACAATCGGTCGCTGGTCGTAGAGCTGCAGGATCTCGTTCACTGTGATGAGCGCGTTCATTAACACAGCAAAGAAGAGGACGGCGCCCTTCTGGAAGAAGGAGCTTGTGTCATTGGGCGAATTGTAAAAGACAGAGCCAATAATGAGTGCCAGGACAATCTGGATGACAACGGTGGTGAGCGTCGCCGGCAGATCGTTGCGCATGCGCTGGAAGGCACGTTTCACACACAGACGGATCTGCATCCACACAGACAACAGGTAGGGACTGGCAGGACGCGTGTGTCGGGCTTGCTGCTCCTTGTGGTTCTCGTGGAAGGCTTGTGAGCCCTCACCGTCTACGGGGTACTCTTGGTGATGTGCGGCGACCTCCTGAAGCACGGTCCGGCGCTCGGGGCTGCTCTTCCAAACCTCAGCAAACTCGGCGGCTGTGCGAGGCACTTTTGTCGCCATACCCCCACGCGGCTTGCGTTCGGCTGGGTTGGTGATGGCCGTGAGAAAATCGGGGGAGACCTGCTGCGGGTTGCGGTGCCAGCCCATGTCGACAAAATACTCGACCGCTCGGTCGCACGACCCGTAGTAGATCTCGTGGCCCTCATACAGCAGCACCACCTTGTCGAATTCGTCGTACATGGGCTGCGACGCCTGGTACGCTGCCACCGCGTGACAGGTGTTGCCGAGGTCTGCCGATAGCCGAAGCGACTTGACAAACTGCAGTGCCGACGCAGAGTCCAGACCGCGCGTGCTGTTATCCCAGGCGCCGATGCGAGTACGAGACAGGAACATCTCGGCGATACTGACGCGCTTGCGCTCGCCACCGCTGACACCGCGCACGAAATTGTTCCCCACTTTGGTGTTGATCGTGTGCGACAGGCCAAACACGGCCATGACCACCTTAACAATGGTCTCGACGTAATCTTCCCGCGTAACGCCAGACGGACGTTTTTGGGGAGCACGGGCCGAGGCTGCAAAGGACAGCGTCTCACCCACTGTCAGATGCGGGAAGTGCTCGTCAATCTCCTGGTTGTAGGCCACCTCTCCACGGTAGTGCTGGAACATGTGTTGGTAGCTGACACCACGGAACTGCACGTTGCTGCTGGGCTCCATGGTTAGCCCGCCCAAGTGACCACATATGGATTTGAGAAATGTCGAGCACCCACTTCCGGGGCGGCCAAGGACAAGGAGCAGCTCACCGCTCTCCAGTGTACCGTCGAAGTCGCGCAAGATACGCGTGCGGTGTATGGCACGGCGCCGGCCCGGAAGGACACTGGCCAGCATACGGAGCGGAGTAAGGAGCGTGGTGGCCACTGTCTGCTGGAACCGGAGTGAGGCGCCGGAGCCAGACACGCAGAGGTCCGAGAATGCCACGCCCTGCTCGGGAATCTGGATACCCTGGCGATTCAGAGTCTGCAGTACCGTCTGTGCCCAGCGATAGTGGTCGAAGTCGGGCTTCGAAGGGTCCAGCCGCGGGTCCGACTTCTGCAGTCCGTCACCTTCCAGCGTCCCATGCCGTGACTGGAGGTTTGTGGCGATGTGGGAGATGGTGCCGAGCTCGAGTGTGTTATCATATTCGTATTCCGGCTCGTCAATTTCCCTTGTCGGGCTGCGTGGCCCGTCCACGGCCGTGTAGGGAAGATACAGTGGGGCGGCCATGGTGGTCGTTTTTGTTGCGATGGTAGTCAGCGGTAGACGTCAATGTGGCGTGTTGTATATTGGCTATGACGGCAGGCGAGGGGGGATGGAAGACGAGGAGATGGATAAGGCTCATGCGTTTACGCAGATACTCAGTTGATATGAAAAAGAATAGCGCAGGCCGAATTCCTTTACGAATAGTGAAGTACAAATACACTCCACTCTTCTTTGTTTTTGAGTTGTCGGCCATGGAATGTCCGCCGGGCTCGTAGAATGTGGTGAGCCAGCAGAACCCCGTGTTGGTTATGAGTGTCTTTGCTGGATATATGGTCGGCCTTGTGTAGTGTTTGTCTTCCGAGAAAATGTGCCTGCTCTCAAGCTATCCATTGTTCGCATTGTCCTTGTGTGTCCTTGTACTTTGAAATCACCTAGCTCTACATTTTGCTTTGGGGTTTTTGTCTCTGTGAACGATTCGGGTTGACGGGTACGTGTCTCAGCCCGATATCGTCATGATTTTGTGTTAACTCGCCCTTTTAGCGTGGCGTCGCTGAGTGATCGTCTTGGAGGTCGAAAGGGCCACTTGCCTGGGCCCAACGTCGCTCACTGTTATCCCCTGTCACCCCGCTAACCATCGCGGCGTGACGTAAACTAAGAAATCGCCGTCATATGAAAGCAGCTCTAGTGATTGTCAAGACCTGGGGAACTTGTCTTCATGGGGAGAAGGAGATTTCCCATGCTCTTTTTGTCATTGTCCCTCTTTTTATCTCGTTTTTATTTCTCCCTCCACCCCTTGTAAGAAGAACGGGTGGACAATTACGGATATGGCACAAAATTATGGCGGATTTCATTCTTTATCGCCCGTAAAAGCGGTCGCCCGCGGAGAATTCCAGGGAAAGGGGCGTATACTCTGAAAGAATGTATGACAGTGGCGCCCTCGGCGCCTACGTAAAGGCATTCGGCATGCAATGGCACTTCCCATCGCTTTTTAAGGCGCAAGCAGCAGTCACACAAGGGGCAACGACATTCTCACAGACACGGTATGAGATTACAAAAACAGCAGCGTCCCGACGTATCTCTCATACAAATTCGAAAACAGGTGTTTGTTGATACGAAACTCTAGCGAATACAGAAGGGGAATTGCGCATAAATAGCGGGTGGACAGGGAGGTGAGGAAATGTACTTGCCTCCTTTCAAGAGAATGCCACTGCTCAGAACGGAGTACGACTACTCACTGCGTAATTACACTCGCGGTTCTGCAGCTAGCTAGCTGTGGACTGGAGAAAACCACCGGAGTCTAGCGTCCGTTCAGCTGACGTGAATAGCTGGATTCGTATTGGCAACAAATAGCAAAACTCAAATCTGGAGAAATAGAAGCATTGAGAGCATCTACTATAAAAAAATAAAATAAAATATAAAACTAAATTAATATAGTATATTAACATAAAAAAGAAAGAAAAGGAACGAACGCGTTAAAAACGTACTACGTAAAATGTGTCTGAGCGAAGGTTGTTGTATTTGATTTGTATTATGCCCTGCGACTACTTTAGTTGGGAAACATATCTACCTGCAACCGGGCTGCACAAGTTTAGCCAGTAGACCCTGTAATTCACTGCAAAAATCAAGCACCGGCTTCCTGGCTCCTGACTATGTGAGTTGCATTTCACCGAACACCCAAGGCCTCGTGCCGCTACCATTGGCCTTGGAACACCACAGGCCAGGCCACCATATATTGGATGCAGGATGCCAAGCCGGGACCTTCCCCGAGCTAGCTAAAAAGCCGCGCCGCGTTGCACCGGAATTGAAGAAATTCTGCCTTGTAAGATGATATGCACAAGATCACTACAACGCACGCCAGACCCATGTAATGTCGACCCTTTTTACACGTGCAGTGTCAAGATTCACAGTTCAATGCATGAAATGCCTCCACAACACCCGAGAACAATGCCGGTCACCGGGACGTGGGCGTCCTTATTTTCGCTTTCCTTTCTTATTTCGACTACCGACTTGGCAAATGATATCTTAGCCAGGAAATTCAACCCGCCGGGATGACGACGACGCACGTGCATCGTGAGCTTCGATGTATATAATAGAAGCCCTTTATCCGCGTATCATAGTTAGTCGATGCCGTGAACGATATAGGGCAGACATTGCACGCCCTCGATCTGCCATACACTGCCCTGCGGCACTGCATCAATCATGTTTTCACTTTCTGTTTCCTCAACTGTGCCACTCGTCATTTTTGGCGGCGTCAAGCTTGCAGCCGCGGCCACTAGTGGATCCTTCAGCATCCTGTCGATGAATGTTGCCGGCCTGCCTGCGATTCTCCAAAGCAACGATGTCCCCGGCGATAAGGCGACCAATGCCGGCACCATTGGTTCGGATTTTGCCAAGTACGGTTATGATGTCATCAACGTCCAGGAGGTGCGTACTTGCTTGCTGACCCAGCTATGTTTCATACTCCCATTCTCCTGTTAACGCGGCCGGTCAGGACTTCAACTACCATGCGTATATCTATGCCACAGACAACCACACGTACCGCACTGCCACGTCCGGTGGTGCAGGCATTGGATCCGGGCTGAACACGCTGGGAAATTTCAACTGGATTGACTTCAATCGTATCGGATGGAACGACTGTTCGGATGCGTCTGGCTCCGACTGTCTCACTCCGAAGGGCTTCACATTCATGCGCACCGTTGTCGACAGTGGTGTGTACATTGACATGTACAACGTCCACACCGACGCAGGTACTGAGATGGCCGACGAGGCCGCGCGAAACTCCAACTTGGCTCAGGTGGCCTTGTACATCGACACATGGAGTGCTGGCAATGCGGTAATTGTATTTGGCGACACCAACAGCCGCTACACTCGCACTGCTGACAACATTGGTATTTTTATCAGCCAAAATGGCCTCAACGATGCATGGTTGCAGCTGGAGCGCGGCGGTGTCGTGCCCACGGTGGAGAGCCTGTGCGACAATCCCAGTACCACCAACAACTGCGAGACCGTGGACAAGGTCTTTTACCGGGGCAGCGCCGTTGTGCAGCTGTCAGCTTCATACTTTAACTACGAAAGCACCAAATTTGTGCAGTCAAACGGCGACATTCTCTCTGACCACAACCCCATCACGGTGGACTTCAACTGGAAGCTCTCCAGCACGCTTCGCCAGTCTGACTTCTGGGGCGGGCCGCACGGCAACTGGTTCTCTGACTTGGCCACGCTCAGCAGCAAATCGTCGCCAAAAGTGTCGCTTCTCACGTTCCGTGGCGCGTCCCGTCTCGACTCGGTTGGGCTGACACTCACGGACGGAACCTCGTTTGTGCATGGCGGGACCGGCGGCACGCAGGTGCAGCTGTCCCTCGGTGTCTCTGAATTCTGGACAAGCGCCGAACTGTGTCAAGGCCAAAAGGACAACCACACGCGCAATTTTTACATCAAGGCGACCACGAGTGCTGGGAGGACTCTCACTGCGGGCACTTCGACCAGTGACTGTACTACTTTCACGGTACCTTCCGGATGGCAAATTGTAGGCTATCTAGGACAGAGCGACGACGAGATGGACCAGCTGGGGTTTATTTTTGCTCCGCAGTAGTAAAGTGAGAAGAAAGTGTGAGCACATTATGTGCAGAATGCGGGGCATTTATTTTTTGTTGTTCGATGCGTCGTCCTGGGAGGGAACCAGTAGTCTCGGAGCGTGACGTCTCCCTTCTGTTATCCGATATTACAGCTTAAAGCGAGAGAGCGCTGTTGTTGCCGTCACTTTTGCCTGGCGCGGGCCACCGCTTTCTGGCGATCGTTGCAGCGAGGGGTTTGTCCATTCGAAGTACTTTGTACCTGCAGTTGTAATTCTCTCCCGTCTCTTTGGCGGAGCAGCACATCAATGCTCAACAGTCTCCGAACGATTAGCGTCTTTTATTTTACTGAATGGGCCTGATTTTGGTACGCTGCTCCAGCAGCCGGCTTGGACAGCGTATGTAGAATAAAAAACAGAGGTTCCCATTTCTCGTCTCCGTAAGAATTGTCCTGCGGTTGAACAGTTCTTCTTGCCGGAGTGTTTCTTTTGCTAGAGCTGGGTACCTCCTGGAGTATTAAGTTAGGGCGGCAGAGAGTGCGTGGTTCTGTTCTGTTTTCCTGTGTTTTCCTTTTCCTTTTCTTTTCGTAGGGTACACTGGGCAATTAGCCAGTGTCCGATCGGCCGCGACCACCAGACCTACGGCCAATTTACCCCTTTTTCAAATATAGCTTAAGTTTTTCTTCCTTTTTTTCTTAAGCATCATCGATAGCAACAAGACCAGATTGATCAATTGACATTCATTATCCTACCTTTCGAGAAACAAAATTCCGAGGAGCGCTTCGGTCCCTGCCCGAAATGCCCGCCCGGCCACGACCACACGACATCCCGTTCCTTATTCGACACATCTTACTGTTTCTTTCTATCCCGATCAGACCACCTCCATCACCGAATCTTCGATACTCCTCCTTCCGGTTGTGAAATACACTTCTAGTGGATGTTTTCTGACCATTGGCGTGAGCCCATGGTCACGTGAGGATGCAACCGACTTGAGATGTGTTGTTGTTTGGTTGTTGTTGTTGTTGTTGTTGTGTGAGCCGTCGGCTAGGCGAGAGCCACGAATTTGTTCCTTTAAGTACATTTTACTTGCAAAGTTACTCTTATTAGCTTGTATCTGTATTTGTATATATACACATATATATATGTGTCTGCGGAACTATGGAGGAGACAAGTATGAGAAGACGAACACAGGACCGCGTACAACGAGGAAAAGAAATTTTCTGGAAAAGGAGGCGTGACTAGATTCACTGGAAATCCCAAGTTTCATAATTAAGGCTGCCACTGGCAATTTCCACCATAGGCCCCATTAGACAATTGAATTGCCAGTGCCTTTCTCAGATTCCAAAGTAACTCCCACCGCCTCGAACTTGGTTTCTTGGAATCTTCTAGCTGGAACCCTTTTCTCGAAGAGCTGGTCGATCTCCGTAAAAGTTCTGTCTTTGGTCTCGGGGATAGACCAGTAAGAGCACACCAAGCCCAGGAAACAGAGTCCGCCCCAGAAGAAGGATGATTTTGCCCCCCAGTTCCAGGCTGTCGAGCTAACCTGGTATGTGCCCAGAATGCTCAAAGGAGTGTTGATGATTGAATAGACGATGCGACCAACGGCGAGCGTCTTGCTTCTCAGTAGAGCTGAGGGGATTTCTGTGCCAAGGATGAAGACGATCGGGATGACACCGACATAACATATAAAGCCGTTGACGACGAGAAGAGCTGCGACTCCCCATGACAAGGAGCTCTTACTTGCGCCTTGCGGAATCCCAAGTCCACCCATGACAATATAAATAACGGTGAGCACAGCCAGACTCCAGATATAGAGTGTTCGCCGACCAACGTAAGGCAATACAAACCACTGTATCATGATGAGCTTACGTTAGTAAAAAATCTTTCCAGCGTCTATTGGTGATGGCTTATAAAGAAAACCTACCAACACTATAGTTCCCGCCAGACTGAGCATGTAGACGATGATAGACATGTTGTAGGACCAGTCGTCGGCCAAGCCAGCTTGTTCAAAAAAGTAGGTTGCATAGGAGCGCAGCGTCGAACCACCAATGATTTGCGAACAATACAAGGCGACGACAAGGATTGTTCGACGAAGATCAGGCCCTTTGAAACAGGCCATCCACGTAGTACTAGAGTTGACTATGCGTTCATGTTCCGTTGTTAGAACCATCAGAGCCACAGTCTTGTCGATGTTGAAGTTGGCGGCTTCTGCCGATGAGAGTCGCCCCAGAGATTTCTTTGCTTCGTCGAGTCGATGGTGGCGTACATACCACCAAGGCGATTCTGGCGCAAAGAGCAACGCGACAACTGCAGGGATAGGCCAAAGCCATCTGTTCAATGCCAGTCAGTGTTTCTGCGTCTGTGTTATAATGGTGAAGTATTGAAACCTACTGGATAGCGTAGGGAATGCGATATGCCCAGGGAGCCTCCGCATCTAGACAAGCGCGATACACGACGGTACATAAGGTTTGTCCGACAACCTGCCAGTTTGTCAGATTAGTCATTCAAAACTAAAAACGGAGAGGAAGTAGAGCAAGTGTTGGCATGACTTACCCACATCTGGCTCACAAAGCTCGTCAAGAATGGCCTCAGACACATTGGTGCAACCTCGGCAGCATATGCGAGTGTGGTGGTCTCCAATATACCGAGCGGGATGGCTATATTTTCAATGCGAGACGCAAGACGTCAACAAATAGTCGAATCGGCCGCCAAGTTTCAGTCGAAGGAAACTTACACATTAACAGTTGCGCAATTATAAGTACTTCAAGATTTGGCGCGAAGAACTGCATAAAAACGAGTGGGGGGATGGAAACCATGGCGATCATTAGAGTCTTGCGGAAGCCATAGCGATCGGAAAGGAAGCCAGCGAAATATAGGCCGACCAGCACTCCTACGGTTGAGATATTGTTGAGTCCGGATTGCCACGCGGCAGAAATTGCGTACTTGCCGTTCGCCTGAAGCGTACCGTATGCCTTTTGGAATGCTGGCTGAGAATAAGCGTTTGACGTGGTGTGGAAGTTATAGCCGTCCATAACACAAGTGGCAGACAGTGCTAGACTCCAGGCGACAGCCTTTGGGAAGAGTTTGGCAGCTTGCCTAATGGTCATTTCATGCTCCCACACATTGGCCTCAGCAGCGTCGGTCAGAAACTCTGTTTGGGAGATCTGGACTTCCGCCGCTTGCTTTGACTCCTTGGACGAATCCATATTCGATGCCACGAGTCAGAAATGATGAAGATATGTAAAATGGTAACCTTGAGAGAAATTGCTTGTCATCGCAAGTTGGTCTTTCGTAAATATCCTGGGAGGAATATAAATATATAATTCCCTGATCACATCCAAATCCCTGTTCAGAACAGATTTTATGTCAACCTTTACTCGTGCCACAATCCACGTGTTTAGATTTCGCCTTGCAGCACCAGCTACGCGTATTCATTGTTCTATAAAATAAAAACACTAAAGTTTTGTTCAAAATACCGCATATAATTAACAAGTTGTACCATTTGAACGTGGGCTGTCAGCACTAACTGACAAGCCAATGACGGGGATCGTTGCTTCCGATGAGTCTCCACTTGTGCCGACTCACCGTGATTCAAGACGAAAGATGTGTGGGCGTGCCAAACCAAAGCGTGCCAGGGTTTGCCGACAAGACCCACTACAAGCGAGAAGCAAGCACACAAGGTTTAAGGCACAAGTGCCTCAAGTTTGATTAAACTGAGCTGAGCAAGCAGCCACAAAGTCTGCAGTCATTGTTTACGACTTCACACAAATCTACTGATATATCGATACTTTGGCCATACGGTGTAGACCTGTTCTGCTCACAGTAATCATTGTTATTGCATCCCCGTGAAAGCTTCCACTCTTTCCCTACAATTCAACCCGTTCCACCTTTACACCAATTGCAGACCGGAAACAGAAAAGATGAATCGGCTTAGAATGACGCCGCAGACGGCTCGGATCGCTGGGCATCGTGGCTACAGCGCCGCCGCCCCAGAGAACACTCTGGCGGCTTTCCGCATGGCACGCGACGTAGGCGGTAAGGGTGTCACTTGTGAGACCGATCTCGCACTGACCAAAGACGGGGAGATGGTCCTGATCCACGACAAGACGGTAGACCGAACAACCAACGGTCGCGGCCTGGTCAGGAACATGACCTATTCAGAAATCGCTCAGCTTGACGCCGGTAGCTGGTTTGACGAGGCATTTGCGGGCGAGCGAATTCCTCGGTTAAGGGAAGCGTTAGATCTTGCGGAAGAACTTGATATCATCTACCAACTCGAGCTCAAGATTTACGATCAGGACAACATCATCTTCTCGAAGCTGAGGGAAATGATTGACGAATTGAACTGTTCACATCGATTGCAGTTCTCCTCCTTCGACTTCGTTCAGCTCAAAGCTGTAAAGGAGGCCATTCCCGAAGTTCCTACAGTCGGCCTGTCACATTCCCGACTAATTGAACCAGGTGCCGTTGCACTGGAAGCCAACATGGATGCAATGAATCTGGAGATCCAGCATTTCGCAAGTGGCGAAGCCCACCAGCTCCATAGGGATGGCATTGCGGTATTCTTACATGTTCCACGCCCTGAGCTCCTTCAAAGCCTCAAGACGTACGGCGTGGATGTGGAGGCCCAGGTCGTCAGTTGGGTTCGTGAAGGATGGTTAGATCATATAATTAGTGATGATGTCGCACAGATGGCGAGGATTATGGATCAGATTCGTTAATAAAAGACATAAGTAGAGGGCACAGATGAGAGAGATTTGCCTGGAGGCTGCAAGAGAATTCGATTTTAAACGTCAATACACCTTCATTCCGTTTTAAGAAGGGAAGTTGTCAAAAACAGCGGATTCATTGTTGTATGATGTAAAAGAAAGCGTAGTATTCGAGAGACAATGGAAGAGGGAGACAGACAGAGGCGCCAGCGTTGGCTGGCGGGCTACATAGCCCCCTAAGGGAAGGCCCATAGACCCCCAAAACACTGCTAATCTGTTGTAAAAAGGAGACCCATTCCTTTACCTAGGGCCCAATAAAATGTCGAGCCATGGGTCCAAATTCCCCTCCTCAACAGGCCTCTTCTTCGGCAATAAGCCTAGTTTATATACTACACTACGCCCTATTCGTTTTAACGCTGGTTTTTAAGCCCCGGATGTCGCTAAAGGGGCCCGTGAGTGTCTATTTCGGCCGGCATCTTTACCTGTCAATGCCCACCTCTACCCCCAAATACAAAATGCGTACTGATGTCACGATAACTGCAGCTAAATCCAAAACCTCCATCGATTCGAATACCGCCATCATTACCCCCTGGGCACTGCACCGCTGATGAGCTCCTCAACGGCTATGGATGAAACAACGCCAACACATTCTTCGGCGCCTGCGGATTCTTCGTCACATGCGAAGTCCATGGTGGCTTTGGGTCCGACTATCCTTCCCGGCGAAATTGAAAGAACCTCAGACCTACGGCACGAAAACGACGTATCTGGACCAAATAAAAGGTATTATCGCGTTCGTACTGGTTGCCTCGTTTGCAGAACCAGAAAAGTGAAATGCGGCGAGCAACGGCCAAGCTGCGACAACTGTATCAAGTCGAAAAGGACTTGCATCTACAAACCGCCAGCTGCGCGAAGATGGTTTTCACGCTCAACTACGATGAACAACCAAAGAGACACGACCCACCCACAAGACCTCAACGGCACACTTCTTCTTCCTGCCCCAGACACGGAGCAGGAAGAAGAATCACCTGCCCACGGGCAGCATTCTTTGATCCGAAGCCCATTTGACTTTCTCCCACCTTCGGAAACTATCATCCCTGGCGAGGCCATGCAGTCCCATGATCTACAACATCCGGGAGAACTACAGTCAGACGTTCAACCTGCCGCCGTCCCGTCCCCTGTGCAGCAGCCGGATATCTGGACTAGCATTCAACCACATATGCAGCAAAACGACAGTGTTTCAGGTTCTGTTCAGACCTGCGCTACCTTTGATTGCCAAGGGGTTTACGATTCCTGCCTAGGAAGTAGCGATTTGGCAGATTCACCCACAGATTCTCTCTCTTCTCGTCACGGAAAGACTTCACACCTGATCTGCTTGACTGTGGGTGTGGACAAGGCTGCAGTTACCGCAAGACCCACGGAATCTTCATTTTCCTACTTCACTGAAGAAGTGGACTGCCCTTTTGTTTCACCTTTTGACACAATGAACTGGGCAACCATCAAAACTCATATTGCCGAACTGGGTAAAAGAGAGGTTCTGGTGGCTATGTCCATCGATGCCGTCGAGTCTTTGTACAGGGCCTTGACGCATCGGTTACCTATCACATACGCAATGTCTACCTACAATACCGTTCTTGTCATTTTTCCGTCTTCATGCGGCAACAACCAGGTTGATTTTGATGTCATCCTAATTATTGCTTTCCTACTTTGCTTGTTTAAGCTCACCCTTCCGAATGAGGACGGTCCTACCGTCTCTATATTACGCGGTGTTTTCACGACAAGACTAGAGGCTTGGCTGCTAGAAGACCACCAATCGTCGATATCCTTGCGAATTGGTACCTGGTTACAGTTCCTAGATACGGTTTCCAAGCGTGGAGGCTGTAAACAACTGTTACCCGAGCCGATTTTCGATCTTTTATCTGACAATGTCATTGTGCCTAATATTCCAGCGCTGGACAAGATGTCTCCTGAAGACGCTTTATACGTCAGCGTCAGTGCACCTGTTTTCGAATTTTACTCGAAACTCCAGAGAATCTCCAACCGGGTTGCGGACGTAACTCACTACCATAGATCGCGATTCACTCCCACAGACCAGGCAGAAGCAGCAGAAATACTGTCCGGTTTGACAGCAGATCTGCATTCCCTGTGGGATGTGCGACCGGGCTTGTTGCGACTACAATCAGCCGATATATGTCGAAACTTCTCGTCCAGGATTGCACAACCTCTTGTTGCGTGCATTGGAGTTTGCCTAGCGAGCTACTTTGTCGAGTTTGTCGTCATCGGGCGAATACTTGGGGATCCCCTGTTTGCATCACCCAAAGCCAAACAAGCCATGAACGATATACGGGATATTGTTGATGGTGGTTGGAATGTCTTGAACAAGAAGGAGGGGCTCAACCCGGGATACCTTCGGCCGCTGTTTTACTATGGCGTCGAGAGCTTCGATGAAGAGAAGACGACGTGGGCGGCGGACCGACTCCGACAGATCAACAACCCCATCAGCAGAGGGGCTTTTTTTGCGTCATTTGTTAAGCTGCATGGAGAAGCACAAAGGAGTCAAAAACGAAGAGTGACGTTGAAATACTTTTGCTATCAGAATTATCACATTCCTCCCCCTTTTATGTAACAAGTAATAAAGACGGGAACTATTCTCACCCTTGTGCCTCCTCTAAAATTCGCGTCATCTCCGCAAGCATGGTTTGGTGGATGTCCCTCTTGGCAGCAATGAGACCTCTATTCTTGCTGAGATCCCTCCCTGCCCCGAAATCCATCTCCTTCCCGTCCAGGTCCGTTACTTTGCCGCCAAGCTCCGTGAAAATCAGCTGCGCACCCGCGTGGTCCCAAATGTACATCTTGGTTGCGGGACTGGTGGGCACGAGAAATTGCACGTCGCCACCGCCAACGATGAGAGCTGCATACCGAATATGCGAAGACCAGACTTCCGTGCAGGGAAACTCCACCTGGAAAATGTCGGCAAGTTGAGCAATTACATCATGACGATGGGTCGTGGCTGCGGCGCAGTCCACAATATGTAGCCTATGTAAGCTGGAAGCAGTCAAAATGTCTAGAGGAATGGCGTCCCTCAGTCCGCTGGGCGTCATTGTCCGAATGGTCGCGCCAGAGCTTCGTACAGCGGTGAGCATAATGCCTAAACCACCCGTGTCAACATTTGCCTCGGAAATTTGGCTCATGTCAGCACTGATGTTCGGACAACCCAGCACGCCAACGACCTCCTTTCCGTTTTCGATCAGAGCCAAAGAAACAGCGTATTGTTGGCCCTTCAGGAAGGCTGCCGTCCCATCAACAGGGTCCATGACCCAAAATCGCTCAGACTTGCTTCCAACTCCGCATCCGCCGAGGTCGATCAAATCCCACATCTCTTCGACCGATTGTGGCTTTGGTAGTGTCACTGCTTCTCCGGTGGATAGATCTGCAATGTCCGCTGCCGACAGCACCAAGTCGTAGATCTCCCTGCTAAGAGCTTCATCGCTTCGTAAAACAGCTGCGTTTTCCTCTCCCAAAAACTTATCGTCCGGGAAGCTGTCGTGGAGCGCTTTGATCAGAAGTGCTTGCGCTGCGAAGTCGGCAATGGTGACAGGCGAATTGTCATATTTTGAGATTTCGTTCACGGTAGATTGCATACGTTTTGTCACCAACGCTGCTCTCAAGACAGCTAATTCCGCAACATGCCGCTCTTGTGCGTAGGGTGCCATCTTTCGGGCGGTGAGTTTTACGAATTGCATTGTCGAGAAGATGGTTGTTGTATTTTTTTTTGGCAGAACGCAACATCGGCGCTTTAAATCAATAGCAAGTATGTGTGGCTAACATACTCTGAGATTCGTGTGCGTATTAATAAGCTAGAGACAAAGGCGACTGTGCTGCTTACTCTCGGTTAACTAAGGAGTCATTTCGCGTAAAGCAGGATGGTTGATAGCTTATACATTATTAGGAGAAGGAATCGCATTTTTCCAGCACTCGGCAAATGAACAGATCCAAAAGCAGCTATTCGCTTGGCTGTCGCACAAATATGTCGTATATCATGTTGATCTATTGTCATTCCTCAGCCGGTGTCCACTTCAATCCGGGGCCCCACTTGAAGCGAGAGACAGTTGTTGTTGCGACCTCGGGAGCTCGGCGATTATGGGCCTGGAAGTAGGACCCAGTGCGGTCAGAAACGGCAGAATACGTGACCAGCACCGCAGGATGGCTAGCACGTCAGGATGGCCAGTATACGAGAGTGTACTTCGTACCAGTAAATGGGATAGAGAGGCGCCGGGGTGCACTGAATCCAAAGGGCTCGTCTGTGCGCTGCTTACTCATTATCTGCCTACATAATCCATTTACGTCGCTCCGCCTTCATCTTTGTCCTCCTATGCATATGTTACGATTATATCCCCCACGAGGCCCGAAAGAAGGACCCAAGACGGTCAGGAATGGCAGAATACGTGGCCAGCACGCCAGCATGGCTCCTCAACCCGTTTCACCACCAGCAACAAACCCACTAACACGCGACAGAGCCTACGAAAAGAATCAAAGCACTGCTACAAAATGCCGGCGAGAAGAAGAAAGTGAAGAGAGGGAAAGAAGTCAGGAGTACAAGAGAGAGACATCGAAAAAGAAGGGCTGTATTTATATGTGGCCGTCAAAAGTTGCGAGGACCGATCCAATTAAGTAACCAGGTACGTTCGTACAGCCCCATATTTCCCGATTAGGAAGGCCACCAACTACGGCGGCTACAACAGTGTGTTCTCCTTTACATACACAACTACTCACAAACGTACAATCATCTACTTCCTATTCCCACTCGTAAACGTGGTTTTCGGTGGCTGATATAATTTTCTGATATATTTCATATCAATTTTGCCAACTACATATATCAAAAAGCGTTCATTGAGACACTCCGAGCTGGTCAATGGTGTTGTGATTTTACATTTTTGTGGCGAATCATGTTACCCGGCGTTTATTTTTTTATTTTTTTATTTTTTAAGAAAAAGAATACATTTCACATATGCGCTTCTCTTTTTATGTCATATTTGTGTTTCTTTTAATCCGAATTAAAAGTTGAAATCTCAAAATTACGCAATCAAATCGAAATTTTATGTACATTCCCGTTTAAGAATTATAAACTATTTGAATGATTGTGTCTACGGACAATCAGGACTCCATTCCATTCTATGACATAATATCACTTTTGGACCCACAGCGGTCAGACGGCGTCTGGCGCTCATGTGGCCATGGTGCGAAATCGGTACTTGTTTGGGATCGGCCCGAGCACTCACGCAATGCATATCTTCTGGGATCCGGTGATGCTGAATATGATACCGCTGGCAATCATCCAATTAATATTTTTAGCCGTGGCTCGAACACTAGAGCCGACGGACGGCACCGGCGCCAAAAACGAAAAACAAGCGACGCCCTGAGATATCTGAGAGAAGACCGCCGACCGAAATATGACAGCTGCACCAAAATTCCATCTAATCGTGTATATTGGGTATTTTCCCGTTCTTTATCGACATGGGGCTACGTACAAGATTGCATTACAGGAGTGGTTGGAATTGGGTCTTAATTCGGTGTTAATGTAGGTATTCGCGTTACTTCTTGTTGACATAGCTCGTTGCACAGATGCAAAACAGGGCTTGATAGAAGAAATACGTCGTCCGCGCAGCGACGATTCGGGACATCTACGACCTTGATAGTGTCTTCTGTTATTCGAGTGGTTTTAAGGTACTCTATTTAGTACAATGAGTTTACTGGCCTGATCATTAGTGGGCCAGGCTAATCTCGTTATACTAAGTCGGGAGTACGAGATTCTACCCCGTTTTTATAGATATGTTACCCTTCTGATAAAAAAACGTGCAGGGGAAAAAGTCAATACATTAAATGAGCTTGGTACATGGTCATCATTGAAGGTAAGCTGTCGTTATCGAGCGCACACATTTTTGGCTACTGTGTCCGGTGGAAGCTGTCACCGGAACCAAGAGAGCATATCTCATAAACGAATCTGACTCCCCAAAGACGGTCTTGAAATGATACTACTCCAGACGAGCAGACCTTCACCACACACCTGTCACAGAGCCAGTAACATTATACATTGTATGAAAATGCTGTTATAACTGAGCTTGCCTTTCACGCACTCGGTTGCTTGGCCACATCATCCTCTGCCAGGTCGACCTTCCGGTACGTAATCACAGTGACCGGACCCACAAGACCGTACTCAGCGTTCCCTGGGGGCTTCGTGTCTGAGCCAAATAGGCCTGTGGGCGGGGCTCCGCTGGTGCGCAGCGAGTCCCAGATGAGAGACAGACGGTTGGCTAATGTGGTTGATACAACCACGCGAACCGTGTTGCGTTCACCGGCCACCAGGTAAGAAGTAATGTCTAATCGCGCGTGTGTCAGTATGTCGAATGGTGCAAGGGCATGACCGTTGACGGATACCGTCATAGTATGAATCACTATGCCCAGTGACAGAATAGCACCGTTTGAATACCGCTCTGTACTATTGGCGGGAGGCCACTGAAACGTGGTCTCGTAGTATCCTCGTCCTGAGACGCGCTCCAGGCCGGGGATATGCTGCCAAGACACGAGGCTGTCGAGATGGTGTGTTGAGTTCCAGCGCGACGCATCAGCAGAAATATTGGCCAGCGGTGTCGGAGGGTCCCAATGTTCTACGACAAGCGTCCAGTTGTCGAGGGAAAATGGCGCGACCGACACAGCGGGCACGTTGTGGATGACACCATCCGACGTGCGTATCCACTCAGAATGCGTAGACGTAGACGAGCCTACGATCGCACACAGCCCGCCTGCCGCCTGCCGCACGTCTAAGACCCCGGCTGATGTGGCCGTTGCGTGGAATGCGTGCCTTTCGTCGCTGTGAAATCCGAAAATGACTGCTTGATGTGGCCCAAGTGTAAGAGGAACGGTGATGGTGGTTCCCTGTCGGCTGTAGATACCTATGGGCGTGATGGTACCACTCCAGGCATCATAGCGATACGGCCGGCCGGTCGATTGGAACTCGATTGTGCCGGCGCTATTCTCTTCGCCATCGTGGTAGATGAATGCGTACTGTGCATGCCCATCGGCCGTCTCTCGCCATACAGGCCACCACTTTGTTGTGGATGTCGACGCACGAATCCGGGTGCGCGGCTTAATGCCGACCGATGCCATCACTTCGCTCAAGCCATCCTCATGTGGCACATGGTGCACATTGTCGAGGTGCTGCAGTGCCCTCAACGTGTGATTGACATAAGCGTGGCCGGCTGGGTCATGATGTCCGCCGAGATATGACGGGATTTCACCGGCGAAGATGACGGGTAGACCCGAGCGGGCGTGCTTGGCGAGCATGTCGGCGCCTTGTACAGTTAATACGTCACTCCCGCGGACGATCAATGCCTTATATGCCTGCTTCATGGGAGCCAGAACACCTTTTTGCACCACAGCATCTCGACCCTGCAGTATCTCCGGATCCAGGTAACCATATGTGTATCCCGCCTTGAGGAGATCTTCAGGCTCATAGCCAGTTAAAGGCCGCGCGTAGGTTGTGCGCTTCTGGTAAAAGGCCACGTCCATCTTGCTGGCACCCTGCTGCAATATGTACATGGCGCGCGACAAGTAGTCAAAGTGATCACGGATGAAGTCCCAAGCTGGTTGATGGCGGCCGAGCATGTCAGACCAAGCGTACGTAAAGGCGGCATAACCGGGCCACGTGGTGTTTGGATACTGAAAAATCATTAGCTACTGCCTCTCAACCGAATATTTCTTGATGCGGGGGTGTTGGGACCGTAACATACCTCTCCTGAGTACGGATAGCCGTGTAGCACCACAGCATTGACGCCACCTGCAAGCAACCGATGGATAAGTTGCAGCAACTGCGGCATAGTCATCTGGTATGCCTGTCCCAGCACAGCTCCGACTTCGGCTGATATGATCTTCTTTCCCGACATGTAGGCAGGGGAAGAAAACTGGCGGTAGGCGTCAATGTTGCTTCCAAATGCGAGATCCTCGCACTCGGGTATGTCTGCTTTTCCGATCAATGATTGCTGGGAGAGTTAGTCTCCTCTTGTTACCAAGCCAGGTAGCGGATGTTGCGATGAGCGTATCGTACCATGTCGACGGCCATGTTATAGCCAATTTGAGAAGACCAGTCGACGTTCAAGTACGTCCTGGACCACGTGCGGAGCGCGTCGAGGTACTCTCCGTACCCTTCGGTGAGCTACTTCCGTCAGAACAAACAAGATCTTTCGGCAAGGAACACACACGAGGGATAGTAAGACACTAACTATTGTCCGGTAATCAGCGACATGGCTGTGCCCAGCATCTGGCTCGTCGGTGACAAACCAAACGTTAAAGTGGTCGAGGAGGCTGTTTTCGTGAAAGAGCAGGGGATAGTACTTGTTTATTGTGTATCCCCAACGCCGCGCAAACGCCGTCGGCAACTCCGGCGTCCAATAGACATTCGGATTGATCTCGATGCTGTCCTCCCATGCACACCGGGTCACCTGCCGCAACCGTTCGCGTGTACCGTTGATCAGCAGGTGCTTCTCCCAAAAGTCGGTCATGACGCGGGCACCGCGCGCAGAGAAGTGGTCCACTGTCCACGACCCGTTATGGACATAGTCAGTTGGTGTTGTCTGCGGCCCAGCCACGACGGACGGTGGGTGTTGGGCGCGTGCGCCAGAACGGATCAGATATACTGCATATACGAGGTGTTGCTGCTGACTCATGTCGGCCGGGCCGGAGGGTGTAAAGTCGACATCAAGCCATCCATTTGTGCCGACCTGCGGCGTCAAATCTTCGAGACTGCGCTCCGCCAGCGTGTGCTGCGTCATAACTGGCTGAGTATGCCCATCCGCGGAGAAAGACGCACTACCCAGAACAGTCGTCGTGTTGGTGATCAGCCCCGTGACGACTGCCTGCAGCACGCCTGCCCCCCAGCCGGGCACAGTGCCGTGGAATGAGCCGCCGGCGGCCACGATGACATGGTGTGGCGCTAGATCCCACATGAGACCGGTATCGTTCTCGTGTGCCGGTACGCCTTGGCCTTGGTTCGGACCCATGGCAAAATCCAGTAAGAGTCCATGGTCGTCGTGTGCTCGAATGGCTGTGTCGAGGACATTTTCTATCAGGAGTCAGCAGCTGGCACGCCGATAGGCATGGGAAGTCTCTTAAATATATACTCCAGGCAGGTGTCCCCCAGCCGTATTTGTTCCAGTCAGTGGGGACATAGGTATCCCGCGACGCGCCGTAGAGGTAGAAACCAAGCACTTCAACGCCGGCCGCACCGCGCGAGCCGGCCTGCGAAATGTCGTCGTAAACCTGGTCGAGGTCAACGCAGGCATCAGGGATCCAGTAGCGCAGACGGGGACGGTATGAAACAGCGGGCCTCAAAAAGTCGTGGCGCACAGAGTCGTCCCGTGTGATGCCGGAGAGCGCGTCCTCGGGATGTTGTTGGTTGGGCGCACCCCATTGGTCGAAAAACAACAACCCAGCAAAGGACGGTATCTGTTTGTCAATAACACATTGGACACTGCGTTCCATACCTGATAGTAACGACTTACTCGGATTTTCATGACGGCGTATAAATGAAGGTTTTCCTTCAGCTGCCAATCCGCAAGCACTTTTCTATGTTCATGTTTCTGGGTAAAGCAGCGCACAGACTGGATGACTAAATCCCCGCTTCCCCCGCACGTGAACTTGATCCCGCGCGTCCCGCGCTTTACTGTTTGAGAACATCCGACACAACTTCCACCATTGAAGTGGTCGGCACCTCGAAGAGATAGAGTGGTAATTAAAGTACTTAATGTAGAGTGGCTCAAATTAACAACACTAGAAAAAGAAGAAAAAAGCCCCGAAAGGAACAAAAAGAAAATCAACTCTGCGTCGGCCGGGAATCGAACCCGGGGCCTGTCGAGCTTGCGTCGGATCATGTCACCTGACTTGGCAACGACAGATTTTACCACTAAACCACCGACGCTTGGACTTGTTGTTATGTGGGAAACAGCGTCTCGGCTAAGCTTGTGTAGTGCAGTTCAAACCCCGGAAATGGGAAGCGTCCCCAGGCCAAGCCTAGTACCTAAGACAGGACAACTCCACCAGCGTAGTTGTCTCGTGCGTTCAATTATGAAGAGTACCTGAAAACACATTTATAAGCTCGGCGGTAAACAGCACCCAAAACATCCTAGTTGCCTATTATGTCCCGCAACTCCCGCAGCTCCCGTAACTCCCGCAGCTCCCGCAACTCCCGCAACTCCCGCAACTCCCACATCTTCCGCAGCCGCCACAAATTGCGCTTGCAACAACATTAAAATTTGCGAGCGTCGTACCTACCTATTCGAGGAGCTGTCGAACCGTAGCCTTCGAGCAACATTACCATGTCGGCGAGGAAACGTGCCAGACTGGCCTGCAATCCTTGCCGGGAGCGCAAAAGAAAATGCGATAGCAATACGCCATGCACCTCATGCACAGAATATGGCTACGAGTGTTATTACACAGCTACGGCAACCGTTCCTACCCGGCAGAGAAGGACACGAGCCCCGCATCCTGCGTCACCAAAGCACCTCCAACAACATGTACCCTCACCCGACGGACCAAATCTTGCAGCCGACAGCACGACCGGTGCTGTAAACACAGACCGTTCTGGTCTGGTCCAGCGGTTAGAGGGGAACTCGGGAGCAGCATTCGTCAGAAGACTCGGGTTGAAAATTGATCCAGCCCGCGCGCCAAAACTCAATCTCTTTGGCTGGAATTTGGGAGCTCGGCTGCTATCCACATCGTTTGATGCAATGCAGCCGGCAGTCGTGCTTCCCGTCGTCGAAATTACGTCACTGGAGCATTTCGAAACCCTAGCCCGAGTCTACTTCGAAAAAGTACACATATGCTACGGGTTCTTCGATAAGAGGGCATTCCTTGAGCGGCTTCACCAGCGCTTTCAGCGACAGGCACTCTTGGCGTCTCAACAGCCCAAAGTGTTTGACGGCGTTCTGGCGGGCGTAGCCGCCCTCGGGTGCTTGTTTTCACAGCAAATGGCCACCATGACGGAACTACAGCTTCTCCACACAGCATTTCACGCTTTGAACATGCACAAGCTTGTAGGGCCTCCTTCAATTGACCTCATCAATGGCTGGATATTGCGGACCATTTACTTGCGGTTAACGGACTCGCCCTACACAGTCTGGATATCTAGCTGCACAATGATGCACCTGATCGAGGCGTCGGGATTGCTCGCAGATATCCCTGCTGTTCTACCGCCGAGAGAGCAATGCGATCCAGAACTGGAACAGCGGATGGTAGGTGTAGCACATCACCTAAACGTGTGGACGTCGTTCGATTTGGGTTTATCGCGAGTGGCATATCTGAAGACTGAGCTTTCGCTTCCCCCGTCCCCCATGGGGGATGACGTCACGACAGAGCTTCTGGGACTTCTACCCATGTCAGTCAGCTTAGACCCGGTGCTGCCGACGAATGAGACCGACCTAACTTCGACCTTGTCTAAACTCCTCAACCGGCAACACACGCTGGGGCCTTCCCTGATGGCGCAGTGCAATCTAGTCCTCTGCATTCTCCGGCGGATACATACACAGAATTTGGACATTCCAACAGAGCTCGCCGAGCAGGTTTTGATACTGCTCAAAAAGGGCTTGACATGTGCCCGAACCCTGGTAACGAATGGCACCAGGTGTCGAACGTTCCCTTCCAGACAGTCTGCGTGATTCTAGTCATGGATACGCGCTCTGCCCTCACTATGCTACCAGAGGCTATGCAGACGCTGTATCTCATCGCATCTATCTACGACACGGAACGTATGCGCGAGGCGTGCAGTACAGCCCATCTATTGGTGCGGCTCCATCAGCAGCGGCGGAAAGATGACCTTGCTGTACTTGGCGAGGCCCTCAAAGCACAAAACCAGCACATATGGGCAGAATCATCATCTGCTAGGGTGCCAGTGCAGGCACCGCTACAACTATCGTCGTCGGAACAGGCGCGGCCTGACCCCAGCGCTGATGAGTTTTCCTGGCTGGGGGCGTTGGTCGCAGATCTTCCCGGTCTTCAGAGAGTCGACTTTGAAGAGTTCTTGAATACGGACATGATCGAAAGCATGTCCCTAATAAATGAATCATGGTCGACCCCAGGCCCAACTCGTAGTCATTAAGAAGTACGTATGACCGCAGTAATAAAAGATTAGTTCATTTCTTGTTTCCTATTTTGATGCCGTAGTCTGCAAATTACACGAATTGGCAACGGCTCCACTGATTGATTGACAGGCCCATGCTAGTGCCGGGAAAGTGTGCGGATATTGCGGCATCACGCTCGTAGCCCGAAGCCCTTATTAGACCTCTGCCATCGAAAATTGTGCAAAGACCTGTGACGTCGCAAATGTACATATATTCCTTCTCTTCGCTCAGCCACCGCCTGCAAGAGTTAGAAGACTCACTATAAACCATTTTCAATTCCAACTTTCTGACACAGCCGACTTCCCAGACCCCATACACTAGCCCACGCATATTGCAAAGTATACCTCGTTTCCAACCCAGAGAATGGACACCGGCTCACTGGCCCCCGGGCTGAGCGACAGCAGCCAAATCACCTTCGACCTTCAAAATCTGTCAATGGGTCGTGGCCGGCCCTTTCCACCACCAGTTTCTGACCCTCAGCACTATCTTGTCGATTTTGACCTTCCAGACGACCAGTATCACCCCTATAACTGGAAACGTTCTAAAAGGTACCCAAGGTCGCTCTTTACCTGCTCGTGGCTCAAGGAGCAGAGAGAGAAGAGGAAAGAGAACTACACACGACAGCTAATCGATTACATTTCTACAGAGTCTTTATATCAATTTTAGTATGCTCCGGAACATTCGTTGCCTCTTTCAACAGTGCCGCGTTCGCACCAGCTATCGAAGCAGCAGGGGTGACTTTCGGGGCCAGTACCGAGGTAGCAACTCTGGGTACAACTTTATTTGTATTAGGTTTTGTGGCCGGACCAATACTTTGGGCACCGTTTAGTGAACTTCAAGGAAGAAAGTGGCCACTGACCATTGCATTGGTCGGTGGCGGCATATTCTCCATCGGTGCAGCAGCCTCGAAGGATATTCAGACCCTACTTATCTGCCGCTTTTTTGCTGGCGTGTGTGGCTCAAGTCCCTTTTCTGTTGTGCCCGGCGTCCTCTCAGACCTCTTCGATAACAGTTACCGCGGCGTGGCTATTGCAATTTATGCGCTGACAGTGTTTGAAGGGCCTTTTATGGCACCAATCATTGGTGCATTCATCGTTGCCTCTCCAGAAGTCCTCAGCTGGCGATGGACTCTGTACATTCCAGCCATTCTCAGCCTAATCGTTGGTGGTATTTCAACTGTTTTCTTGCAGGAGACGTATGCCCCATGCCTCCTGGTGAAAAAGGCTGTTCGTCTGCGGAAACTGACGAACAACTGGGGAATTCATGCCCGTCACGAGCGGACTGAGGCAGGGGCACAGGAATTAATCGACAAATACTTTATGCTGCCCCTGAAACTGCTTTTCACGGAGCCTATCGTTTTTCTCGTTTCACTCTACATGTCGATTATTTATGGGATTGTCTATGCCCTTCTCGAAGCTTACCCATATGTCTTCCAGCACGTCTACGGCATGGGAACCGTGGCCAGTTGCCTGCCCTTTCTCGGGCTTTTTTTGGGCGTACTTTTTGCGTGTGCTTTCATCGTCGTACAGCAAACAGAGTATGTCCAACTACTGGCAAAACACGACAATGTACTGCGGCCTGAATGGCCATTGCGGTCCACAATTTTCGGAGCTCCAGTTCTGTCTGTCGGTATCTTCTGGTAAGAAGCTAGAAATATGCCCCGCGAGAGCTGTGCACTGCATCATTACTGATGCCACTATCAACGCTAACGAATTCTTGTCTCTATGTCTTCCGTTTCAGGTTTGGCTGGACTGCCTTCACGTCTTCAATCCACTGGGCTGTCCCCACGGTGGCGGGGGCTTTCATTGGCTTCGGCACACTCTGCGTCTTCCTTCCATGCTTCAATTACCTCATTAATGCATACCTCCCTTTGTATGTCAACGTTTCCACCCAGTGTTTTCATTCCATTCTTTTAGGAATCCAAATCTGCACACAGTGGTTTGTTCGCGTGTGAACAGAAGCGGTAAGATGCTAACGAGTCTTTGTACGCTCCGAAAAGAGCTGCTTCAACAGTTGCTGCAAACGTGATCCTGCGTTCCTTGGTTGCGGCGAGTTTCCCACTCTTTTCCAAACAAATGTTCCAGGCCTTAGGCACGCAATGGGCATGTACACTACTAGGAGGCTTGTCCGTGGTCATGATCCCCATTCCTCTTATATTCCAAGCGTGGGGGCCATGGCTGAGGCAAAAGAGTAAACACTCGAGCCATATTTAAGATATAATGGTATTCGACGATAGCACTTACTAGGTGTATCTCCAATTCGTTTAGTTAGAGTATGTTGTCGCTTTCATCAGAAAATTAATTGAGAAAAGTTTTTGAATAATAAATAAATATTAAATTAGTAGATTGTTTGAACACTTATAACTCGCTTATTCTTGTTACGTTCTACGTTATTTAATAGCCGACCTCGATTAAATTTTTTTTTTGAAACAAATACAGACCTCGATTTATAGTAATTAGACGAATGAAAAAAAAAAAAATTACCAAATCCAATGGAACTTGAAATATCGGAGGTCGTATGTGAGAACCACGGAGCACTATGGCGCTGGCTACGACTGGTATTCAGGTGCCTGCCAATTGCATGGGTATTGTAACAGGCATAGAGTACGGAGTACGTCTGCGGCCAGTTTATTAGGAGGTATCGCGATGTAGGAAAAGACAAGAGTAGAACAAACGATACTATTCGTACGACGCGCCGAACTTAAACAAAGTATCCATGCAGCCACAGCTGGAAATATTGGTCAACATGAGTAGTATACCATCCAACAATGATAGTGAAATAGTGGCTAGACCGTTTGGTAGTAGTTTACTCGAATATGTTACAGAATACATTCGTACCGTTTCCAAGCACCACAGTTGGTTTCAACGGGGTGTAATCCCCCTACCAGTCCCGACTAACCTGGCAGCTAGCGTAGGGACTTTGATTAGCAGGTCGTGAGAAAACGAACCACATTTGCTAGTAATATACAAACCTTCTAGACAGAACGGCGTCGAGCACAAAAATATTTGTAGGAATGGCAATAATTTCTGACAGTTAAGGGGCGTCATCCCCATGGCAAAACATGTGCTTCTGGGATGGTAGTGACAACCCTTTATCACATACAAGATATCAGGCATGAAATAATAGAGGTGAATATCTATGACGGGCACTTATGCCTTTGCTCTGTGAACGCTATGGTGTCGTATGGATGGCTATTGTCGTCGCGTCACGGGCGTTAGCATGATTATTGTAAATATCTACACCGCTGCCCCGGCTTTAAATAACGTCGGATGTCAACGAAGAAGTGTGTAGTTACTAGTTTACGCACGAGATATGACGTTCTCAGGCTTCTCAGGAGAACTGGTTATCAGTGGCAACTGTTACAGCCGATGGTGACAGCCAATGGAGTTTCACATTGAGATAAAAAATGGGCTTTGCGGTTTAGTCTCTTTCACGGAACGTAACCAAATCTACCAGGGGAGTGCGGGTCACGCAGCACATCGTATCACTAGCACTTGACGCACGATTCAGCGGCTCCTGACATAAACTCCAGGGATATGAGACTTTCTAGATTTAAAGATAATTCTATATACGCACCGCCCTTTGCACCTACTGGGAGCCAGTCCCTGCCACGGAATCCACCACTCGCCTAGGCAGGGGTTCTCAACGTTGACCTTTTAAATGTTGGCGGTGGAGGCCAAGCGCCTGCCTTGTAAGGGCAAGAAAATTCATGTTTCCCTGACCCAACCGCGATGCCTTTCTCGTCCCCTGGCTCCTGACTCGCCGCTTGCCATTCGGATGGTAAAACGACAAGTGCCCTGGCGTTGGGAGGAACAACGAGGGTCATATTGAACGTGTCCTTGGCCTCGTTGACATTCCAAGAGCATGCAATTCGCCCGTACGGGCTCTCATACGCCACGTCTGCATTTGTGATTGTGCCGCCTGGAAGCGGCTTGACCTTGATGGACCGCCACCCAGGCGTGCGAGAGGCAATACCACCAACACACTCGTGTAACCAATTGGCAACAGAGCCCAGGGCATAATGGTTGAAGCTAGTCATTTCGCCCGGGTTGATCGTGCCGTCGGGAAGCATACTGTCCCACCTCTCCCAGATGGTTGTTGCGCCCATGGTGACTGGATAGAGCCACGACGGACAGCTCTGCTCGAGGAGCATACGATAGGCCATCTGATGGTTGCCAGTGCCTGAGAGAGCATGTGTGATAACGGGGGTGCCTGCAAATCCCGTCGCGATGCGGTACTTGGCGGCCTGAATGAGATGGCAAAGGCGTTCCGCCGCCCTCTCAACTTTTTCGGTGCTGTCAAAGAGCCCGAACCTGAGCGCAAGCGCATATGCCGTCTGAGTGTCTCCCACAAGGAGACCGGAAGAAGCAATATACTCCCGTCCGAAAGCTGCCTTGGTCCTGGCAGCATCCTCACTGTACCGATGTGCATCCTCTGTTTCGCCAAGGAGAGAACTGATTTTGCTAATGGCCTCGAGAACCCGAACCAAGTAGCAGTCCGCGACAATAATGACATCGGTCCTTCCCGCGGCTGCGTCATCCGGAGGAGCTGCAGGGTCGAGCCAATCACCAAACTGCCAGGCATTCTGGTCCCACAGACCGTTGTCGCCTCTGGGTATTCCCTTGTCTACCCATATCTTCATGCTCGGATACTGCTTGCGCAAAATCTCCACATCACCCGAGCTGTTATAGAGGTCCCACGGTGTCAGCACAGTGACATCGTGCCAGACACTTTGCGCCCCCAAGTCGTCTCCAAGAACATCAGGGACCACAAGCCCTGGATAGCCCGGATTGTTGTCTCGTAGCTGCTCGGCCAGAACATCTTCGAGCCAACTCCCGAGAAACCCTCGCGTGTCGTAGATGAAATTGGCCGAGGGAGAGAAGACTTGAATGTCGCCCGTCCAGCCAAGTCGTTCATCGCGCTGAGGGCAGTCTGTTGGTATCGAGAAAAAGTTGCCTTTCATACTCCACACCACATTTTCGTGAAGCTTGTTGATGAGTGGTTCAGAGCAGGAGAACCATCCGGTTCGCTTCATGTCACTGTGCAAGACAAGGCCTGCAAGGTCCCCAACAGCGGGCATGCCATCAGGGGTCGGCCACCCGTCGACCTGCACATAGCGAAAGCCGTGGAAGGTGAATTTGGGCGACCAAGTGGACGGCTGAGTGTGCGTCTGCTGAGACAAAAAGACACGGTCGAGTGCCTTGGCGGTCCGGAGAGGGCGGGTGCCCAGCTCGTCGTGCTCAAGGACCTCGGCATGCGTGAACTTGATGATGTGCCCGTCTTTGTCTGCCGCTGGGAGACGCACTTGAAGCTTTCCCACCAGGTTCTGGCCGAAGTCAACAAGAGTCTTGCCAGACGGCGACTTGAAAATCTTGAGCGGCGAAATAGTCTCTGTGGCGCGTACAGGCGGCGTGTCCGAGGAGACGAGCTGAGCAGAGGGGAACGCCAGCTCCTCCGTTTCCATCCAAGCCCCGCCCTCGTCGAAGCTGGGATCGCTGTCCCACCCCGTTATTTTTTCGTCCTCGCGAGCGTCATAGTCTTCTCCGTCGTAAATTTCGGAGCGCACAGTCGCACTGTGACGGCATGTCCACGTGTTGTCGGAGGTAAGAGTGTACAATTGACTGCCGTCGTCGAAGCGAACCTCGAGCTGTGCTAGGAATGCAATGCGGTTTCCGTATACCCAGCGCTGATCGGCCCAGGCTAAGCGACCAGCGAACCAGCCCTCGGCAACTTCGACACCGAGTACATTGGATCCGTTCTTTGCCATTCGGAGCTGCTGGGTCACGTCGAACGTCGAGAAGAGAAGCCGACTCTTGTAGTTCGTCCATCCAGGTGCCATTTCCTCGTTGCCAATCTGCTGGCCGTTGAGATACGCTTTGTACACCCCATGCGCCGTGATGTAGAGGCGGGCTTGCGATATGGGCCCCGCGTCGCCGGGCAGCGAGAAGGATTTTCGGAACAACATGGGTCGCAGCGTCTCTCTTTCCGGAGGCTGGAACGAAGATGCCGTCAATTTTGCTTTCCAGTCTGCGTTGTCGAGCAACGCTGTCTCGATGGTGACCGGACTTGACCACTCGGTGCTAACAGTCGTGCTGTTGCCGGAGTCGTCTGTGGACACGCCGTGAGTCCGGACCTGAACTTGAACAGATTCTCGTGACGCCAGAGCTCGCCATGGCCAAGGAACCAGAACTGAGTCGGCGCTTCTGATGGTAAGCGTGTCTGGCCTCTGCGTTGGATCCTGCCCAGTGAGTTGAATCTCGTACGACTCTTGCACCCAATTCTTCACGTCCCCGTCATTGTCGAAGCGCCACGAAATCCGAGGTTTGGCATGGCCAATACCAAATCCAGTCGCATGGTGCTCGAATGTGAGCGATGAGATTCGAATTGAAGGCATTTTGAGCTAAAAGCAAAAGGAATCAGAAGAGTGTCGATGGGTGTAGAGATCGAAGACTAACATAGAACGCACGGCTCGAGGTGTTTTAATGCCAGTCGTAATTTGTTTTGTCGCTGCAGAAAGCCGCTTGCTCCGCCGTTGTTCTTTGCGTAAACTCTCAGGTGACAAAGGTCGTGTATTCGTTATGTACGACGTATTCGGGTAAGACGTGTCCGAATGGCTTACCTTCCCCTCCCCTTGAACAGGAAAAAACCCCACTTTGGCAAGTCTCACTGTCGGTTGTAATTACATTTGCCGGGTTCACATTCGCCACGAAGAATACGGCGGATAGAACACTTGCGGTTGCAATTGTTGCTGACTAGCAAAATACTAGACATCGTTTTCGGCTCATGTTGAGCCCGCCGAATGGCCATTTTTTAACACAGCTAGGCCCCATGCGCTTTTGCTGTCTCCATCCTCGCCAGTCGATACGGCGCGGACTGTGAATACGAGAGTCTTGTGAAAGCTCTTTCGTCTCACAATGCACCGACTCTTGTCCACTCTCGTGATAACTGCTCGCGTGCTAATGCGGGGATGAAACAAACCTGGCCGTCCAGTTTGTGCGGAAGTCATGCTACGTCTTTGTTTATGACGCATAGAAACGAAATAACAAAATCCACCCCAGGTGAGCAAGGCAACTCCAAACAGAAGGGAAACAAAAGTAGCGTGGGCCCACCCAATGCATTCCAAGTTTCCTTCCTCATCTGGGTGATCCTCTCTGACACGGGGGGGGCGTCTTTCCCGGCCACCTGAACAAGGACCTAGGCAACGCACTGACCAAAGATGGTCTTTGTCGATCTTGCGGAGAGATTGCGGGGAAGCGTCATAGTGGCATGGGGCTCCGCACCGGCGGGACAATGTTAACCGAATGACCGGGATCTGTATCGTATTTTGACATGCAATTCGTCTCTAAGATTTTTTGAAGCAAGCTTCGTTCCATCTCACTGCCCCCTGTATGTTCTAACCTCCTTTTTCGTCGCGTTCGGTGCATACTTGGCCGAAACTTGCGCCTACGAAACAAGGACCACCTATGTGCCTTGGTCTTCACGGACGTCGTGGCTTGTGAGGGACAAGGCGACGCATGGGTATGTTAAAAGTAGGATATCTGCAGGTAGTTGGTATAAAATGGGTCGCAAAGCAGCCCGCTTTTCACTTATGGATCATTTGCTCACCGCGCTTCCATTTGTTACAAGAAATACTTTCCTTCTCAATTGCCTGTGTACTACACTTCCTCATTCTTTTTTTTTTTGCTCGTCCTAAGAAACGCTCATTATGGGAAACGACGAAACGTCTCCGGACACAGTGACGAGTGCGGAGAAACCGGCCATTGGTCACGTGGAACAGTCCTTCCTGGAGGAAATCGGGCATGCCAAAGTCGACGGCTACGTCAGCTATGGCTTGGCCAAGTCGCGGTTCGACAATCTGACAATCCCTCAGACAATCTGGACGTTCAAGCGTGTTGTCCTCATCATTATTTCGGTTTACACCGGTTACATTTGTGAAGGATTTGAAGTACGACCGCACCTCCTTGTCTCTCGTCCAGTAAAGATAGCAGCTTTCACCATACCGCGTTGGCTAACATGACAACAGCTAAATTCTTCAGGCAGTGTGATTGCAAATGCTGGCTTCCTGAAGCAGTTTGGCTCGGGTGATGCGTCCGGCGTGAGGTCACTGAGCGCGACTTGGGGTATGCCGTACACCTGTCTCTTATACCTGGATCGTGACTCTCTCCCCAGTTAAACTAAGCATAAACTGACGGTCATGAATAGTGTCAACTTGGTCAGCTCTTCTCGTACGTTTTCGCCTATACTTTATATTCCGTACCTTGACTTGGCCTCTTATTAATCAGGCTAGAACGTCGGCCAAATCGTTACATTTACGCATATCTCCTGGTACGTACTAAAGCGTCCCTGGAATGACACACTATCCTTTCTGTCGATTGAGGTGATGATGTTAAAATTCAGATTCTGACTTGGGCGTATAGGTTCGCCGACAAGTTTGGTCGCAAAGCGTCATTCTATCTTGCCTGGATCTGGCTTGTTATTGTACGTGGCATGCCCTTTTCGTTCTGGGGATAGGCGGGGGGCTCGAGGATGGTGTTGTAGACTCGGTGCTAATATTTTAACAGGGATGCATGTTCCTCAACGTCGCCAAGTCCCCATCAGTTTGGGTCAGTCGAACAAGAGTTATCGTCACCGGCGGCATGGACCTGACACTAACATCAAATAGGCGCTAGGAAAGCTGTGCAACGGTGCAGGCATTGGTGTTCTCCAGTAAGCGCTCTTTGGTTGCTTGCTTTATCCATCTCGGGTCCGACGGAATGTCACTCTAACAGTATACAAGGGTAACATGCCAAATCTATGCCATGGAGGTCAGCCCCAATAAAATTCGTGGTGGATTGGTCACCTTTCAGGCAGTGTGGTATGTATCAAGTCTCCAGTTTCTTTCGTAAAGCCTAATTATATTGTGAATATTGACAACATCTCTTAGGAGTGACATTGGTGGCATTATCATCGCCGTGATGATGCAGCAACTCAACTCCAAATACCCCGACAATTATCTGCTCGCTATGCGGATACTCTGGGCCCCAGTTGGATTGATGCTTATTTGTTGGATTCTTGCCCCCGAGTCGCCATGGTTCCATGCCCGTCACGGAAACAAAGACAAAGCTTTGAAATGTATGAAGCAGCTCTACGGCGGCGTCAAAGGCTATGACTTCGAGGAGGAATATTCGATTATCGAAAAGACAATCGAGCACGAGAAGGATCTTCTCACGAGCAAAATAAATACTCTTGAGATTTTCAAGGGCATTAATCTAGTAAGTGGCGTCACCCATCGAACTGAATTCAAAAAATAAGATTGAAATCCAACTTGGCTAATATGATTTTACATTTCTTAGAAACGCACTCTCACGGTCATGATCCTTTCCGCTGCCCAGCAGCTCGCCGGTCTTGTTATTATCAGCACTTATTCCACCTGTACGTTTGGAATCCCAATACTTCGTTTATATGTTGACTGTGCAACATTAACCATTATTAAAAATCGCAGACTTTTTCTCTCTGGCTGGCCTGACTGACCCGTTCCTCGCCACCGTCATCCTCGCGTAAGTTTTGATTTCTAGTTTAGCACAATTTATTGCAAAACTTGTGTCTGACGCTCTGTGTACTTTGTTTCTAGTTGCGTCAACCTCTTATCCATGATATGCTGGAGTTTAAGCACCGATAAGGTTGGACGGCGCTTGATTATTTGTTGTTGTCAAACCTTTACGACAGTCATTCTCTTCGTCGTTGGTGCTTTGTGGTATACTGGTGCACAAAGCGGAAGCGTTACTGGTGGCACTGTCCTAGTGAGTTCTATTCCCTATGTCTTAAGTGGTACTATATTTTTTACTGACCGCGGTCTCTCACCAGCTCGTTATTTGCTGCTTGTGGAGCTTTTCATTTCAACCTATCAGCATGTCCTACTATCTCTACTCGGCGGAGTTGCCCTCTGCCTATCTACGAAGTATGTTTCAAAGTCAGCCCATCCACGGTCGTTATTCTCAAATTAACATCTGAACAGCCAAAACTGGACCCGTCACTTTCTTCGTCAATTCAATTTTAGGCATTGCTGCGTGGTACGTTTTAATGAAGTGCATTCCCCCCGCTCCACTAACCCATTTTTTTCTGAACCTCAAGTTGTATTCTCAGCTGACACTGTCGTTCAGTTATGCTACGCCGCCTATGCTGCTTGCAATGGGAGTGAAGTCCGGGTTTGTGTTTGGCGCTTTTTCGGTGCCCATATGTATTATTATGTGGCTGACGGTACCTGAGACCAAAGGGTAAGCTTAACCTTGTGACCAAATGCATGGTGGGGAAAATTGACTAACTTTTAACACAGTCGGTCGGCTGCGGAAATCGACGAGCTGTACGAGCGCAAAATCCCCGTATGGAGATGGACCAAGACTGTCACGGCAGTGGAGGAGGAGATGCAAACCATTACTCAGATCAAAGGTAATGTTGGACCGCAGCCTTGAACTGTACGATGATGGCCCCAAAGATAGCTTTGCAGATGCGCTTCCTTGCCCTAAACAGTCAAGAGGCAGCGTGCACAACGAACACTGCAAACGCAGGGGGGCCACATAGGAGCACATAGGGGAGCATCCAAACATCAGACTTGGGTAGTGACAGTAAAGGTACATTCTAAGTAAAAGAAAGGCACAGCGAGGTCAGGTTATACTCCATAATTTGAAGTGCATGCCCTGTTCATATAATTTCATCTATGCCTCCTTCTTGTCTACCAACATACGTAGTGGTATTCTGTATTTTCAACCGCGTCTGATCAGGATTGCTTGCTCGCCAGGTGGCTCTACCCGTCCCTTCAACGGCGCCAAGACCCACTCTGCATAGACACAGACTGCATAGTGCATTGGCCTGACTGAAGGACACCCCATGCTTCCTGCCACGAGGAATTGATAGAAATTATGACAAATCAATCCAATCCATGTTTATTTATTATTACACTAACTGGGAAAACATCAAACTTATTTCAGTCCTCACTTATCGGTAGGCAGGTCAACGGTGACACTGTCTAAACAACCTCTGCTTAGTCTTGGGCTATTTCGCTCATATTGAGGTCCTTTATTATTTACATAAAATGATATATCAAATGAACTGTTGGTAGTATACTCAGTCTGTATTGTACCAGTCGGGTGTGGGGAATCATGGCTGCGCCGCTTTACGTGCTCTGAGCCTCGGCTTGACACGGGATTGAATTTGAGTCTTCCTGCCTTCGGTTCTTTTATACAATGCCCAGTGTAGCCACAAGGCGTATTAAGCGCGACTAGGTACGACAGAAAATAGCAAATCTAATGGACCCCCCTGGGTTGATTTCGCAATTATGGTCTTTTGACCTATATTGCAATATATTCTTATCTTACACGGCACGAGTGAAGGCGCATGAGAGGCACAAGAGGCACAGGAAGCACACTGGGCACACGCCACGATGAAATATATGTAAAGTTCTTCAGAAGAGTACGCTGTCAACTTGAACGTAAGTATTGTGTAGAGGATGTATTCTTTTATGAAAGACTACTTGGATGTCGGATTGAGGGTTCCAGTGTTTGCAACCTCTCTGGAGGTTGACTCTGTTTCCAATCGGTCATCGTAAAGACAAATATGTCTTTTTGTGTGTATTACGGGGAAGGTAATGGCTTTAGAAGTTGCCGTATATCCCTCCACTTATTTTGCTGCGCCTCAACAGCGCCCCAAAACAAATGATATAAATTCAATCATAATTCCAGTCGAGGCCAATTTTTTTCCGGGTCATCCTTCTCGGTTGTCCATACACTCCCGCTTCACGCCCCGGGCTTTAACTTACGCGACAACTCATATTCTCACTTCCATAAGATGTCTGTCGGTACTAACCATCAAGGATATGGACGTCGACTCATTGTAATTGAGAGACTCCTCCGAAATCAAGGGTTACAGGTACGTAACAGAGCACTTTTCCAATAAAGCTCTGTCACTGATTTCGCGGCATAGCCTTTTAGTATTTCGACCATAGCCTACAGTGATGACTATCAGTGGCCCTACAACAACTTTTTATACAAAGTGAAGCTCGCAAAACCGGCATCCACTTCGATATTCCCAGGTACGCAGCCTGGCACAAGCAAAGCGCCTCCCGAAGGCGTATCTGTTCTCGTCCTCAAACTCAGCAATCTCAGAGCCTCTGGAATGAATAATACCAACCGCGTGGAGAATGACATAGCAGTGCAGAGCCTTGTCCGTCAGTCTATGGTACAAGCCAAGATCGCTTCATTGGTTCCTGCTATCTATGCCTGGGCGCCAGCTACCTCTACAGATGCAAACGCGGATGAAAGTTGCTACGGATGGACAATGTCAGAGCTCATGCGTGGTATAGACCTGGACTTGGAGTTCGCGTCTCTGAGATCTACAGACAAGGTTATAGTCCTCGACCAGATCGCTGCTGCTTTTTCTGCCATCCAGGCGGCAAGACTACCAGAAGGAGTGACAGGGTTTGGCGGGCTTACATTTAACTACAGTGGAGAGATCGTCAGTGGAGAAACAGCCTTCCTTAAATCGAGTCCTCAGGATTCGTATACTGGATGGAAGCAAGCCAAAATAATGATGGAACTCCAAGAGGCGGCAAAAAGTTCATTGGCTCAAGGCTGGAAGTGCAATGGGGTGGGCGCAAGAGTCGATCGATTTTTAAGCACTGGTGGCCTGGAGAAACTTCTCAGTGGTGTTGACGTTAACCATAGGATTTTAATACACGGAGACCTCAGTAAGTAGGAATACTTTAGCTCATGGTAATCAAGAAGACCGCTAACATTTTTACAGCCATGAATAACATGCTGTTCGACAAAGAAGCAAAGGCAATTACAGCCATACTGGACTATGACTGGTCTTTCGTCTCTAATCCCTTTGATGAGTTCAACTCACTCCTCTACGACATTGGCTGCAATATAACTCATCCAGATACTGTCTTCAACAAAGCCAAGTTGTCAGGCGACTTTACCAATTCACCTGACAAATTAGACGAGGATTCCAAGGAGACGTGGGAAATGGCCAAAGCATGGAATGCCGCAATGGCAAAACAAGGTGCGGTCTTGCCGAGAGAAATAAACGGCGTTGAGAAGATCCGTGCTGTGCTACGGTTACAAAGTCTCATCTGCCCGTACCCTCTTTGTAGCGAATCGGCCCTTGAAAAGATGGACGATGCACAAAAGGCCGAGCTAAGAGCGAAAACAGAAACTGATCTTCTTCAATGGTTAAACGAACATGGATACTAAGTTTTTGTGTTTTACGTATGTAGTATGTCCCATCAAGGAAGACAGCTTTTATATACAATTTACACAGGATTACGGCGGACCTTTTAGTCGTTCTTACACTACTTACTTACCATCTGCCCATGCTGCCAATCGTTTTGCTCGCCGAAGCAACAGTCTGTCAAGGCACGTGCAGCCGAATGTGCGCAAGAAGATTGACAAAATGACAATTTAATCAGAAACAGAGGCTCTACTACTCGACACTACTTGAAAACTTTACAAGACAGGAAAAGACCCTGTAATTTCTGCTGATACAAACCAAAGAAAAGGCTGCTACCAAAGAGCACAGGCTAGAAGAAATGTATTGAAATTGCAGTGTGTGGATTTCCCCTTGCCGATTGTGAAGTATGCAGCTGAGAGCGTGTCCATCAGCATGGGCCAGCGATACGATGTGGTCGTGACGGCGAATGAAACGACGACCGAGTCCGTCACAGGCTTTTGGATGCGCGCCGTCATGGTGCAGTCGTGCAGCGAAAATGACAGCCACAGCAACGTGCTCGACAGACATGAGGATTTCAATAGTCCACTACCGAAGACCTTTAATATAAATGTATTTATTTTCAAGGGTGAGACAGAGCCAGGAAAAAATAGCTAATTGTAAATTTGTGAGTTCCACGTACGGGTGCTGAAAAACAACAAAAAGGCTCATCCAAGTTCATACGTGGTGATTTTGTCGCGTCCTGTCGGTCTGAATTTGATGAGGAACAAATGTCTGAACTATACACCATTTTTTGTTGTACCAAAGTCCATCTCTCCTTGCAACATGGCCGTCCTGACAGGACGCACAGCCTACTAAACATTTACTTATTGAGTAATGCCAAAAAATTTTAGCATCAGCGGCTCATTCACTGGCGCGATATGGCCAACGCCTTTCCCGAAGAAACCTTGCAGCTTGGTACCATCTCCATAGACCTCTTGTGTGTATGCTGCAGAGGGGACGCCTGTAACGTTTTTGGAGAGCTCCACGCCCAGTACGTTAGACCACTGCAACAAGGCTTGCTCCGCACATGCCGGGCGAACCAAAGTGTCGGCCAGGCCGTGGAAGATTTGCATCCGTGGCCGCCGACCCGTATATCCAGGGTACGAGTTGCGCACGAAGTCACCCCATTGCTTCGCCGAGTGAGAAATCTGGCCCTGTGCGCAGGTCTGGTTGGGCGACATGGGCGTTGCGCCCGCCGCTCCGGCAAAACAGGCATGCGCAACGCCGGAGAATGCTGCGCCAGCTTCGAAGACATCCGGGTAGGAGCCCGCCATCACGTTGGTCATCATTGCACCGGACGAGCCGCCCATAACGTAGACCTTGGACGCATCGCCGTTGTACTTGGCCAGGGTGTAATTGACCATGCTGATAATGCCACCAGCATCGCCGCCACCGTTGTGCGTGAGACTTGCGGGGTTCTGGACATCCCAACACTAAAGGCAGAGAAAAAGAAAGAGTTAAGAAACACATATTTCGGAGAAAGCCACAAATCGGACAGGGATGTCGACGCTTACGTTGCTCATATGCGTCGTACCGGGATAGATCAGAATGAAGCCGTTCTTGTCTGCATATGAAGGCAGTTTTGTCTGCGAATACCATCCTGTTGCGGATCCCCCGCACGGGTGCAGCTAATTTCGAATAAGTACTCCATACACTGTCCTACCCGAGGGATTTTGTCTTTGTATGACTCACTGCGACAATGATGGCTGGTTTCTCCGCGACTTTGTCCGGAACATAGAGATACATTTGTATACTCGTTGGGTTCGCGCCGAAGCTCGTGACCGGCTTAAGCGACGCGCCAGCGGCAAAGGCCGCGGACGCCACGACGGTGACCAATGACCAAAACAACATTCTGTTATAAATTTAGTAAATAGTAAATTTGTATGAAATTCGTTGCGTGATGATTTTCGAGGACTTACCATTCGTCCACGGAGAGGCGGACGTGTGATGTTATATACACACTTGGGGAGCTAGTCATGAGGTTGATAAAATAAAAGCACTTAACATTGCTTTGGAGTATAATTCTAAAATAAACCATGTTTCCGAAGAGCCCAAAAATAGAGTACAGGTTCGCCAGTATTCTTATTTGGGTATTACCGATCTTAGTTGCCGATGCGAAGCCTTTCCTGGAGTGCATGACTTATTGTCTTTTCTATGTCCGTGGATATAGTGCAGGTTACAATATAAAGCCAGGTGTTGATTCTTATATAACTCAACTGTAATTAGTCTTCCAAGGCTAGGACCGTCGGGTAGGACTTCCGTTCAGGGATACGAATCACCACCATTTAGCCGCATCTAGTGGTTGAAAAACGGGCAAGTCACTGGACGTATATTCCATCAAATTTGTACGTATTAACCTCCATTGCCGTATACACGAGCCGAAGTAATATATTCGGTATCAATTACTTTTACACTCCGTTCCTTTTACTTTAATATTGCCGTATCCAAAAGCCGAAACGGGGTACTCTGGGTCGAAATTTTTCGCGTGTTTCCTTCCATGTGACCGGCGCCTCCATTATTGCGTAAGAGAGAAAACACAAATGTAAAACCACAGAGTTATGGACAGTGCTTATTGTTCCTTGCTTCGTATTATAATCATTCATTTCATGGTAGATTCGGTTGTATGGCTCGTGATTGATAGCAGACATACTTCATGACCAAAGATTGCCCGAATACATTGCCGTTATTCTCGATTGAGAAATGGAAATATTCGGTAGCAAGCAGTATTGAAGTATACAATAGATTTCCGTGTGAAAGAAAATAAAATAAGAAATAAATCGGTGAGGAATGTAAAGTGAGAGTCATGTGCACGGTAGGTGCCTGCCAGTACTCGGCTACCGTGCCGGCGATTGCCCGAGCTCACTGCCCCGGTTCACATCCACGTGGCTATCGTCGCAATCGTTGTCGAAAATTGACGACGAAAAAAATCGAGAAACCGTTTCTTGGCTATCAGGTATCTCGCGGGTCTCCTGGGAGTCTGGTATGCAGACGACAGAATCGTGGGTGGTAAGATGCATCGTGCGTCCTGTTTGCAGCATGTTAGCATGCATGATGTACCGCAGGGGGGGCGAGGGGGCGAGAAACGAACCGTGAGAGCGATGTCATGTGTGTCAAAATTGCAAGCATCAGCTTTGGGTGGGCACGCTTTTGGACCAGTCGTCGGTGACGAGTCAAATGGACGTCAATGGCAAGAAAATCGGATACATGTGACGATGTCGTTGCTCGGGTCGGCGACTTGTAAAAGTGAGTTGGTGAGAAATTCGCCTGGGTCACTGGTCGGCGCAGTTGGAGAAGAGATGAGATGCTAAAACTAGCGATAGTTCTACTTTCGCACAGGTCTAGCGGAAGAAACATGGACTGGCACAAATGTTCAGGACAAAGTCGCGACCGAGCCGGATATGGATTTGTTGGGTCATAGTACCGTAGCGGAAGAGGACTCCGCGAGCCGCGCGTTGGAAGTGGGAGGAAGGGGTCAACCACGTTACGAGAGCGTTGGTGGGAAGTCGCGACCGGGAGAGAGGTGTTTTGTTGAGTGTCGAATGGACAATGACATCGTGGTAGAAGAAGAAACAGGCGAAGAGGGTCAACCGCCAGACACGAACGTGAGTGGGAAGTTGTGATTCGGAGAACGAGTGATATTTGACCAGAAAAAGGGAGATAGCAACTGTAATTAAGGAACGTGAGGTTATCTAGGGTGAATTCTTAGTTGTTGTAGTATTGGTTTGAGGGCGTCGTATGTAGACCCGTATACACTTTTTTACGCGCGCATAAACGACAACGGAGGGGAAATTGGCACATTTGGTATATTTAGTAGACGGCACATCATCTCGATATCCCTCAATAATCCAACAACCTTAACGCCTCCAGTGTCCACAAACATTTGCAACAGCGCGTCTGCGACAGGGACCATCCACGGTCGAGGGACGGGATACCAAGATTGGGTAGCGAACCAGATTCGAAGTCGCTGCGAAGTGCAGTGCTGGGAGCTAACGTTATCCGGACAGAGCGGCCCAACCGTTACTGTGACAGCTGAGTATTCACCCTTGTCGCCAACGTAGAACCGCACGCTACGCGACAACTCAGCTCGACACACCTTGACTAGATTTTGCGAGACTTCCGGCAAAATTGAAAAGTTTTGGAACATCTCGGGTTCCAAAAGTTACACCGATATCCGCATGGAGAGGTTGTTTCCCGGGTGCTTCTTGACATATGGGGACCTGTAAGTAATATGCATATCCACCAAGGTTCCAAATAGCGATCTTCATCAGCTCGTTTCCGACTCTGTGTGAGAAACCGGAACTTTTTGATATTCGCAGACATGTGACGTCGCTGAGTGGCCCAGGCCAGAGATTCACGATGAAAGTTAACTCGTCGCCGACAGCCACTGCGATGTTGCGAGTCATCTCGGAGGAAACGCTGTTGAAAGGCAGACCAGCGGGCTGCTTTGCAATAAAATGGTAGGTGCATATCTCGTCAATCACTCCAAAAATCCTGTACTGACCACCAGACCTTTTTGAGACGGTGTCCCGGAGCTGTGCCTATATTTATTGTTAGCATGAGTACTTCTATTGCAGCCCGTCACACAACAATACCAAAGAAACACCGAGGAAGACGGAGATGCAGCATATTAGTGACCTTGACTTACAGTGAGCGAGTGCCGGGGAGTGGCCAAAAGCATGCCCTCCATTCCGTGGAGGCTTGACATCGCGGACTCGGAGACGATCGCCTTCCGTCGGCTTAATCAATGCTATGGTGGCCTTGAACTTGACTTTATTAATCAGACGCTCAAGAGAATGGAGAGAGGAAAGGTACGACTCGGCAAAGATCTCGGAAATTAAGTTGCTGAGTCTGTCAGCGTCCGCCGTGGGAGAAAAGTAGTCTCGGGCAAAGTCGAGCGTGCCGTCATGTTGTTGTGGCTTTGCACGGCAGAACCTGCCTCTTTGCCCTTGGCTTGCCTCTTTTGCCTCTTTGTCCTTGGCTTTAGCCGCTCCTTTATTGTCGATGAAAGTACCGTTGTCGTAGTTGTCGTCATCCTCCTCGTCAACCTCATCGTCGTCGTCTTCTTGACGTATGCTATAGACACCGCTTTGGACTTGGGCGGACAAAGAAATGCTCAATGGTGCTCTATTGTAACAACTTGACTAAGCTGTCATCGAAGTGGGAGCTTAGGACACGGCCTGCGAGGATTTCGTGATGCGACGGTGTTGCCTTCTCTTTTCCCAATATTGTCCCAGCCCCGTCAACTTGCTGCATTCTTGCACAGTCTTCTTCATCATTCTCGCCGATGTCGCTTGACCGTAACTCGTCTTCTCCTTGGCAACGGACTCGACCAGGGCCTTGGTCTCGCTAGCCACAGGATGACCGAAACTGCAGTCTTTGAACAGTGTATTCTGGCCAGCATATCCGGGTACGTTTCCACATGTCCATACGACAGCCGCGCCGGTAGTGATGTGATCGGTGCGGCCAAAGGTAGCCTTTTGCACATCACGGGTGAGCCGTATAGTGTGCCACCCATGCCTGGTGTTGGGCCCGTGAGCCAGTGCACTGGCTTATACCTTCACGGAGCAATTCTTACGGCACTCCACCAACGGGATGTGACCCTCAGCCGTTTGGGGGCATTGGACAACACGTTGACATGTCGCTACTTGAAAGCACGGTCAGCATCATGGCCAACGTCGACATATCGTGGCCGAACCTCGAGAAAGAGGCGCAGCGCTGGGGCACTGGGCACCCGACACTGGTACCATATGCGCCGTTTCCGACAAAGGACACCTTCTTTGTGATTGGCGCCGTCAACGACCGGCCGTTTGAGACTCTGTGTGAGTTGGTGGGCGGGAAGCACGCCGCGAGAACGACAACAATGTCATGGGCACCATCGGATGTACTTGTTCTTCTGTCGATGGTGGCATTGCATCGCTCCCCAAGTCACACCTGTACTCGTCCAACTCGGCATGCATCGAAGCCGCGTCTCGCTTCATAATCTCTTTGCCGCGTAGTTTCTCACTCGTTAGAGAATGGCGGTCACATACCCTCTATTAGTTAAATATCATTATATTACTATCGAGAATTGACCTCCGACTATGACAGTTTGTTGCGGTCCATTATCAGTTTCGAAAGCCACGCAATCGTTAAAGGTACGGAATTCTCCTATCGGCTGCAACATCAGGGCCATCGCCGTACAAGCGGTCCTTCCGCGTGGTCGTGTGAGAAAGCGGTGGCCCCCACGCCCACCACGCTTCGCTTACAGCTACTGCAGCTTCTCGCACCATTACATAAATTTATGGGCTTTCATTGCGTAAATCCGCGCGGACAATGCATGTCTCAACCAAGCAGCAAGCAGCCAAGTAAGAAAAATCAGACAAGCATGATACCACTTCCTGGCACCTCCATGAACACGACAAAACAGTGCATTTCGCCCGTCCCGAGGCGTGTCCGTGCCGTATTTCTGCATCTGCAGCCGGTCATGTGAACGGCCGCGTCGGTCAGCTTTCCACCGACCTGGACCTGGCCCTCACTGAGTTTGGACTGGTCCTGGGTCCCACTTAGGCAACATTAAAGCACGCCTTGGAATTCTCCGCACCGATGACCGGCAGCGAGAACAAGGGCGGCGGAAGAATAAATCAAAAGGCAAACGACACAGGTGAGGTCGCATGCACAACAATGCTGCAACTCTCTTGGGTTTTAGCTCTACTGCACTCGCCGCTTCCCCCGGGCTCAAACTAATAAAAATACTCCAGGGAAGCTCCAAGGAAACGACATACTGGCACGGCACAGAATTACAGGTCCTATCAGAAATCACAACGCAGGCTCCTCGGACTTTGATTTTCATTTGATTTCTGTCCAATCTCATTTGTCTGTCACACTACGCCGCCCTGCACCTTGCTGAGCACGTTGCCATCAGCCACAACTCGCAGTTCGTCTCGTGGTCAGGGTTGCACCATTTTGCATTTGTTGCACCTTCCTATCCCCCCATTCGCCAAAATGGCGCACGTTGACAACCACACCACCCACCACCAGCACCATGGAAAGCAACAGGACCTGCAGCCCGACAACGTCCTGGCTCTCAACCTGCCGGCCAACACGTCTTGCCTGCTCGTGAAGACGCGCACCATTTCCATTGAGCCAGTGACCCTGCCCCTGTTGAGACCGGACAGCGTTCTAGTGCGCGTCATGGCCAATGGCATCTGTGGCTCCGACATGCACTCGTACTGCAACGGCGGTGTTGGGGGCCGGCCCATAGGCGCGCCATCAGTCATGGGCCACGAGGCGGCGGGTATCATCGAGGCCGTGGGTGCGGCAGTGACCACGCATGCAGTGGGTGACCACGTGGCCGTGGAACCCGGTTTGCCTTGCCAAAAATGCGTCAACTGCAAGGGCGGGCGCATGAACATCTGCACGACCATCCGCTACTGCGGCACGCCCGGCGTGCATGGCACTCTCTCCCGCTTCTACGTGCTGCCGGTCGACATGGCACCCAAAATTCCCAAATCCGTGCCTTGGGACGTCGCAGGTAGCATACAACCATTGGCAGTGAGTCATGCCTTCCTGTATGATGAAGCTAAATGCCGTTGTTCTGTTTACTGATTGCCCAGATCGGCGTGCAAATCGGCAAACGTGCCGACCTCCGTGCCCACCAGACGATTGCTATTTTGTGAGACCCAGCCTTGCCCCAGAGAACGGAGCTGATACGCTGTTGTTTGTCCTACTAATACGATAGACAGCGGTTGCGGCCCGATCGGTCTGATCACGGCGGCTGTGGCACACGCTTACTCCGCCCGGAGGATCGTTGCGTTTGATATCAAGCCATCAAGGGTCGAGTTTGCCAAAGCATACAAATCCCCACTGACTGGGCGGCCCATCATCGACCATGTCTTCCAAATCGACAGTCTCCCAGATGTGTCTCCAAGACAGAGCGACACCAACGGCACCGGAACGAATGGGACCGATGGCAGTGGGAGCGCCTCTCATGATTACACGACACCTGGGGACAAGGCATGGATGGTCGCCCAAGCACGCATGGATGCCATTCTGGACGAGGTCGGGCTGGCTGACGAGGGCGGTGTCGACCGCGTCATCGAGGCCAGTGGTGCGCAAGACTCCATGCTTCACGGCGTGGCCATCTGCAAGGACGGCGGTGTGTACCTTCAGGTCGGCCTGGGCCACATCCAGACCAATATCTTCCCGACCATTGCCATCACCAACAAGGAGCTCGATGTGCGCGGCATCACAAGGTATACGGCGTCGTGTTTCCCCTCGGCAATCGAGATGCTAGGCCGTGGCGTCGTGGATATTGCGCCTCTCATCACGGCGAGCTTTCCCATGTCGCGGGCCAAGGATGCGTTTGAGGCCGTTGCTGCCGGAAACGATATCAAAGTGATTATCCGGAATCAAGAGGTGTGATCAGAAATTATTACGGAAGTTTGGTCTTGTATATAACCATTTGTCATGTGGGGTACATACGTTTTCTGGTTTAACGTGAATATTGTCGCGGTTCAGAATGAAAAGAAACAAGTACAACAAAATAACAGTGTCACAATTCATGTCTGTGCTTAACAACGCGATTTTAAGATTTTTCATTAAATGTGATGAAGTACATTTTTTTTTAAAAAAAAATATAAAAAACCGAACACAAACAACCATCACATTTTTGGTGGCTGAAAATACAGCCTTTTTATTTATCTTTCAGCCTTTCTCACTGTTTGTCCTGACCATGGTGTTGCATCTCCCATCCAACGGTTGAAGCGGGTGTACGTCACAATTGTTCATCAATGGCGGTGTGTCGTCGATGCGTACGGAAAGCTCCCAGCCCCCAGCACACGAGCCACCGCACCCAGCCCCTTGTGAATGATCGTCACTGTCGCTGCGGGCCTCTGTAGGGGCGCTAAGTCACTTTTGCACAAGGCGTGAGCTGGTTTTCGCAGTTGTGGTCTCAGTGCTCCATCGCGACCCCACTGGCAGTGCTACCTCATCCACTGTACTTCGTAGCTTCGGAAACGCTGACACGGTTATGTGCATACCGCTCCAAGCACATGTTGGCAAAATTTTATTGCGCAGTCATTTATGTAGTACGACACGCAACTTTTATTTTGCCGTTTCTCAAGGAGTCGCATGTCATCTTCTTCACCACAAACCACACAAGCACACACACGCACCACGAACAGGCACGTCATGGGAAGCTATTTGTCGCGCGACACCGGTGAGGCGGACGAGCTTCGGGCGACGCTGACGGAGCTTCAGAAGAAGCTCGAGGAGGCCACGGAGCAGGCGACTAGCAAAGACGAGCAGATCAAGAAGCTGCAGGCACAGGCGGACGAATCGTCGACGTCGTCAACTTCCCTGACCGCGAGCCATGCCAAGGAGAAGGCCGAGCTCACCGCAAATGTCGAAAGCGCAAAGAAGGAGGCTGCCGCCGCCCGGAGCGAGCGCGATGCTCTGGTGTCGACGCACGAGGCCGAGGTGACGCAGCTCAAGACGGACCTGACGACGGCCACGACAAAACACCAGGAGCTCGAGGCGGCGCACGCCGCTGCTTCTTCGAAGACTGCCGAGCTCGAGGCCAACGTGGCCCAGCTGTCGACCGACCTGACGGCGGCAAAGGCAAGCCTGGCCGAGGCGGAGGAGGAGGCGGAGAAGAAGGCTGCGGCCGCCGCTGCGGCAGCCAAGGCTGCCGAGGCGGACAAGACAGCCGCTGCCGCTGCTTCTGCTGAGGTCGTCCAACTCAAGGCGCAGCTCGAGGCCGAGAAGAAGAACGTCGCGGTCGCTACGGCATCGGCTACGTCGGCCAGTGAGGCCTCTGCCGCTCAGATTGCCGACCTCAAGGCCCAGATTCAAGCCCTCAACACCAAGCTGGCTGCAGCCGAGAGCAGTGCTTCTGCCGCCGCTGCTCAGGTCGAGGAGCTCAAGGCGCAGGTTGCGGCGGAGAAGAAGGCCTCTGAGGCTGCCGCTGCCTCTGCCACATCCGCCACCGAGGCATCCGCTGCCCAGGTCGCCGATCTCAAGGCCCAGATTGAAACCCTTACAGGCAAGCTGAGCACGGCTGAGAGCAGCGCCACGGCCACCCAGACCGAGCTGGCCGAGGCCAAGGCTGCGCTTGCCGCGGCCAAGGCTGAGACGGAGAAGGCGCAGGCTGAGGTTGCGACCAAGGCCAGCGCTGTTGCTGCCGCCGAGTCATCGCTCGAGGACGAGAAGACTGCGCATGCGTCCTCCAAGGAGGACCTGGAGAAGGAAGTAGCAGCCCACGCGACGTCCAAGGCGGATCTTGAGAAGGAGGTCGCGGCACATGCTGCTGCCAAGGCCGACCTGGAGAAGGAGGTCGCTGCCCACAAGGGGACCACCAGCGCCATCGAGGCTGAGAAGGCGGCACACGCCGCCACCAAGTCGGACCTCGAGAAGGAGGCTGCTGCGCATAAGGAGACGAAGGCGGCGCACGACTCGACCAAGTCGAAGCTGACGGCCTCACAGGCCAAGGAAGCTGAGCTGGCTGCTCACGTGACCACCCTGACAGCGGCGGCGGCTGCGGCCAAGAAGGAGAGCATCGGCGAGAACAAGGAGAACAAAGCGCCGGCCGTCGACGAGATCAAGGAAGTTGAGGCCGAGGCGGTTGCCGCAGAGTAGGGGAGAGGGGCGTCTGAGGGACAATAGGGTGACGGTCGACTGGGAGATTTTTGTCCATAGCTTTCTTTCCACTTTTGACATGATTTGTCTTCGTGCGTTAGCCACTAAATACCCTTCGGATTTATTTGGTATATTCAACTACAGACTGACGAATAGCCTTGTTTACAATTTATTACTTTCGATCTATTTACTTTCGAATATTGGCTTTGGACCCTGAATTAAGTGGCTGAACTAAGTGAACTAGCTTCCCTGCGACGGTCGGGTTCAGGGGTGTTAATAAGCGACACAGTTTACTTACCGTATGCACTGTAATATTCCATTGTTTCAGCTGGCTTTAGCGGCCATAACGCAAGAGCAGAGTGAGGCCCTGCGTCTTTTCTGACTCGATTCTTGCTCTCCCCAACTCGACTTAACAAAGGCCGCCACATCCAATCGACAAGCCCTTCCTCACAGTCCGACAACCTCGTCGTCCCTCCCGTCCCCCACCTACCACCACGATGTCGCTCTCCATCTCTGGCACGCTGTCGACGCTGCTCGGCCTCCTGCACGTCTATATCCTTGTGCTTGAAATGTTTTTGTGGACGACCCCCCGCGGGCGCAAGTCGTTTAAGCTGACGGCCGACTTTGCCGAGAAGAGTCGCCCGCTGGCGGCCAACATGGGCCTGTACAATGGATTTTTGGCGGCGGGCCTGTTCTGGGGCTTGGTGCACCCGGTGGCGTCGTTCGGCTCGCAGATCCTGGTCTTTTTCCAGGGCTGCATTGTGGTGGCAGGCCTGTTTGGGGCGGCCACCTCGAGCAAACGGATCCTGTATGTGCAGGCAATTCCGGGCGCGTTGACGCTGGCGGCGACTCTACTGGAGATTTAGGGCCAGGGGCGGGCGACGGTCCTGCGAATGAGACAGACGGCGGTTGGATTACGGACTGGCCGGCCCTTGCATTCTGGTGCCTTGCATGTCTAGTGTTGAGACGACGGTGGCCAGAATCGACCAAACGTATGACCAAGCCGGACCACAATACGACCGGCAAGTTTTACGCGGGCAAAGCGGAGAGGACAATCGTTCACATATTCAATTTGTACGCTAATGATGAGAGAAAAGCAATATGGATCATACATGTTCAACTCGCACGTCGCTCGGTAGACGAGTTTTCGTTCTCCTACTCTATCCAGAAACACACGACGCAGGACACAACCAGACTCGCCTCCTAGAACTTGTTCTGGTTTGCATTCTCCATCAACATGGTCGACTCGGGCTTGTACTTCTTGGACAGCAGGAAAATGTTGTACTCGCAGTCCAGCGTGGCGCCCTGGGGCTCGTCCTTAGCGGCCGGCTTGAAGTTGAGGATCAGGTCGTCCTTGACGGCGCAGGCGGTGTCGGTCTCGAGGTACGGGTCATCGCTGGGGTACAGCTGGGCAGTCACACCAATGTAATCGTCGTGCGTTGCCATGACGTGAATGTGGGCCGGGCGGTACGGGTGGCGGCCCATGATGCGCAGCAGATCGGCCGAGGGACCAGACGTGTCGATGGCATACTCGGTGGGCTTGAGGCAGTAAAAGTAGTACCGGCCGTCGGCGTCGGTGCGGAACTTGCCGCGCAGGTTGTGGCGGGACTGGTTGTCCGGGTCAAAGGTGTCGTACTTGCCGTTGGTGCTGGCCTGCCACATGTCAAAGACCGCGTTGGGGATGCCCTTGCCGGTCTCGACGTCCTGCATGACGCCGTGGAAGTAGGTCAGCTGGCCGTCCTTGGGCATGTCCTGGACGACGGACGCGCCGAGGTCGCGGAAGGGTGTGTCGGGCGACCAGAAGGGGCCGAGGATGGTGGACGACGTGGGCTGCTTGCCGTCGGCGCTGGCGACCTTGTGGTTGATCTCGTCGACCAGCGACTCGACGCCCAGGATGTCGCACACGCGCCATGCCTCGTTGCGGTTCTTCCTGTAGGCCTGGCCAATGGAGTTGACGTAGTTGACGCCAATGACCCACTCTTCCTGCTTCAGCTCGATCTCGCGGCAGAAGTCGTGCAGGTGCTTGATCAGCGACGACAGGATTTCTCGGTGGCGCGGCTTGGTCTCGGCGGCCATGAGGCCGATGACGTGGGCGGTGAAGTTGGGGTCGAAGCGCGAGGCATTGTCGGACGAGGCGCCGTTGCTGTTGCCGTTGGCGGCAGGCTCAGTTGGTGCAGAGCTCATTTTGGGCGATGTTGTGTAATGTGGGGGGTGGCTTGTGGGGGTTTTAGTGGGAGGGTGGTTGTGTACAGAAGGCACGAGCAGGTGTCACGAGTATGGTCGAATAGGCATTAGCAGAGTGCGGACGGCATGTAGGAGACAAATAGAGGAGACAAACATTGTTGGAAACCATGATCGAGAGAACGAGATACCGCGTGTCTTCATATACAACTTCCCCCTCTCGAAAACGATGGCCCATCAATGACGATCGGGTGTGGGAAAAACATGACGGCAAAACGACAGCCTAGACCGGCAAGACCCCAGGAGCCTCGCTGAGTACATGGCGCCGGAAGGGCCACAGGCACGCCAAACGGGCACTGGGACGGATCCCCGCCATGCCATTGGATGGTGTGCTGGCGGGCATGCTACTTGAATCGCTTCTCCCAGTAGTTTGGAGCAAGATGGGGCTGTTGTACACAGGTGACGGCATGGCATAGAATGCGCTGTTGGGTACAGAGCAAGAAAGAAAAACGATAGGTCCAGGACTGGGAGAAATAAAACGCCGTAGTGCTCAGTAGTCCCCAGGACCTGTGGAGCGACTGCATGTCCCCTGCTGGCTTGCGCCTGGCGTCCGCCACATGCCGTTGCAGACAGCCGTCTTCCCCGCTATGCACTCGCGCTGCTGCGTCCGCTCTGCCAGTTCTGTTCCAGCCGATGCAGGTGACCAAGGACTGTCAGCGTACGCTGCGTCCACCATTCGTATGAAACTTTCTAAAGGTAGTCTCTCATTGGCTAATTTTGTCGCAAACCGGGCCCTCATTGGCTCGCTCTTTCTCTCCGCACGGAGTAACACTTACCCAGGATTTGGGGATTCTTTTTTCCCGTGCCAGTCATGCCTCCACGCTGCGCCGCCTCTCTGATGTGCGTTGCTCGATGTTTGCAAAACATGAAGAAACGGCCAATGGGGTGTGGACTATTTGTATTGTGAAGCGGATGCCTGTCGACAGAGGGCCGCTGCATGCTCTTCTCCAAAACGACTGTATTTATTCGCAGCTACGCCTCGTCTTGGAACAACTTTGAACGTTTTTTTTTCATGGTTTTCCCCGGGGGCTCATGTACACGCCGCGAAGTCCCGAATGATGGAAAAGAAGCATCCCTAGCTCCGACTTCTTTTGACAATGCCCGTTCTCGCACTATCTTGATTTAGTGTTGTCATAGAAGACACTGTTGTGATAAACCTCCCAGCAACCAATGGTTTGCAGGTGCTCAAGGATGCACCTGTCCATCGATCGCTTCGTGATTGTGCTGTCGATGAAGAGCCTTTTCTTGCTTCCCGGCATAGTGTCGAAACACGTCAGCCGTCAATGTAGTATCTCGAGTCGAACTGTCCGACACAATGGCGACATACAGACTTATGCCTATCGGTGACAAACGAACCCGTGTCCACAGACACCTGGAGCAGATCTTTGACGCTGCTTGTCCTAGAGGGTGTATGACCAGGTCAGGCCACCTGTCTCGTGGAACAAGCCTTGGTTGACTTGAAAAGTCATAAATTAAGGAAACAAACTTCACTTCTGCAGTGTCTGAGCGCCGGATGGATACGGTGATAGGGTGGGATATTCGAAAGAGCGGTTCTGGGTCTATAATCCATGGCGTCCGGTCCTTCATCGACTCCCTTTGGTTTGCTTTGACGTCCGGTTGTTTTTCTCCTGGCACATTGGTTGCGATGATGCTCTGCATGCTGGCCGTTTCATATTCTCGTTGAGGTTTCATTCCTAGAAGGTGCTTGAAATCACCACCCCCCACCCCAGCGGCCAGTATGACAGTCATGGACAGGCCGGCGGCATGATAAAGAAGTGAGGCCTTCTCTCGTCCCACTGATCCGGAAAGGTCCTGCGTTGTAAGGGTTGGAATAGTTAGCCATATCCTCCTCCGGGTTGAGCTATGCAGCGCTGAGCGTGACATTTGTATTGTCTAGAACGTGGATGTGACGAGGTAAACTTTACGTAGGTGACGCCACGTAGTGGCGTAAATCAGTGGCACATGTTCTCATTTCTCCAAGGAGGGTCGCAAGTCACGTTCACGTACCTTCTCGTACGACAAGCCACCGCCATACACTATCATCCGAGAAAGCGAGTGGGTGTGCTCTTAGGGTGACAAGAACGGGAGTTGACTTTGACAGGAGCGGATACGTTTGCCGCGGTGGTCATCTTCTGACTTTATGACGCGAAGTTTTGTGGATGTTGCGTTACCAGCATCGAGGTTGTCGATGCTTTAGATAGGTTTTCGAGACGTGACTCAACGTCTCTGCTTCCACGACGGGATACCAGGAGATTCTTTCATGCCCAGAGCTGTCACTGCCGCCGCGGCGCTTTGCTATTATTGTGTGGATGTTGCTGCCACAGTCATCAATCGCTCCTGTCTAATCTTCGGGAGAGGAGACGGTTTGCCCGCTGCAAAACACGTTAGCTGTGTTGCTACCACTATACACGTTTGACACCACCCGTCTTTGCACCTGCTTGATGTGTTGAGAGTATGGTGAAGTCAGAAACGAAAAGGTATTTAAATTGCACCGGAATCGACGCCGAGCGTGTTTTGGGATGGCATTCGAGGAGGTTTAAAAACAGACTTCTATCACACGCGGGCATGTGGGTCGGCCATCGCACCTGCTGTATCCATCCAAAACGACAATGGGTGTAACATAGCTCCCGCCTTACCTTGGCATTGTTGGACATTACACCTTTATGGAGCATTCGAGTACGGGTCATTGAACAAAATAGGACGAGGACCGTATCATGTCCACCTCGACCTAAATGTCTCGATGGCCGGGATGGGCGTGGGATACCCTTTTGGGAAATTAGTCAACAATGGCAATGCTGAACTTGCCGAGAGGCTGAAATGCACACAATGGACCGACAAAAGGACCGGAACCAATTTGACAAGCCGTGGATATGGAGGCGAAATCTGGGGTAGGAAGGATCGACAGGTGCAGAATATGAGCGTATGCGTGGAGAAAAATGTACGCCGTCTATATTGTCAACTCTGAAATATGGAGTCGTACGGAGTAGTAGTAAATGGGAGATGCGACCTTGCTCTCCGCAAATCGCCAGTTTGAGTCCGCTCCTCCTCGTGCGCCGCAAACTTAGTGCGGTATGGCCGTTTTGGTGTACTCGGCCATTCGCACCAGACGACCGAAATGAAGGTGAGAGGCAAGCATCGCTACATTGGCACGTATTTGCCTGCCATAAGGTGCCACGAATACTCCCCCATTGTACGTTTACGAGTGTCTCCACAGCCCGTTTTGTTTCCCTTCTATCCCCGGCTTTGCGGACAAGCTGTCTCGGAGGGTGCTTATTCGATTCGGTGAGCTTCCTGTTTGGGAAAACCGGAGGAGATCCCTGCCGAAAAGAGAGGGTTGAAAAAGAGAATAGACGAGGAGGACGTCAGAAGTTAGTCTGGGGCAATTGGTGGGGATGGGCACCGGGTTCAATCGGGTGGGTGAGTGGAGGATGGGGAAACGTATTTATGTTCGGTAGAAGCACTTCCAACCCGGCCCGCTAAAAGGACCCCAAAACGGCACCAATGAGGCGCGCTCCAGCGGCTGCCAATGTTCTCAAGCCTCCCAAGCCACAGAAGCGTCCGGGCCTTCCCAAATGCGTACGGAAGGCGCGAGCTTGCGAGATAACAGGTCAGATCGCAAGTGCTTTTACATTGACTCCTTCCGCCAGAGTAGACGAACAGCCGACCTAGAAAGCGTCATACAATTGCCAGTGAGCCAAAGCACTCCATGTACTAAGGGGTCTAGAACAAATCTAAAAGGATGTGCAATCCCGCAGAGTTTGCTCCGCGAGAACCCTGTCCCGTCGCACACCCGGATGCGCTGCGGCATGCCCATCAACAGCAAAGGCTGATGTCTGTGAATCTCTGCTGGCGGAGCAATCTTGCACCAAATTCACCGTTGTAAGCAACCTGGCCAATCACAAGCGGCAGCATCAAACTGCGCACCTTCCCTAGCCAACAACAGACCGACGACGGCCCTCCCTTTATGTAGACTTGCTCTTTTTACAAACTACACCAAAGGAGAAACGCGTCGCGGAGGTCCAAAGCTGTTTCAGAGAACGAATTTTTCGATATGGAAAGCAATACAAGGTACGTGACACGGCGGTAAGACAGAGACATGCAGCTAACTACCCGGAACGTGCCACATATTCAATGATGGGTGTGGTCGGTCACGGTCCAGCCCTACTGCCTGCCGTCCAATTCCGTGCCGTTTTATGTCCCTCAACACATTCCGAAGACGACGAGACTACCGCCAGGAGCAATATGCGAAGGGCCGGGATTTCGTTTGGACAAGTTGGCTGAACATGCGTGACTGCTCTGGCAGCGTCCGACTGAGCATTGCAATGCAGCCTACCTCTGGTTCTAGTTCATGACCGAAGACAAACCGGTAGAATATGTAGCTACCGTAGAACGGGTTGTCTAACGGCCTTTTTTCTCACACCTGGTTATGTTGTGGCCAAAAGACAGCCGACAAACAATACCCTGTCTGCTCCACCAGGAGAACATATATGCATGGAATTTTGCTTGTTCTTGACCGAGGACCCTAAAAAACCGTTTGCCCACATCCATCTGGCAGCGGTAAATAACTTATCTACCCGAATATTCCTTTTTATACCCCGTGTGCCCAGGCAGCTACTAGTACTGGACCCTCTGTCTCGTGAGGAATATGCGCCCGATACCCACAGCGGTTCACCGCCTTCCGTCCTCCGAGGCAGCATGCCCCGGCACAATATACCCCGTATCCCGTCGTTCTTCAAAATCAGGGGGTCATACTAATTTCTTGATTGGTAGAGCTTCAGTTCGACCTCTTTTCCATGGTGACCGCGCCCTCGAATTCTTCGACGAGGCATCAAGTTGATGCGAAGCATTGCTGTCTTCAGATATATCTAATGGTAAATGTTCATGCACTAGGGATTTGACGTGGTCGGGTGTAAAGTTCGTCTACGGGAAAAGCAAAGCAAACCATCCTAGGTGAAATACCGACCATCATAATGTCAAATGGCCCTTCATATTCACTTTTCAACCTCGCCGGTCGTTCCTACTCTACGTTTAGCATCGAGCACGTGATTTTCGGATTACCGTTTTCGGCAATCCGGCTTACACGACCTCCAAGATGTCGACGCCTGCGACTAGGCTTTTGGTACGGTTAGCCGACAATGCTGATCGCCGCGTCAGAGGTACCTGCTTCATTTTCCTTGTCACTCCGCGTCCGGCCAGCACTAGGGCTCTCATTTGGCGACGAACCGGAGGCGAGGACCGAAACGATAGAACAAATTAAATGTCGAAAAAATCGATTTCACAGAGATTTTTCTTTTTTCTTTTTTTATAAAAAAAATGCAGGGCAATGACCCAGAGAAAATAAAAATCCTCACTGAAATACCCAAAATTGCGGAGTCAGGTTGCCACTTCGCTCCGCATTTCTTAAGCACTTGACGTCACTTGTGGCCAAGATGGGGGAAAAACATGGAGCAGGGGCCAATCCCCAGTTTTAATTGTGATTGTCACGTCTTGACGGGCGTCTTTGTGGTTGCTACCGCACTGTCAATGTCGTTCATTTGCAAGAGTGTTTCCTATTCTGGCATGTATCCATGTTATTTCGTGGTACCCAATTTTGCTCTGAATTTTCCCTGGACGGGCCCATGCCGAGCGGATCGGCATTCGGGAGAAACACGAGGTGATGGAGCGCGGCGCGAGAACTGAAGTCGATCGAAAAGTATTTAACATTCATTGTTTCCCACGTCAGATCCCGCAACGTGGCATTTTTTTTTTATGTTTATTTTGTTTTGTATTTTTTTTCTGGGTTTTAAAAGAACAGCAACGCCCGCGTCCGCACGTCTGCATATCAATAGTTGCAACTGGTCAACATAATCGACGCGATAAGCAGTTGCTTTTTACATAGACGCATACATACATCCTATCCCCGACGGCGACACCATGGTGAAAAAGTTCCTCGGCCTTCGGGGCAACGCCCTCAACTGGGCGGTCAGCACTGTCGCCGGCTGCGACTTCCTCCTCTTTGGCTATGGTGGGTTCCTCCCTAAACCGCGACATGGCTCCCCATACACGCCACATACCACAAGCCACAATATGCACTGACACACAGCGTCGCTTCACAGATCAGGGCGTCATGGGCGGCATCCTCACGCTCAGTGTCTTCCTGGAACAGTTCCCCATCATCAACCCTGACTCAGTTGGCGGCGCAGAGTCGTCGCGGCGGTCGACGTATCAGGGCATTGCCGTGGCGTCCTACAATCTAGGCTGTTTCCTGGGCTCTGTCATTACCATCTTCATCAGCAACCCTCTCGGCCGCAAGCGCATGATTATGCTCGGTACTTCCATCATGGTTGTCGGTGCTGCACTGCAGGCGTCGGCTTTTTCGATTGAACACTTTATCATTGGTCGCATCATCACGGGCTTCGGCAACGGCTTTAACACATCGACGGTCCCGACATGGCAATCTGAAATCTCACGTTCACACAAGCGCGGCAAGCTGGTCATGGTCGAGGGCGCTCTGATCACGTGCGGTATCATGATTTCATATTTTTTAGACCTGGGCCTGTCGTTTGCGCCCGGGTCTGTGGCCTGGCGGTTCCCGTTGGCGTTCCAGATTGTCTTCTGCATCTTCATCCTGATATTCATTCCTTTCCTGCCCGAGTCGCCCCGGTGGCTGATTCTCAAGGGCCGCGAGGACGAAGCGCTAGAGGTGCTTGCCGCTCTGAACGACAAGGATGTTAACGACCACGCGCTGCACAACGAATTTGCTGAAATCAAGGACACCGTAGTGGAAATGTCCAAGGGCACATTTGCCTCACTCTTCGATTACAAGGGCCGCGACCGCAACCTCCACCGCACGATCCTGGCCTACACCAACCAGGTATTCCAGCAAATCAGCGGCATCAACCTCATAACGTATTATGCGGCTGTCATCTACTCAAAGCTCGGAATGTCTCCGTTCATGTCACGACTTTTGGCTGCGCTGTAAGTATTTATCACTGTAAAAAGGAAACGATTCAAAAAAAAAAAAAAAAAAAAAAAAAAAACCTTAAACGAACTCCCAATTGCTTCATTTCATCGCTGACATCCTAAGAAATGGCACGGAGTACTTCCTCGCATCGTGGCCCGCTTACTTCCTTGTTGAACGCGTTGGTCGTCGCAAGCTGATGCTGTTCGGCGCGGCTGGTCAGGCGATCACGATGGCGATCCTGGCGGGCGTCAACGCACACACGGAAGGCAACAAGGGCGCCCAAATCACAGCCATCGTGTTTTTGTTTGTCTTTAACACGTTCTTCGCCGTTGGCTGGCTCGGCATGACGTGGCTGTACCCAGCCGAGATCACTTCGCTCCAGACACGCGCACCCGCCAACGCCCTCTCGACGTCTGCCAACTGGATTTTCAACTTTATGGTGGTCATGATCACGCCCGTGTCGTTCAACAACATTGGCTACCAGACGTACATTATCTTTGCAGTCATCAACGCGTTCATGTTCCCGTGCGTGTACTTCTTCTACCCGGAGACGGCCTACCGGTCGCTTGAGGAGATGGACAACATCTTCCACAAAGTCACCGGCTGGCGCGGTGTGTTCACGGTCGTCAAGGTGGCGCGCGAGGAGCCCCGCCGGTACGACAAGAACGGTCAGGCTCTCATCGACTACGAGCAGACGGCCGAGCACATGGAGCACCTCGGCCAGCAGCGTCCAGGCCAAGGCGAGCAGCCGGTGTGGGGCGGCAGCGGGAGCGGCAACGGGAGCGAGGAGAAGCCGAACGACAATCAGCAATAAATGCTGCTAGAGACGGAAGGTGCCACTGGCGGAGAGTCAGTTTGTCAACAAAAGGAAGGGAAGGCGCGAGCATGCTTCCTTCCACATTCATTCACATAGGTTATTCAGCATGCACATTTTTGAAATGGGCAGGAGCCCCCAAACGACCAAAGACATTTTGCTGTACTCAAATTCATAATCTCGTACTTCGTACATTTAATCGCTTGTGCCATGTATTGAAAAATGGGCCACATCGTCTTTGGGTCTTCCTGCCCCTTACTCCACCGACTTCCATCTCGTCTCGAGCTGCGCAACGACCAAAATCTTGTTGCCACCGAGCTGGGAGGACATTTGGTTAGCCTCGACATTGTAGCGCGCACCGATTAGCTGCTGCATGTTGTCGTAGCCGTAGCCAACGCCGGCTTGTCCGTACGTGTGATCGTGGTGGTTGCTGGTCACGGATTGCAGGTTGCCCCCGGCGGTGTAGGCGACGCTCTGCAGGCGGCTCATGGCGATGTTGTTGGCCAGGAAGGCTTCCTGCACCACAATGTTGCGGCAGATGGGCATGGTCTCCCAATACACGAGACGGCGCTGGGCCGAGTACGACAAAAGGGCGGCCGGGTTGGGCGGTTTCTGAGCACACGCTTCGGTGTAGAGGCCGCGCATGCGGGGGCTATACATTTCGCAGATGCGGGCCTCGGCAATGATTTGCGGTGTGTGCATAGGCATGGCGGCCGCTGTGTCGAGGGCGGTGCCCTTGACGAATTCGAGGTAGCACTCGGCACAAATGGTGCAGTCGGGCCAGCCGTACCAGGCGCGGTTGGTGTAGTCGACGTCGCGGCAGCACGGCGGGATCTGACCGTAGCGCTGGTTGAACGTGTCCATCGACGCGCAGTCCTGTGTGAACCAGGTCTCCAAGAGCTTGTCGACTTGGGCGCCGAAGCGTGGGGCTTTGACGTTCAGCGAGCACACGACGGCCGTGTCCGGAGCCGGTCGATGGATCAGAGGCACAAAGAAATGGGCAACATTTAGAGACTCGAGGATGCCGGCATAGCAGGCGCCGCAGACTTGGAAACCGGCGGGCTGGGAGGGCAGAGTGAACCACTTGCCGTCCTTGATGCCCGCGGCAGCGCAGGTCTTTTCCTCGTAGGCCATCTTGTTGAGGGAGCGCCAAAACAGCGGCCACGCCTTGTTCTCCTCGGCAGCAGAAAATGCCATAAGAATGTGGAACTGGCCGGCAATGCAGTCGCTCGTGTACTTTTTCGAGAAGATGGGGTCGTGCGGCATGTTCTCCCACAGCGGTTCCTGGCCGGTCTTCAAAACGCGGTCGCAGTAGCAGGCGGCGCACAGCACAGCATCAGTTGGGCCCTGGCCTTGCACGGGGGTGAACCACTTTCGCAGGCTGATCATGGCCTGGGTGCTCTTGGGGCAAGCGAGCATGCCGAGACGAGCTTTAGCTTCATTGCAAAACGTAGGCCAGTCACTACTCATGCTGCGCTCGTCAAATTCTTTGCGGATAAAAGGCACGGCAAAGTCGCAGGCCCAGACTTCAGCGGCGTTGTCGTGTGGCGGGGACAGCTCAAAGTTGTAGGCAAAGGGACTGATGCAGGCGGCATCCAGGAAACAGGCCTCACAGATGACTAGACCGGGAATGGCATCGTGCTTGGCGCGGAACCATTTCAGGCCCTGGCCTCCTTTGGCACCGTCCAGCTTCTTGCAGTCAGGGATGGTGAGACGCTGGTTCATAAAGTCGATGAGGCCCTGCAGACTACCCGTAGCCTGTGCGTCGGGTAGGATCTGGTCGGTGATGCGGTCGACCTTGAAGCGGCAGCGGCGGCGGATGCCGTCGCGGTAGTAGCGTGCGCCAAAGTGGTTCTGGAACTGGGTGGGGTAGAGGTAGTCCATGTAGCACTTGCTGCAGATAAAGGCCTCCGGGGCGTTGGGATGGGTGTACCACCAGGTATTGAATGCCATGGGGGTGTCGATGCAACTGATGACAGGCTTGAACGGCGGATCGACCTCGATATGGCGAGACGCTTCCAGGGCGGGGGCAGCGGCGGGTTCTGGGGCAGGCGCGGTGGTGGCGGGTGCGATAGCATGGACCGGGGCTGTCGATGCAAACGTGGACTCGGGGTAGTTGGTATGGGCATATTGCGGGTCGGGGTAAGCTCGGTCATGAGCGTCGGGTTGAGGCAAAGGTGCAGCAGCAGGTTGCTCAACAGGCTGGGTAGGCGGCTGAGGGGACGACAGGGGTAGTAGCTCCTGCTGAGGAGTATACGTCGGTGCTTGCTCCTGCAGAGCAGGGTGGGATTGAGTCGGTTGAGGGTGAGAGGCAGCATGGACTTGCTCCTTGGTCGGTGCTGGTGCCGGTTGTGCATGTGCCAGCTGCGGTGCCACTTGGGATGGCGCTGGCTGTGGCGAGTGGGCAGGAGGGACAGTGTGAGGTGTCTCGAGCGACTCAGTCGTAGATGCCGGCAGCTCAACTGGTTCGGATGGTGCTGCTGGTGTTGCTTCCTCAGACGCTATGTTCATAGATTGCAGCATTGTATTCATCTGCTGCACGGGGTCGCTGGCGTGGCCGGAATTCGCGGGTGCTGCAGTTGGGCCGGTCGCAAGGGGGGATGCAGCTGTCTCTTGGGATGAGACAGTAGGAGCCGACTGGCTCGCAGGAGAAGGGTAGGCTTGCGGGGCATCGTAGTAGCTGTAGTTTGTGCCATACTGCTGGGAGTGGCCGTCAGGAGGGGCGGCTTGGGGATGAAACGGCGGCGGTGGAGGAACAGAGGCAGGGACAGCAGCTGGATCTGTCGTCTGCTGCTTGTCTGCAGAAACAAAGGTTTGGCCTTGAACAGGAGATGTGTATTGCGGCGGAAGTGGTGTCGGTTGAGCAGCATGAGGATTGTAGGCCGGCTGGGCAGCAGGAGGAGGAGGAGGAAGGGGGCCGTAGCCAGTGGCAGCGGCGCTGGGGTCGACGATTTGTACTGGCTGTTGCTGCTGCTGGGGTGGCAGAGGTGGCGGCGGCGGATAGTAGACTTCCTGGTGGACGGGAGTCGGATGTCCGCCGGACGCACCGGAGGGCGAGGGCGCAAGACTGGCAGCGGCAGGCGGAGCCGAGTAGGCCTGTTGGGCCAAGGCCTGCTGGTTGTACGCGTATGAGCCGGGCACAGGCGCGACAGAGGGGGCAGGAGAGCTGTAGGGCGACTGCTGCTGGTACTGCTGCTGCCGCTGTTGTTGCAATTGAGGAGAGGCCTGCGGTCGAGGAGGGAGGACAGGAGGACGGTTCGGACTGCGGGGCGGCGGGGGGAAACTCATGTAGGTTTGGGCGAGAAAGGGGCCGGCACCTCCAGGCGGTCGAGGCGGAAGTGCCGGAACATGTTCGCCGGTGCCTGGAGCAAGGTAGTTCGGGTTGGGTGGTACATATTGCTGTTGTTGCTGAGGATAAGGTTGGCCATGGTAAGGATGCGGCGTCTGGTAGGTGGGCTGTTGGTATGGTGCCTGGCCCTGAACGTGCCCCTGAACCGGTACCTGTGGCGCTTGTTGTGGCGCTGCGGTTGTACCCGGTGGCGGGGTTGGCTGCTGTTGTTGCTGCTGTGCCTGGCCTGGCACCGGCCGGCGCTGGACCGGGTTGCTTTGGTATGGAGGGTAGTTGGACATAGCGATCACCGTCGTTTGGACCAGCAGTTGGAAGGAGGAGAGGAGCGCACTCTTCCCGTAGATGGATGGCGAGGGCCAAGCACCGATATATGGGAGTGGTCCAAATGGTCTGGGCCTTGGGCCTGGCCCTATTTCTGCCTCTGGGTGCCACCCAAGCGCGATAGCGATAGCGGAATGCGCTGAAGGACTCGTCGGCGGGCAGCTGAGGCAGCCGTGCCCACTAGCCTCTTACTGGTCTACAGCACAGGCGGCCCCACTCCACGAGGCAGACAGCGGAATACGTGCGCTGCATCTGCAAAACTGTGTCGTAATTACAACGTGATTGCAACCTTTTATTAGTCTGTTGTGCTTGCCCATACGAGAAACCAGTGCATCAGCGCCCGCCAACAACTACCCAAACAACCGCCCACGACTGCGACCCTCCCGTTCCTCGACGGTCCTCCCTCCCTTTGTCGCTCGCTAAAGTTTCGATGTCCGTGCCGCTTCCAGCCGCGCCGGCAGATTCCGCCGCAGTAGCTTGCCCGTGGCATTGCGTGGCATCGTCGCCAAAAAGAACAGACCACCGCGCAGCTTCTTGTGGTGAGCGACTTGGCCGTCGACAGAGGCGCGGACGTCGTCGAGCACGCTGGCACGACGCCCGTCTGCGACGGACGACACGAGGTTGACATAGCCAACGGGCACCTCTGTCTGCTGCACGGCGTCCCAGGCGGCGCAGACACCAGCTTCCTGCACGAGCGGGTGGGCATGCAGCAGGTTCTCGAGTTCGGCGGGCGACACCTGGTGGCCCTTGTACTTGATCATGTCCTTTTTGCGGTCGGTCAGCCAGAGGAAGCCGCCGCCGTCCATGTGGCCGACATCGCCTGTGCGCAGGAAGGCGGTGTTGTCTACGTTGCCACCGGACGGCGAGTATGGGAACGCTTCTGCCGTGGCTGCCTTGTCGTTCTTGTAGCCCATGAATACGGTCGGCGACGAAATGACAATCTCGCCTGTATCGCCCGGCTGCACGTCCCGCAGGTTATCATCAACAATCCGCAGCTGTCCGCCCGACACTGGCCGGCCGACGCTGCCCTGCTTGCGCGTCGCGGCAAAGCGGTTGACAATCGTGGCCAGGCCCTCGGTCATGCCGTACGCCTGGACGATGGCGACGCTCTCTCCTAGGAGGGAGTGGACGGCACCAATCATCTCCGGCGCCAGCATCGCACCGGCGCAGACGATGGAGGTGACGCTGGAGAGATCCATCGCGGCCTTGTGCCCCCCCGCCTGCTGCTGCTGCAGCAGCTTCACCATGGCCACGAGCGTCGGCGGCACCATGCGCAGCGTCGTGGCCCGGGCATCGGCACACGCAGCGAGATAGGCCGGCAGGCTGTACGACCGCATTAGGCGCACATAGCCGCCTGTGAAGACGGGCATCGTCGTCGCCACGAACACGCCGTAGATGTGCGCGAGGGGTGCGTAAAAGACATCGCGCTGGCTGTGGTTGGCCGTCGTGGGCTCGCTGGCACGGTACAGCAGCGGGTAGGCGAGCACGTTGTGGTGGCTGAGGACGGCGGCTTTTGGGCGGCCGCTCGTCGTGCCGGAACTGAAGCAGATGAGAGCAGGTGCCGTGTGGTTGTCGATAGACGACAGGTCGAGGGGCGCCTGCACGGGGTCGGCATCTGTGTCCTTGATGCAATCGGCTGGAAACGCCAGTTTGGCCGTGCCGCGTGTGCCGATGCCGATAATTTGTGTACGTGGCTGGGTCGACTGCGCAAGGGCTGCAGCCATGTTCTCCATCAACGGGCCGGGGTCGCAAAAGATGGCTGCCGGCTGGGCCGTGTCGATGAGGTGTACCAGGTCGCTGGTCGTCGCCGACGCGTTTCCGAGGCTGTCGCCCGTCAGTACAAGTGTGCAAGTCATGTCTACAGTCTCTTTGTTCCTCCACATGCCATGGACTCACGCAGCCACCACGCCGCTCCACAGCGCAGCATATTCAATGTGCAGGTAGTCCAGCGTGTTGGTGCCGACAACGAGTATGGTGTCGCCGCGTTTCAGTCCGATCACCTCTCGCAATCCGTCTGCGCCCAGGCCAGCCAGCCGCGGCGCCGAGCCATATGTAAACAGCCTGTCGGGCCGCTCATGTTCTTGGAGGATGACGGTGTCGTCCGGCGTGTCGTCGACATTGAGCCGCAGCATGCACTGCCAAAACGACTCGTTGCGGGGGACCGCCGACGGCGCAAACGTAGATTTGTAGAGCATGATGAGCAAGAGCGGCGGGTGTAGTTATCGTAGTGGACAGTCACGACTCGTGTCCTCTCTGACTCGTGCGCCAAGGCCTCATTTTGTATTCGTTTTCCTCGACGGCTGCATCAAGGATGCGGTGGTGAAAAGCCTCCCGTCGGTCAAGCCCGTGATCTACATTCGCTTTCGCCGTATATGTCTGTGCTTGTCTCCACTGCCTTTGGACGTTTTGCAGTACGTCGTACGGCCGCGTGGGCCGCAAGTGGCTCAGACTGTCAGTAGTAGCAGGCGCCTGTACAACGTAATAGAAGCCCCTCTAAAAGTGGTTCGCAGCAGGCTAATTGTAGTTGACTGAACACAGCAGTGTATTGCCCGAGGCGAAAATGTGTATGTGAATATTCTCATTCTTCGTATGGGTTTGATCTTTATTTTGTTTAGTTTACTCGTCTTCCTTTTCTGTATCACAATCGCCAGCTTCGGGTTCCCCACAGCCAAGATCCTCAGACGAGTCAGCGTGTTTGCGGATGCGAGTCTGCGAGTCAACACTGCTAAGAGGACTCCGCACGCCTTCACTACAACCCCCTTCGGCTCGCCTCTTCACATGTGTATCGAGTCTGTGTTATGTCCCATATTTTATTTAAGTAATACGAGACCGAAACCAACAATACAGACGGCGAGTAGACTACTATTGTGACCTATGGCTCCATGTCACAACAGCAACACACGCACACGCACACGCACACACACACAATGTTGGATCCATCCCTCAACGTGGGCCCATTTGCTGAGCCTGCCTGGCTCACGACGCTCGCCTCACCCTTCTACAATGAGAGCCACCGCCGGTTCCAAAAGGCGGTCCGCTCGTACCTCGAGGAGAATGTGATGCCGTATGTCGACGAGTGGGAGGAGAACGGCCACGTGCCGGAAGAGGCGCGGCTCCGGTTTACGCGGTCGGGCATGGCGTTTGTGGACATGCCTGCGAAATACTCGCACGGCGTCCAGCTGCCCGGGGGCGTCACACACGAGGAGTGGGACATTTTCCATTTCATGATCAAACACTACGAGGTCAACCGCATCTGCTCGGGCGGTGTGATTGGCGGCATCGGCGGATCGCTGGCCATTGGCGTGCCGCCCATTGTCAACTTCGGCACGCAGAAGCAAAAGGACCTGTGGCTGCCGGGCATCGTGACGGGTGAGACCTCTTTCTGTCTGGGCGCCACCGAGCCGACGGGCGGCAGCGACCTGGCCAACCTCCGGACGACGGCGAAAAGGACGGCCGACGGCACGTCGTACGTGGTCAACGGGCACAAGAAGTGGATCTCGGGCGGCATGTCGGCGACGCACATGACGACGGCCGTACGGACAGGCGGTGCCGGCGCCAAGGGCGTGTCCGTGCTGGTCATTCCGCTGGGCAGCCCCGGCGTGTCCCGGCGCAAGATCCGCAACACCGGCTTCCATGCGGGCGAGTCCACCTGGGTCACCCTCGAGGACGTCGTCGTGCCCGTGGACCACCTCCTCGGCGAGGAGAACAACGGCTTCCCCACGCTCATGGCCAACTTCAACAAGGAACGCCTCATCATGGCGGTCGGCATGAACAGCATGGCGCGCGCGTGCCTCGAGGACGCGTGGGCGTATGCGCTGGACCGGCACACGTTTGGCAAGCCGCTGTTCAGCCACCAAATCATCCGGCATAAGCTGGCGACGCTGGCGCGGTACATTGAGTCGCACTGGGCGTGGCTGGAGCAGATTGCGTACCACGCCAAGGCCAGGGGGGACGTGGGCGACGAGCTGGCGAGCCGTCTGGCGCTGGCCAAGGTGCACGGCGGGCGCATTCTGGAGCTGGCGAACCGGGAGGCGCAGCAGATCTTTGGCGGCGCGGGCTACCAGCGCGGCGGCGTGGGAGCGCGCGTGGAGCGCGTGGGCCGGGATCTGCGCGTGAGTGTGGTGGGCGGCGGCAGCGAGGAGATTATCACGGACCTGGCCATCCGGCAAGAGATGTCGCAGGCGAAGAAGCGGGGCGCAAAACTGTAGCCCTGCGTGGCTGGCAGCATGTGATGGCAGTCAACAGAGTTGTGTAGACGGAGTTGTAGATAGCAAAATGTACATACAAGATACAAAGTCATGGTGGTGGAATTGTCGCATGTAATGTTGGTTGTCTATGAAATATACAGAAAGAAAACAAACGAGCTTTGTACAGAAAGAATCGTCCCTGTTACACCAATTGCACCTCACCCCCCTTCCCCCTACAACTTCGACGGAACCCACTTGGGCTGCTCCTTGCGGGCAAAGGCAGCGGTGCCAATTTTCATGTTCTCACCGTCCATAAGTGCCTTGCCGTAGCGCTCCTCGGTGATCTGCGCCGCGCGCTCCACGCTGCCCGTCTCCCACGCCTGACGCAACCCTGAGCGAGTTACGATCAGTGCGTCCGGCGACTGCTGGCCCACGGCCTTGGCCAGGGCAACGGCCTCGTCGATGAGCGACGCCTGCGTCTTGGACACGCGGCAGAAGCCCAGGCGCTCGAGCTCCTGCGCGGTCATGATGCGGCCCGCCAACGCAATCTCGCCGGCGAGCTGCATGCCGAAGTTGCGGACAGCGTGGGCCAGGCCGCCAGCGGCGGCGTACAGGCCGCGGCTGGCCTCGGGCAGGCTGAACGTGGCCGTGGGCGAGGCCAGGACCATGTCGCAGTTGAGGGCCAGCTCGAAGCCGCCACCGTAGGCATAGCCGTTGACGGCGCCAATGACGGGCTTTTTGCCGAGGCGGCGCGCGAAGCCCAGGAACGATCCCGTGGGCAGGGTCACGGGCGCGGTGCCCTTGCCGCGGGTCCTGTTGACCTCCTTGAGGTCGGCACCGGCCGAGAACGAGCGTGTGCCGGCGCCCGTCAAAATGGCCACGCGCAGCTCGGGCTCCTCGTCGAACCAGGTCCAGACGGCGTCGCCCTCCCAGTGGCCGGCCATCGTGATGGAGTTCATGGCCTTTTCACGATTGATGGTGACGAGCAGGACGTAGGGCGCCGGGAAGGTGAGCTTGAGGATGGTCGTCTCGGGCGGCGGCGTCTGGAAGGTGGCGTACGGAGACGACATGGTGGCGGTGGGCGAGGCGTGTCGAGACGTCAGTTGAGAAGTGAGCTGAGAAGCCGGTTGTTGCGCCAGGTGTGATGTCCGCTGAAGGAAGAAAGTAAAAAGAAACAAAGACAGGCGAAAAAGAACGACAAAATCAAAAGTCAAGATAACAACGGAACGGCAGCAGACGAAAAGAATGCCGACTTTCCAAGCAGCCCCGGCTCAAGACCATCAATTGCGTCTTCTCTTTCCCAAAGCTCTGATCTCACGTCGGCAGACGGCCACTCGTCTCTCATGGACTCCTCTCGTCTCCGTGCCGAGTCGCCTCAATGACTCGCTCCAATCCCAAGCGGGGGTCTTGTGGTGTGTTCTGGCGTGCCAGGTTCCTATTGGGGAGGTCTCCAGTGCATGTAGGATCGATTCCCACTCCCCTCTCCTTGTCGCTAATACTTAGGCTATCAACTCGCGGCGCTCTGCTTTCCTTTCTGAGTAGCCAAGCTCGCAAGCTCCTCCGCGTGTGGGTGGAGAAGCCGAGCTTTCACACTACATCGTAGGGTGGTGGAGAACAAGACGAAAGGGCCTAAAAAGTCTCTTGTTTCTAACCAAGAGGGGAAGATGCCCTGAAGCTACTAACACCCGCTGTATCTACTTACAACGACGCAATCACTGCCGCACATGAGTCCATTGAAATCAAATCAAGATCAGAAAGACATCACAATCATAATCAAATCAAGGACATATCACAAATACATCAATCGCGATGACATTATATACAATTAGACAGTTCATATACATATCAGGCTTCGTCACTACAACTTCGACGGCGTCGCTATAAAGAAAGCATTCTTGCCGTCCTTGGTCTGCCTCACAGTGCCGCGCGTTCCAATCGGCTCGACGGCCAGGTCGACCATGTACTGCAGCGTGGCAGCATCGCCGTTGTTGGCCACGAACCGGTGGCCTGTCTGGTCGACGCGTGCGACAATGTGCGCCACCGTGGGATGGCCGCTGCGGTCGTAGGCGACCGTGTACGTCTCAATCGTGGCCGGTCCGGCTGCTGACTCGTCGACAACCGGCGCCGACGGGATGGCCATGTGGTGCGGCAGCGGGTTGCGGCGCGGGTAGACGTCGATCTCGGGCGAACGCGGCTGCGACGACAGCAGCAGACCGTAGTGGTGCGAGAGGACGCCGCCGTTGGCCAGCACGAACCCCGTGCGGTACTGCTTCGCGCGGATGTCGCGGGCCATGGCCACCATGGCGTGCATCGAGTAGTTGTTGCCGGCGCCGCCAAACGACGTAAGGCCACCTAGCAGCGAGATGGGCTTCTGGGGCCGCGTGATCGACAGGCCCAGGTGGCGGCAGGCCAGCTTGGGCACGACGGGGAAGCACGAGTAGAAGTCGTAGGCGTCAATCGCATCCTGGCTGCCGATGCCCGACACGCCAATGGTGGCGTCAATCGCCTGTTCCAGCGACTGGCTCGAGTAGAAGTTGGTGCGCTCCCACCAGTTGTCGCTGTCGTTGGTGCCGGCGCCGCCCAGCAGGTAGATCCACTGCGACGGCGCGATGCCCAGCGCCTGCGCGTGGCCGACCGACGTCAGGATCACCGCCGCCGACAGGTTGACCGTGTTGAACGCGTTCTGCAGCAGCGGGTACGGCGTGCAGATCATGCGGTTCTTGGGCGTCAACTCGCCCACCGCCCGCGCGTCCCGCGGCGTCTCGCCCGCGCGCCACGACGCCGGGTGCGCGCATGCCGTCCGGTCAAACGCCGCGTACAGCTCGGCCGACTCGTCCCTGTTCTCCTGCTGCGTCATGCCCGTGTGCGCCCGCAGTCCGTTCTCGTACATCGGGTACACGTGGATCGCTAGCCCCATGCCGTGCCGGCTCGCCGTGTTCTGCCCGTTGAACTCGAGGTTGTTGGTCGACACCGCCGCCGCCTTGGGGTCCGGCCGCGTCCACCCGGGCGGGTGCTTGTGCCCTGCCTTGTGGCTCGCCGCCAGCGACGCCAGCGACTCGCCGCCCGTCACAATCGCCAGCTTGCTCTCGCCGCGCGCAATCTGCCGTGCTGCCTCGTCCGTCAGCAGTGCGCACTGCTCGCCGCCGTGGAGGCCTATCGTCGAGAACGACGGCTTCATCTTGAGGTCCTGGGCCAGCAGGCCCGGCAGATCTTCGTACGGCTGCGTCCACGGCGGCACCACCGATAGGCTGTCAGCCGTCTGCAGGTCTTTTGTCGACAAGCCTGCGTCTGCCGCCGCCTGCCGGATCGCCGCCAGCATCATGCCCGCCGGCTCTGTCGAGTGCTCGACATCAATCTTCTTTTCGCGCACCTCGCCGACGCCGATCAGGATGGGTGTGTTTGGTGAGACCATGTCGGTGGGCGGCGACTGAGTTGTAGATGGCACCAAAAGTGAAGAAGCGGGAAAAACGTAATTCAAATCGTGAATCAAAAATGAAAAATTATACGGAGACAACCATATCTTCCAACAAACTGATCGTCATAACTATGGCTCACAGACAAACAGCCTCGGTGCGTCAACGTGTGCTAACCGTAGAGCTGCCGACTGCGCAGCTCTCCTCAGGGTGGGAGTGAGTTGGGTCGCTTGTCCCCCATACGAAGTACTGGCGCCATATGTCAAAGCCTCCGACCCACCACCACTTCTGTCAAGCACGTCCTATCTCCTCGACTCAGTAGCGCTAGCAAAGTACGGATTTACTTGACATGAGAGCAGCTAATCTTGCCATAAAACGGACACCACATCGACATCTGTGTCTGCAGCAATTGGGGTTGTTGTCAATGCGTGCCGCGAGCTGTTTCGAAAAATTGTACAAAGCCGTAGTCACACGGCTTTACACAAACACTACTCCGTTGAGTTACCCTTTTTCCTTGTTTACATGCGGCTTTGCGTCACGTAAAACTCACCATCTTGCACTTGTTTTTCGAGACATCATGCTCGCCAAAGAACCTTCCAGGAATGAATCATTGCTTGATAACAGAATGGGAAATCGCAACAGGTACAGAAAATGGGGAAAGGTAGCGAGGTGAGATGGGGAAATGGAGAAAAAGAGGACAGCGTGGGAATGGAGGCGAGTCAACCGTGGTTAGTTGTGGGCAAAGTCAGCGGTGGCAGTGGCGACAGTTGACCGTTGACAGGCACTGACACGTAGCTGTTGGCGGATGGAGTTGGCTCTAGTGTTGCCGGTACTATTACAGGGGTTCGGGGGCTTAAAGGGTTCTACTTCAGGGCAATCCAATCCCAAAATGGAAGCTGTTACGTAGAATAGCGCTAAAAACACGTGCCCAAATACTGAGGGTCTTCTTCGGAGTGCAGCGGTCCTCCAAACACGCTTCCACAGAGAGGTGCCGTCCGCTAATAAGGCCTGTGTTATTGGGGTAAGGGAAGAGCCGGAACGTGCCCCGGCAGAATCGAGATGATATCAACGAGGGTGAAGTAAGGATATCAGGATAGCAATGAGACAAGGTGAACAACAGGATGAGATAAGGATACGTATGGTAAGCTGGTGATGTAGTGTTCTATTAAAACGTGGTAAAAATTTGGCACGTTTGATATTGAATCTGTTTGCTTCCGTGTAATTTTTAATGTTGTCATTTTATATTTTATATTTTGGGGGGAAACGTTGATTGGTATTAATTTATTATTAAAAAAAATATTCCATGGAGAAAACCACAAATAAATGCCAAACTCTGTAAAATTGGATGTATTGATTTTTTAGGTTATATTAAAATATTACGAAAACGCAGAAAGTAATGAGGACGCATGAGGGAAAACGAAACATGGAACAAAATAACGTATAGGAAAACTACAAGACAAAAGACATTGTATCAAGATGGCGACTATGGCATACAACCAGCCAAGAATTTAAAATATATTAAAATTAAGCCCTCGAACATCAACAACAAATTATGGACACTACGTCGTCACGTTGTCACTGCTCGTGGAAAGCCGCACCTATGTCACTTTACGGAATTGAGAATTAAAATAAGTCCCACGTTTCAAAACGCATGCAAAAGACACATCAACATTATATACAGGCGGTCCCAGGCCGACAAACAATCCAAGCACTGCTCCACCAACACGGTAAGTTCAAAATGCTTTTACCTGGTTTCGTTGACACTCACCCCACGCCCACCTAGTTCGAGCTCGTGTCGTAGTCCACAAAACTGCTGACAGGCCAGCCGTTGTAGTAGTTGTACTCGTTGAGGTTGGTGGTGCCATGCAGGACTTCGTACCGGGCCATGTTCCACGACGCATTGTGATGGCCGTGTCCGCCCGTCTTGTTCTGGAGTGCAGCCGCCACGCGCTGGCCGACCTCGCGGCCCTCGAACCAGGCGCCGTGTAGGAAGCCAAAGTACTCGGCCGAGTTGGCCTCACCAGCAAACCAGAGATGGCCGACGTTGGCGCGGAGGTTCTGGTGCTTCTCGAGGGTCATGCCGACGGGCCAGTTGCTGTACGAGCCAAACGCCCACTCTTCCAGACTCCAGCGCGGGTAGAGGATGGCCAGCGGGTCGGGGACGTCAATGTCGGGGAACATGCTGCGCAGAACCGCCATGCTCTCGGCCAGCGTGACTTGATCGTCCTGCTGCTCGACACGGTATGACTCAGCGCCCACGACCGTCGCAAACAGAATGTGCGAGCCCTCCAAGAAACCGGGGTCGTCGAGCGACTGCCACACCGGGTAGTAGCCGCGCACCTGGGGGTCGGCATACAAAAAGTACTGGACGTCCTCGTCCCAAAATGTCTCGTTGAACTGCAAGAAGATTTTTGTGTAGGTGCCCATCTCAAAGGACTCGATGGCGTCCACTTTCCAGCGCGGCAGCGGCGGCTCAAAGTCGACGACGTCATTTTGCAGGACACCGAGCGAGAAGGTGCAGATGGCGTGGTCGGCCTCAATGCAGCCGCCGTCCTCGAGGACGACTGTAACGCCAGAATCAGAGTAGGTGATGTTGGTGACCGTGGTGGACAGCAGCAGGCGTGGGTCGTTTTCGACGAGGAACGTGCTGGCTTCGCCATACAGAAAGGTGTTGAAACCGCGCTGGTCCCAGACGTAGTTGTTCTCGTCGCTGAACTGGTTAAAGGTCAGGTTGTTGCCCGACACGCCAAACACGAAGCTGCAGTCCTCGGGCGCATACGCCGTCTCCCAGTCCCAGTTCCAGAACTCGACCGCCTGCGCGTGCATGTCCTTTTTGGGCTTCCAGTCGGCCAGGCTGAACCCGACGCGGGCACTCGTGTCCTGCAAGTTGTCGGTGAGCAGTACGCCCGCATCGGCGGCGGCCACCTCGTACGCCGCATCGTACGCGTCCATGACGTCCGTGTAGTCGACAGACCCGGTGTGGTCGTAGGTCAGCAGGGAGCTGTAGTTGGAGTAGGTGTTGTTGAGCCCGTAGCGCTTGGCCAGAGTCCAAATGGGGTTCTCGGGCCCGCCTGGCGAGCCGAGACCCTGGACCCAGTTGGCGCCGAGCTCGACGGTGTACGACGAGTTGTCGGCCTTTGTGCCAAACGTCGTGTGCGCAACGCGGCCGCCGATGTAGTCGTTGCGGTCGACGAGCAAGAAATCGGTGACCGATGCATTGGCCAGCGCCTGAGCGGCCGTGATGCCGGCCACGCCTGCACCGAGCACGGCGACCTTCGTCTTGCGACAGCTGCCGGTGCTGGACGATGTGGCATGTCGGGGCTGTTCGATGGCGAGGGCAACAGTGCAGCTGGCCGCGGCCAAGAGGGCCACGCAATTCAAAAGTGAAGGCATGGCGGTGCGTCTCGGTCGAGGATGTGGACGATATGGCTTTGCCGGCAGAGATTGAGTTGGCATGCTCGGCGTAAATATATAGAGCTGTACTTCATGGAGACAAAACAAATGTACGCCGACGGCCAGGATGGGAATGTGAGGGTAGTGTGAACGTTGCAACTGCTTGTACCTGCCGTTTTGGGCCTATCCAGGTCTCTCTCGGCCAAGCTTCTACCCCAGCGGCCTCACACACGGCGTACGGCTGTATCCGTATCGGCACTTTATTGCTGTTCTGGGAAGCTTTGTGCAGGATCGGCACTGCATTAGTACGTTTGCAGGGGTCTGGGTGAGGAGGTGGTCGCTCTTGTCGACTTGCCCGCAGCACTAATCTGCAATGAGGTGCAAAAACCGGACGAGGGAGCTCGAGAGGTGTGGCCTATTTTGGCTTTATCAGAGGACCGTGCAACCCTTGAAATGCGACAAAGATAACCTGCACCGCCGTTGCGGTGTTTGCCGTTATTCCGTGTGTGCGACACAGGACGGTTGGGGTACCACTCATATGGGCGTGCATTGGGGGTGTCGTTGGACCGGGACAGATCCGTATCGAAATCCTCATCCTGGATTAACCTTTGCCGACGTCAAATTCCGTAGTGTAATAATAAGACGGCGTCTTTAAGATTCGATATGTGTTGGTTTTTGACGCGACCACGACGTAATAACTATCACAATAACCACCACCCAGTCGCCCTCAGCATTGCTTCTACCAAGCACAAGTAAACACGAGACGCTTCTCGCCTCGCCTCTGGCGCTGGCTGTTTGTTCTCAATCAGCCCACAGCCCTGCACGAACCGTGTCCACTGCATCAAGAACGGCGCTTTGGACTCCTGCGAATGGACGTCTCATGGCTCGCCCCACACCATGATGCTCGGTTTGTCGCGAGAACGTGCGTAGGGCTGTCAAAGTTGTCCCGTACGCGTGGAACGGGACCATGTCGACCCGGGGGTTTGCGGGTTCTGCTGGACCGTAGTCGATTCCAGGGTCTCTTGGGACAGACGCCGCGGCCCACTTGGAATGCACATGGCCGAACTTGCAGGATGCGTCGCGACACCGCCCGTCTATTGAAAACCCCAACACAGCAGCGTTTTGGCGAGGGCGTTGAGCACATTAATGCGGACCAGAAGCTACGAGTCAGTTCGTTGCGTGGCCCCGGGCGTGTTATGTGGACAAGGGACGAGAAGGGGTCCACTCCTAAGGACGACGCACACTGTTCTCGAAAGGTGCGTTTCGTGAAGAATCAACAGCATGTTAATGGCCTTGATCAGCGTAGTGAGCCTTGAATGAAGTAAGTGGAATATACGAAATGCACGAGACATGAAACGAGCACGTAATGCATGGACGTGATCTGCGGACTAAACGTATTTGCGTGTGTCTTCCACGCCAGAATGCCGCTGCTTGGTGACGTGCGTGTATTTTGTATGTTGACTATTGATCAGTCGAGGGGAAACAGGCGCTGTCCTGACGGAAGTAAGTCTCAGTGTCATCTTAACACACGCCCTGGTCTTGTTCGCATTGAATCCCACCCGTCACGCCCTGTAGTCGAATACCGCTTTACAAGCGGGCCAAGATGGCCTCAGCACCCGTGTTCTCGATGGACTTGGGGACCGTGTCCCGCTCGGCGTACACGACCTTGCCGTTGTCGACACTGGAGGGGAGAGTTAGTGTGGGCTGTGAACGGGCAAAGTCACTTGAAGCGGCACCGGAGATGGGCAACTCACATAATGGCGTACCGAGCAGTCCGCTCGCCGGCGGTCCAGCCAATGGACTTGCTAAAGGCCGCACCGGGATCCGATACGAAGAGCTGTCAATTAGCGGGCCGTCTCGATTCAATTTCATCTACGCCAGCCAAGGACTCACAATCGAATCGTCCGACACGCCGTTGGCCTTGCCCCAGGCGGCCATGACCCAGTGGTCGTTGAAGGCCAGGAAGACAACCTGGTCGACGCCCTTGGCCTTGAGCGCGTCGCGGTTCTTGAGGTACGAGACGACGTGCTGCTCCTGGCACGTCGGCGTGAAGGCGCCGGGCACCGACACGAACACAATCTTCTTGTTCTTGGCCTCCTCGCTGGCGTTGTAGGGGACAGCGAGGCCGCAGGCAGTGAGGTCGAGCTCGCCGGTGGGCGGGACGTACTGGAAGGACACGCCCTCGGGGAACGCATCGCCAGCTTTGAGACCAGACATGGTGGGAGGGTGGGGATGTTGGACGAGAAGGTGGTCGAATCGAGGGACGTCGAGCTAGATGTGAAATCGAGATAGTTTGGTTGAGTTGCTGAATTGTTGATGTGTTGACAATCGAAGACGCTGTGTCGGAATGTTTCAAAGTGGGATGCCAGCAAGCTATCCGACAACGGACCGCGGGGTATCGCGTAGGGGGGATTTGGGGCATGCCATTTCTTAGCCGATTGCGTTATTTGCCCCTCTGGCCGGGTGCCTGGCGCCCTGGCTGCCTGGGTGGCCGGTCGCTTTATGAACCCTTGCCCTGAATTTAGCGGAAACCGGGCACGACGTGGTGGCGACCATACCCATCAAGGTACCCGTAGCTCGGTGTGACGTAGCGGGCGCTCTTCAGCACATGTCGCACTGTAAAGCAAATGTGCTCCGATGGAACCCATCGGCCGAGTGGCCCGGGTTCTTGCCGCGCAACCGCCGTCTTCACAACATTGGATGTGTCTGGCAGCATTCGCAGTCGAATCACACGTTGGCAGATGGCAGGAATCTGACCGTGTCACCGACTTTAAAAGAGGAACTGCCTGAGCGGTGCTCCTGACCAGCCGCGACCACAAACTCAGTCGCCTCATAGCCCTTGGTGATTGCCGGTATGTTGTTGCCCTTCGGCTTGATGCCGACGTCGTCCGACACAAACGTTCGTCTGATCAGACCGGAAGAGGCTGCAGCAGAGTGTTTTGACGAGCAGTTCGTAGGGTTTGGGCCATGGGACGGGCACAGTGTTGAGGCACACCTGGTTGTCGGCCACTGCGCGATGACAACCTTATTTAGCGACCACACTCGATATCTATGACTTTTGATTCGACGGCGTTACAGTGCCGTCTTCAATCCCAATACATCCTCTCTTGTATCCGTTTGGCAATCGCACAATGCTGACATGAAGCGCACCCCGGTGTTCAGAGTCCGTGCCAAGGCTGGTGACTGTATCCCGTGGCGGATCGTAGAGAACAAAACGGAAGATATGTCTCTGCGAAGCAGGCAAGAAATGGAGGAAAAGTCCTCCCCAAACAACAATACAGTAACAGACTCCAACGACGAGTTGGCATTTATCGACGTTGACAATATTCAAATGACCATTGCGCCAGGCTGGCTGGTGGTGCAGGACGGTAAGCCGGTACGGGGCACGCGCGGGATATTTACCGGGGAGAAGAAACAAAGTGAGTGAAGGGAAATTTTTTTTGAGAAAATCCCAATATGTAAAGGAATAGACATGCATACAAAGCCCTATAAGCCACAATGCCCGTATGAGTTTCTGCCCGTGCACCATACAGCCACAATTGCTATCCTATCCTTTGCTTCCTCCGCACCCATACGTCCTTGTCTGATAGATCAACTTCTTTCTCTGTTGCTTTGGTTACATTTCCTGCGACATCTCTCAGCTCAACCTCCCAGATTTGCAGACGGTAGTTGCCGCGGTCGCCCATGCCAGTAAACATATCAAAGGACCAGCCGTGCTTGGGACACGTCAGGCCGGCACTGAGCACAATACCAAAGTCTTCAATATCGAAAGGTGTGGCGTTGGAGAGGGGGTATGACATGTGCGGGCATTTCTGCGGCTGTTAGTGGACGATGTTGGACAGAGGTTGTTGGCACAGCAGGTGCTTACATGATCCACCGCGTGGAACTGGCCCTTGTACTGGAACACTAGCACCTGGTCCTTGAGTGCATCGATGCCCTCGACTTGAGCAACATCCTGCACTCGAACTTCACTTGCCGTGACGCCACCTGTTTCTGCGTCTTCAGAAACATGAAAGATCTTGCAGCCGGCAACAGGCAGACTGGACGGGGTGCCACATGCTCTCGGTCTTGGCGTGGAGATGACCTCGACGACGACGGCATCCGGGTCCATGGGCTGGATATCCGGGTACGACGACGCCGGGCCGGCGCAGAACCACGCGGCATCACCGCGCTGGCGGGATGTCCGGAAGAAGTTGAACATGTCGTGGCGTGGTTGTAGGCCTCGATCATTTGAGTATTTTGGTGCGTGTGAAATCTTATCATAGTCCACGAGCAGAGGTACGGGACCCACTAATATCGCGCATCAGCCAATCGGCAGCACTCTATACAGACGGACAGCACCACAACAACGTGCATGTTGCTTGTTGACGGAAATGAAACTCTACAGCCTATTCAAATCTAGTACCAGCTGGTAATCGTGGCAAAAAAAAAAAAAAGGAAAAAAAAGAGAAGGAACCTTGCGAGATAGCAAAGATAGCGGCAGTCGTTACGGAATAACTCGAGAACACCCGGCAGCCGCACCATGCAGCATGCCCTAATACAGCAGCGCTTCAAAAGACAAGAGCATCTCGGCGTGCGAGACATAGTAACCCGGCGGCAGAAACTCGTCAAAGATAGCGGCCTCGGCATGCATGGTCGAGTGAGTCTCGCCGGCCCAGATACCGCCTATCGGCATATCCAACGAAGCCGGGGCCCACGTGCCAGTCGGCGTATGGATGGGTGCGACAAAAGGGGGGGACGACGGCGACATCAACGGCGTCACAGGAGCTCCAGCACTTTCGGTAGTCCTGGCGACCGATGCCAGCATGCTCTCCAGGTTCAGCAGGCGCATGGCGTGCAGGATGAGTTTGCGCACTCTGCGTGCCGGCAGATGGCTCTCCTCGAGGGCGCCCAGGGTTCGAATACACATCTGGAGAGACGACACGAGGTAAGGCGTGTTACTTCCAGGGTTGTCTCGTCTTTCCGACAGCGTGGCAATCAGCGTCGTGGCAGCCGTGCTGATCATGTGCAGCGTGACCCACGACAGGGTGTGCAGGCTGCCGTGGCACTCCTCGTACTGCTGCAGGTACTGGGCGATGAGGCAGGCATGCTGGATACAGATCTGGCGGGAGGTCTCTTTGGGCGAGGGGCGGTTGTGGGAGCTGTAGGGACCATATGCAATGGCGTGCGGTGTTGGCTCGGCACCAAACTGCGCCAGTGGCCGGTGTAGCAGGATGACGGCGGCAGAGTACTGCATGTGAAGATGGAAGACGGCTGGGATTTGTTGGGGGTTGTACCGGAACTCGGCATCCAAATTGGTGTACCAGTCACGGAAACTGCGGTCGAGAGCAGCCACACGGTGGCGCGTCGTCTGGGCGCCATTGAGAGCGTCGCACATGATGCCGACAATCTCCAACAAGTCGGCCCAGGCGACCGACATGCGCAGCTCCAGTGACCCCATGTTGCCTCCAGCCACGGACGGCCTGAGCTTTTGGACGGTTACATCGTCGAACTTGATCATTTGGCGTCTGCCCGAGTATAGCGCCCATTGCCGGTCAAACGAGAAGCAACCCCAGAAACATGTTTGGCGCACCTCCCTCGCCATGGGCGTCAGGCTGGTAGCCGTCTCCTGATCCGAGTGGAAGCCTTCCATGTCACTGTGCAGGCCCAACTCAAAGGCCAACCGGCTCGCCCGGTCGGCGTACATCCAGCCCTTGGTTTCGTTGCTCACCACACCGTAGATCTCGCTGAGCAGCTCGAGGGACTGCAGTGTCGTAATGCCTGGATGGCTGAGTTCCGCATCGAACAAATCGGCGCACCGCCGCACCAGCAAAGGCGGATCCTCGTTGACTTCGTCCTTCACCAGCGCCAGGGCACGGATGCCGGGCCGGTCTGAGATGGCAGCCGCCCGCGCTAAAATGCAGTGCACCAGCAGCTTGCTGCAGTACTCTGTCTGGCCACTCTTAAAGTCGTGCAAAAACGCCTCCTTGTGGATGATGGGGATGACCTGGTGCTGGTATTTCCAGTAGAGCTCAAACAAGTGCTCTTGCAGCGATTCCGACACGATGTCCTGCCACACGACGCGGCCGCCATTGTGCGAAGGCTGCGTGGTCGCCTCGCTTCTCGACAAAACGGAGGATGCTACACTCTCGGCTGGGTTCAGGCTCGAAGTCGGGCCGTTGTAACGCGGCTGACTTACGCAGTTGCTGCTGAGATGCCGATAGCCGCCGCAGAGCCGGATGATCACGTAGTCCAACGACAACGAGGCGGCACCTCCGGAACGGTCGCTCTGGCTGCCGGGTGATGACGTTGTCACAGGGCCGACGAGCTCGTCGCACTCTGGTGTGTTGCGGTCGTCGATGCCAATGACATGATGGAAGCTGTCTCGACGGATGTTTCCCGAGACATCACGGGTAATATCACGGCCAATGTTCTCACGAGCGGCATAAGGTGGCGGTTGTGCAGCTTGTCGATGGGAGAGCAGTTCCGCTTCCAACGACGCAATCTTGGCGTACAGCTCGCGCACAAGCTTTTTACTGTTGGACAGTTTGCGCTCGTCGACAGCCGGGATCATACACTCGGCGCCCGACCGCAAGCATGCTCGGCAGCGGCCACCATTCTGGTCGGGCTGGCACTTGATTTTTCTTTTACGACAGCTGGAACACGCGAGCTGTTTGGACGGTTCTCCACTGCCGCGGCGTGTTCGTGCCGATGTAGACGCAGCGTTAGGCCTTGTTGCTGAATTGTGGTGTGCGTGGGAGAGGTCTGTGTAGTTTGCATTGTGGGCGTTGTGAGTGTGGTGAGATTGAAGAAAGTGATGCGGGCGCTCCTCGGGATAACTGCCGCTGCTGTCGCGTCGGTGGTCTATGCCGTAGCCCACGGACGCATCCCGTGGCCGCGTCGGGAGTTCCATGTCTGTGTGAAGTGCGAGAGTCATCTCCGTATTCGGTGGTTCTGTGCTCCGGGTGATGTTGTATCAACCTTTGGCGGCCTCGGCAATCATCGGCGTATTGTGGGCTGCCGCGGATTGTTTCGTTTCTGGTTGTGTTTGCGCCGCCGTTGAAAAAGCTGTTGAATGCGAAAGGCACACGCGGCCATCAATGTCCGTTGGACCCCATCATCACAAATCAACAAACAAAAGCCAGCAGAATCAAAGCCAAAATAAAAGTCAACAACACTCCGTTTGTCGCAGCTCCGCAGCGACTTACACCCTTTTGTATTGTACATTTTACGCTGCGCGGACTAACTGCCAGCTCAATCAAACAGATTCTCTCGGGATTAATCATGTCACCCAGCTATGACAGCGCCGACGCGCATCGATATCCGACCTGTCTTCCTATCGGTGACGGCCTTTCTGACAAGTCCATTGGTGCCACTGTGGGGCCTATCCGCACAGACCACGCGGCGGCTGCGAGGAAAAGAGACTCCGCTGTCAGCAGACATAAAAGAATAGTAAACAGGAAAGTGTGCCCATGGAAGGGAATGGATATGACAGCCGCGATGCACGACAAATCGCTCCGACGCCTCGTTGGCCCCTGTTTCCTCTCGTCCGTTCACGCCCAGGTTATCCTCGGATACAGACCTGCGACCGTCAGCAGACCACTAGTAGGAGGGAAAATAACTGATTTTCTGTAACACCCCTTGGTGTTTGGGGCAATGGGGCGTTACACCCTTACAATGGCCTAACACTCTCTACGGACAAATCAACCCGCAGGTGCGTACGGCAAATTTTTCGTACGGCATCCAGCCCAGTAAAAGCAATAAAGAAAGCGGCGCACTTTGCTCCGTTTTACATTCTACTCAAATTGCGCGTCTGTGGTGGTGATGTCGCAATTTAGAAAGTTACAACTTCCCTTGTAAATTCCCCGACCTCGCCTCCTCGTCTCTTAGCTCTTGCCTTATTTATTTGTCTACGACGATTACGCCGTAATTACATTACAACAGTCCGGCTTTTCCACTGTAAACCGCTAATAGTGACACCCTAAACGGGAATAAACCAGCTCCTGCTGTTGTTCATTGCAAACGAACCGAAGCTCCGGGTCAAGATGCGCAGAGGTCGATCTCCCAAAGTGCGGTGTGCGCCAAACCTTAGGGAAGTACGATAGTAGTACGTTGCTACCAACAAATAACAAGAACAATGGCCCCGCCTCGTCTACTGTGGCCTTCTTCACGGCCATTGAAGTCCGCTTTTCCCCAGTCCTCCACAGCCGTCCCCAGGCTGTAATGCTGCTCTTGGTTTAGGATTAACTAAAGTCTAAAGAGATCATGCAAAGTTTCCCCGCGTCGCCGTTCAAAGTCCGGATAGTCAAGTCAAGATGGGGAGGAATGGGTGACGAGGGAGAAATTAGAAACTACGCGACAATCTAGCACGTCTTGGAAAACAGAATCCGTGGGAACCCGTCGGCCTGAAGACAAGGCAGTGGCTGCGGGGACGAAACGCGCTAATGAGTCGCTGGAGGTCAGGGCGTAGTAGCCTAACCGATACCGCCACAGCCAGGAAACAGAAAGACGACACAGTGTCGTTGACAACACAAGATCAATCAGCCATCGGCAACCCAAGTCCTAGCTTTGCGTGCTTGTCACGCCAGCTGTGAATGCATCCGGCGTTGACACCGAATGGTGCAGAGGAGAGTGCACACGCAGCACCGTCAAAGCCACCCAAATGTTTGCACCAGTGCCTTCCCATGGTGATGGCCAAAATCGGCACCTGCTGGTCGCTGGCCATGAACGAGAGTTGAGAATAAGAGAGTCCAAATAGATCTACAGTGGACGTTCGGTGACAATTCCGCAATGGTGTCTTTTATTCCAATTCACTGTCAACTGCCAGACTTGGCAAAATCAAACTCGTAAACAAGCCACTACCACTTCCACAAATGGTTGCGTAACCGGAGCAAGGGGACAAAACAAACGTGGCTCCTCAGCACGACAACGTCGACCATGCCAACAATGGCAGCGGTGACGAGCAGGTTCTCCTGGATGTGCCCGGTGAGTCAAATGCCGATGTCGGAGGTCTCACGGCGACGAACGTGTGACAGCCAAGGCATGGCTGTGTGTTTCTTTAAGTCATCCTGGCCATGGCCTCAAGATAACGTACCTTGGCCTAACATCTCAACTTCTGTCCCATGGATGATAGCCCTGGCCACGCCCACAAACAAGGCACTGATGATTGCCCTCGTGATATTGTTGTTGACATTGCATTGGCTTGTGCGTCTGAGGATGTTACGCCCACGATGATGACGAAGATGGAGGTCTTTCTGAAGTTGGCAAAAAAGAAAACATTACATTAATGCAGAACAAGAGGCTGGCAAGTGCATAACTATATATGCACCGCCGACGATGACCTCGATACAATACACAAACACTCGAGCAATGCCTCGTCCGTATCACAAGTTTTAAAAGCCGTCCATCGTTTACGTCGGCTGTTGGCATACAGAGGTAGTGCTACAAGACAGTCGACCGCCAGTCGTCGAATGCCCACCATCGGTTTCCCCACCACGCTACCAGTCGAGTACTTCCTCAAATTTATCGTCCTCCAGCCCGTACTCAAGCGTAGCCACCTTCTCGTCCGGGTCCATGCGCACCTGGACGCTTTTGACCCGCTGCGGCTTGCGGGCCATGCCTGCCGCCGCCGCCGCCGCCGCCGCCACGCTGCTTTCCTCGAGCATAACAATTCGCTCCGCCACTCGTAGTGTCAAGGAACTGTCCCAGATGCCTTCCTGCAGACGGTTGTTGCGCAGGACGGCCAGCGCGCGGCGGCGCACGACGGGGTCGCGGCAGCGCAGGACCGTCGAGAACATGACGGGGATGACGCCCAGGTCCATGTGGAACGTGGGCAGCGCGGTCTCCTTGGCGCCGGCGGCATCCGGTTCCGGCTGCAGCGCCCGCTCGGCCCACGACACGACCTCGGCGAACTCGGTCACGTAGTTCATCCAGCGGTCGTCGCTGTTGGTGGGGTTGGGCACTTTGAGGTGGGCGGCCAGATACCGCTTGTGCAGCTCCAAGAGCGCGATGCCGCGCGGCGACAGCGACGGCCCCCGCTCGGCCACCATCTGGTCAAACGCGGCGGTCCACCAGCCGAGCATGAGCACGGCCGACTCCAGGAAGCCGTCGCCAAAGCGGGCGCGGGGCGCGCCCGAGAGCACGTGGATGGCCAGGTTCAGGATGCTCTCGCGGGCTTCCAGCAGCGAATGGAAGCGCGTGTCAGGCGACAGCGTCGGTTTGCGGCTGACGCCGGCCATGACGCCAATGTTCAGGTCGGGGTCGATGTCGCCGACCAGCAGCGCCACTTGGACGGCAAACCGGTTGAGAAAAGCGACAACAGCATTGACGATACTATCTGAAAACGAAGGAGTGGTCGGAGAAGGGTCTACGGCCTGTGGTGTCTGCGGCAACGATGCCGTAGATGAAGAGGATGCAGAAGTAGATGCTGTCGCGGTAGATGATGTAGATGCAGAAGAAGACGCCGTGGATGCAGGTGTGCCGGCGGAGGCTGACTTTTGTGCGCCTGGCGCGTTGCCCGCCGCAGTGTCTGTCGACGATGGCCCCGTTGTCGTCGGCCCCAGGATGCCTGTCCGCCGGTTCAGCTCCTCAATCATGGAGAGGCCGTGCTTGAACAGGCGGATTGCTGAGAGCAGCTCGCCTTGCAGAGCTTCAATGCAAATAAAAATCAAGCACGACACGAGGTGCACGTGCAGCGCTTTGCTGGGGTCGCCGCAGGCCAGCAGCGACTTGATCGCGAGATTGTGCTGTTTGAAGGCGAACGCGCGGTCGGCATCCATGTTGGCGTTCATGTCGGACGAACCCACCTTGGCGAATATGGCCATGTTGCTGGGGTTCGTGGTGGCACTGCTGATGGCCGGCACGCCGTCGGCGTGCGGCCGCGAGTAGCGTTCATGGTGGGCGGACAGCGACACGAGGGCGTGCCGAATGCAGTCTTGCGACAGGGCAAACTGCAGCACGTGGCTGTTCCAGAACTCGTCGGGGAAGAACGCCTGGAACTGTCCGATGGTGCGTTCGGTAAAGTAGAGCAGAGAGCGTGCTTCCAAGGGATCGCCATAGGACGACGGCGAGATCCGGTGCGTCGACAACGATGGACTCGGCGCCGACGACAAAGCCGACATGGACATGCGTCCAGTTGGCCGGTGAGTAACGGCAACGAAGCGCCCATTGCTGGCCCCGTTGCTGTTGGAGTGGTCGCTGGGCAGAGGGTCGAAGCCATCACATACACGGCCCGTTGACGTACCTAAATTGTGTCAGAGGAAGTGAAAGGCAGCGGACAGACGATCAGACATATGCTAAAGGATCGCCACTGGCCTACGTCATGCGTGCGCACAGGTCATAGGGGCATATAAGCGAAGGGGGATCAGGACCGGGCTCACGAAATACAGGGACAATAGCCACAATAGGCTATGCAGCACTTACATCGAAGACAGGCAGGCCGGGCCTCGTCGCACTTGACTTTTCGCACTGGCAGAGTGAGGATGAGAAATGAGTGACACAATATAAGAAAATATGGGCAGAATGGGAGGTGGGATCGTCATTTAGCTGCAGCCAGCCATACGGTACATAGGGCAGCGATGTGCAGTCTCTAGTACATAGTGTCACTCCGTAGTCTCTTGCCGTCCGTGGTGCACCAGTAGATCATGCACCACAGCACAGTTGTCCTCTTCTTGCGGGGAGATAGTCTGTGGAGCAAACGGCATGGAGCACGAGGCGAAGGTGGGACGAGAGAGGCGGCAGCACGGCAAAAGTGCAGGGCCAACAATATACAGGGTCACCAAAGCAATATTACCAGTTCACATACATCTGTTTGTTGGTGGTTAGCGTTGGGTGGAGATGTTGCACGTCGTCTCACGATGGCGTCGAAGCACGGTCTGGCAAAAGGGGAAGAGATTCATCGTATGGGACACGTACTTGCAGGTTCGACATCCAGTGCGCACTTTAGGGGCCTTGGCCCGTTTCCGCTCGCCGGGCTTGACCCGAGTCATTGTGAGCTTGGTCTCAGCGTCTTGGACGGACGAACGTCGTGAATAGTGAAAGAGGGCGGGTCGTTGTGCTCGTATGGACGGGGGGCCAAGACCGTTTCTCGACGTGGCTGATGGGCTGTCAGCGTGAAACGAAAACCAGGAGACGAGATGGCAAAAATGAGGGACAAGAGATGTGCGAGTGAAAGAAGGGGACGCCCATACGAGCTCGAGGAAAGTACCGGCAACCGGTCAGGGTCGTTTGCGGCGGCCAAGCTGTTCCCGGATATATATTGCGGCGTACGACTGGCCTGCAGGAACCGTTTGGCGAGAAAGGGTGCACAAATGGGGCAAAGAGCCATCCCTCGGCATGCTCCGTCAGCGTCGCAAACAAAGACGACTAGGGTGCAGAAAGGGCTGAAGAGGCGGACGAACCAGAGCCGTGGACAGTGCAGAGAGGTCCACACGCCCATACGAGCAGACCAATGACAGGTTCATGTGCATCTGGATATCTCGAGACTCCACTTTTACGCATCCACCTTTCCGAGCTTATTTATGGAGGGCCGTTGCCGGTGCCTGCGCGAGATGCTGTTGCAATCTCGCGACGATCTGAACGGCTGAACAACCGTCTGACATGGTGTCATAGTGTCCTGCCTCTTCCTTCTACCAAGAACTTGGAGATTACGGAGGATGGGTATTTGGTCTATTTGTAGTTTTCTGGTGCCTGTGTTTTGTTTTTTTTTTTTTTTTTTTTTTTTTTTTTTTCCTAAAAAAACTCTCCCGTCCAGAGTCCTGTCGTCCATTGGCCCCCAAATATTGCTACAGAGTCTGGACGTGGCTGCTTGGCCACAACTGCTCCACCGTCTCACCGTCTCTCTGCCGTTGTCTTGGTGAGATGTGCGTCGTACCGCATGTCTGGAAACGTGCCCTGCCTGCTCGTATGGCTTGACTGCCCATACGTCGGCCAATGTCTCTCCAATGACTACAGAATTTGACGTTAAGATTACGATCACGGCGTGTATTCAAAATTATGTACCACACGGCACTTTGTCCATACGCGTGCATCTGCTCGTATGGTCCTTTCGTAGAAGCAGTGACGCCAAAATTATGCTTCACAGGGCGCCTCATGTAAAATCCATAAACATACGTGACCATCTGTATAAGTTTATCACTCTGGGGCCCCCATTGTCAACCTCTTTGCAAAAAGACATGGACGTACCGACTTCTTATCATCTTGATCAGACAACTTTCTCCTCGTCGACACTGAACATCTACGACTTCACCGCGTCGTCCACCTCGTCCACCCCTTCCATCCCTTCCATCCCTTCCACCTCCTCCATCTCCACCATCTCCACAAGCGACAATGACCTCCATAGCCGATACGTGCAAGGCGCTGACGACGCCCGACACGATGTGGTCGTTCTGTCCTAACATTGGCGCGTCCATCTTCTTCCTCGTGCTCTTCGCCATCGCCCTTGTCGCCCACGTCGGCCAGGCCCTCTATTACAAAAAGTTCTTCAACTATTGTTGGGTCATTGTCATGTCTGTGTTGTGGCAGCTCTTGACCTACATCTTTCGCACCATCAGCATCCAGACACCCGCCAGTTTCGGCGACTACGCCGCCTGGTTCGTCTTGATTCTGATTGCGCCGCTGTGGACGAATGCCTTTGCCTACATGGTCTTTGGCCGCCTCGTGTATAACTACACACCGGATCGCAAGCTGTGGGGGGTTCCAGCATCCAAGTTCGGCCTGCTGTTTGTGGTGCTGGACATTATTGCATTTGTCATCCAGGTCTACGGCGCGGCCACGGCGTCGGCCAACGGCATTCCCGAAGATGAGGTACTGCGGGATCTGCACGTCTACATGGGCGGCGTGGGTGTCCAGCTGCTGTTCATCTTGATTTGCAGCGTGTTTGGCATCAAGCTGTGGACTGTCATGCGCCGTGAAGCTCTGCAGTCCCCGCGCGTCCTCCGCCCGGCTCTGCTGTTGCTGTACGTCCAATTCGCCGTCTTGGCCCTCATCATCATCCGCATCATCTTCCGCATCGTCGAGTATGCGAGCGGCCTCAAGAGCAGCATCCCCAATCACGAGGCCTTTCAGTACGCCTTGGACACGCTGCCCATGTTTGTCGCCATTGTGTTGTACAACATTGTCCACCCAGGCAGCATCATGCGGGGACCCGAGACGGAGATGCCCTCGTCGTGGCGCTGCTGTTCTCGACGAAAGTAGGTGACAGGGGACAGGCTGGGGAAATATCCCTTCAAGTTCCTTTGCTTACTCATTTCCTTACCATTAGAGGATTTTTGCCGCTCGTTCCTGATTCCGTTCCTCGTTCCTTTCCTCTTGTTTAGTGGTTGAACTTTGATAACCATTATCGTGGTTTTTGAACATATCATCCCTTGATGGGCTGTCGAACCTCATAGACGGGGGCGTCCATAGACTGGTGTTTTGTAACTTTCTTTTGTGATATCAGCGTGGTGTCATTTCTACAGGACTTGGTAGATACCGTTTCTAATACACTTTGCTCGTTGTCAGTACTGCCAATCGCTAAAATAAAGTGACGTGTTGACACGGCCTTGCATCCTGCCGTTTTGCATGGCACGTTACTCAGCGTAATCCTACACTTTCTCCGTTACGACGTCTTGGGACGCCGCACTGTCGCCAGATCCAACAAGAACAACAGGGAACTGCACCAGCGAATCGCCGTCCAAGTATCCGTCTGTCACCGCGTACGACTCAAAATCCTTGCTGCTGATGGTTCCGGAGTAGCCACGGGGCTGCACTTGAGCCGGAAGAAGTACATTTGTAGCGTAATAGAAGGCGGCAGCCGAGAAGAAGGTGATGATCCAGCCCATCTTGTAGATGTGGGTGGCAGCCACACCAACCCACGTCGGATGGTATGATCCAATGAGGCCGGGAATACCAAACGTGGCAGCACAGACCCAGCAGACGACTGCTTTCAGATTCCAGCCCTTGATGTAGTAGTACAGCGATCCTGATGCCGGGCGGAAGAGTGAGGGCACGTGGATGTTACCGCGCTTGACAAAGTAGTAGTCCGTAATGACGATGCCGCAGAGAGGCGCAATGAAAATGTTGTAGCTGCCCAAAAAGGTAATGAAGCCGGCGCCGTCGGTGAGTAGTTTCCACGGCACAATGGCGAGCGAGATAATGCCGCAGAAGAGCTGACCGCGCACAATCTTGAAGACGCCCGAGTAAGGTCGGGTTGGTTGACGAGTAGGGCGGAGGTGACGCCGAGGCAGCTGTTGATGCCGTTGAGCATCGCCCAGCCGAGCGCTGAGCCGGTGACGAGGACGGCGGCGGAGACGCTATCAATCTTGAGACCGCCGCCATAGTGAACACACCAGGCAAAGACGCCGATACAGGCGAGGGGGCACAGAATAGACTCGGCCTTGTGGAGGCTTAGTACGGCTTTCTTGTACCACGTATTGATGTCCGTTGGTACTTACTGCAAACAAAAACTTAATCTTGGACGGGTGGAGGGCGAGAAAGGGCATCTCGAGCATCCAGAACAGGAAAAACGCCAGGATATCCCGGGACGTGATGCCCGCACTCTCTGGCAGGTGGTTCGCCAGGTCCCACCACGAGCCACCAAAAATGCACCGCAGCATGACGCTCCGCAGCTGGGACCCAAAGTAGCTTTGGACACCAAACCAGATGAAGGCTACGACAGCGCGGATCCACACAAAAAACAGGTGGCCGTTCATGCCAAAGACGCTGCGGGCCAGGACGGGGTAGCCAATGTGGTAGCGGGCACCAGGCCGGGCCAAGGCGAGGGCGACGGACGACGATACAGGATTGGCCAGGATGCAAGAAATCAAGGCCTGCCACCAGGTGAGGCCGACGGCGACGAGGGACGCGCCGTTGGACCACTGGCTGGCGTTGAAGGCATTGCCTCACCAGTAGCTGGTCAGGGAGATCCAGGACCAGGTGCGGGTGGCAGCCGGTGTCGGCGCCAAGTCCTTGTTGATCCATTGCGAGGACTTTGCTTCGCCGTCGCTGGTGCTGTGGACGGCCTTCCAGTCGGCACGGGACCGGGGGAAGGAGGCGGTGGGCATGTGCATTTTGACGGTCGGTGGAGGTCGACGGATTGCTGGGCGGCTGGCTCCTTTCGGTGGGTTTGACTGATGACTGGTAACTGTTGACTGTTGACTGTTGATTGTTGACTGACGATCATGGAATATCTCTCGAGACAACTCACTCTCTTATACACTCTTGTGCGTATGCATGCTGGCATGGCTATATCGCGTTGCGGATGCTGAAGAACTTATCAGATAGAGCAAGTGCCGAGATATCGGGTGCGCTACAACAGCAGATACTACATGGTGTGCGATACGAGGGACCGTTGTCTGCCGCCTCCCGGCTTACACGCTTCCCGGCTTGCACGGCTTACGCGCCGCTAAGCTACTCCCGGGCCCTCAGCCCGTTACACCTCCGGTACGTAGTCTAGTCTACTCGTCTCCAGGGCGAATTTTATCGTTGCACGTACTGCCTTCATGTCTGGTTTCCAGTCGTCTTAATCAGTCGCCTCCTTACCTCCGAGGAAGAAGGAGAGGTTGTCCACTTTCGATTCTCTTTGCTCCAGGAGTTTTTGTTTTTGGACCTGCCATTGCGGGCAGTGGAAGAGGAAGTGTTTGATGGTCTCTCTTGCTTGCCCGCACGCGCAGGTCTCCGTTCCTGCTGCTCCGATCTGGTGCAGGTATCCGTTGATGCGTGCCATACCCGTCCTCAACTGTGCCACGACGCGTGCTTCATTCGAGACTAGACATAAGTGCAGTCCGCGCAGGCTAACTGATACCGTAACATCCTGGCTGCACGTGCCGGCTCAGGCTGTGGATTCGGGTGACTAAGCCACTTGGCCTCAGGCACCGAATCCAGGGGCTTCCGCCCTACCTGTACACGCCTGGGATTCCAGCGCCATTTAGAAGAGAAAAAAAACAACAACGAATAGATTATGAATTGCTTCACTGATTGCTTCGCAACTGAGAGCTCTTTGTGAGCTTTCATCCTCTTGAGATCAAGGTGATTTAGCCGGCAGCTTCGAGCCCTGTTTTATCCCAAGAATTCGGGGCTGGAAGCCACACGGCATTCCGTTTGTGCTAGCCATATTTGTACTAGCTAGGCTGTTACCAATGCTTTGTGTGGCAGTCATGTGGTTTTACTGGCCCACCACACGTAGTGCCGACTTACGGGCTCTTCCAGGGTAGGGTACTCTAGGCCAGGGGCAATTTCCAGGGCTTCTATGGAACTGGCCCACACCCGAAAGTACATATGTGCCTCAGGCAACAAGCTTACTAATACACAGGATCCGCACCGTTGGTGAAATAGATGCAGCGGTCTAAACTAACCTCGCTTCGATGCGAGGGGCAGGATGCAAAAAGCCCTTAAATCTACGGAGTATGTTTGTTTTCATTTGCACCGCCTTATGGTTGTTGCCAGGCGTTCCTTCCTGCCTTTTGCCACCTTTAGCTGGCAGGTGCAGTTGACGCCCCAACACTAACCACCACATAGGCACACAGAGTCGTCCTAGTTTCTCTCCTTTTTTCGAACAATGCACTCAATAAGCTGATCCAACACTCAACACTTGGCCAAGTCTTCCGACGCCCAACATATTGGCAGACTAAACCACACCGAAACGCCCCTCTGCTATCAACGAAACAGCAACTATGTCTTCTAAACTCCCATCGTCAACTGTGGACAAGTCCTCCGCTGTGGACGACGCTCTGCTCGCCTCGTTTACGCCAGAGCAGAGGCTGTTCGTGGAGCGTATCAAGGCTGAAGCAGAAGCACGCGCAGAGCAGGAGAGGCGCGAGAAGGAGGCAGCAGAGGCACGCGCAGAGCAGGAGAGGCGTGAAAGACAGACGCTGCAGCAGCAGATGGATCCGACGGCCTTTGCTGAGTACCTGAGCCTCACCGACGAGCTCCTCTTCAAGACGTTTCGCCTGCCGCCACCATCGACAACCCTCAAGAGCTCGGGTATGACACGCGTCACCGGAAAGTTCTACCCGCGGCACTTACGCCCCTGGGCGAGCTTCGAGCACGATCACGCTGCCATGTTTGCTGTACTGGTAAACACTCTAGGCGATCGTCCTTTGTTTCCATCACTGACCGATGTGCTCGGCGTTGGTCGTGACGTCAGCCCAGGGCCGGCTGACGAGATGGATCTTCGGCCGTTTATCCGCGCGGCTATTGAGAAGCCGGCCGTGCGGGCCGTGTCTGCTTATCTGGAGATCACTGACGACGCTCGCCTGAGCAGGATCAACTTTCAAAACAATGCTGCTGGACTCGATCTCGCCGGGCCTTTTTTAGAACAGCAGCAGGTCGATGAGGAGACACAACCCCCACCGGCAAAACGGCAGCGATCCGCTACGAAGGATATTGGGATACCCGACCGCTGGTGTGTGGGCTTCCACCGCGACCAAAGCCGCACGCACCTGCTAGTGGGCGAATACAAGGCTGCCCATAAACTACACCCGAAAAAGCTCGCCGCCGTATTAGTGACTGTACCTCCGGGCGAGGATTTTTTTACCCAGGTTATTACGAGTAAAGAAAAGGACGACGAAAAGGACGAAAAGGACGACGGGGATACCGTGGCAGATACGCAGCCTGAGACGCAACCTGGGACGCAACCTGGGACGCAGCCCAGGACACAGCCTGAGACATCTACGAAATCTACAGTCGACCGCCAACGCAAGATCGTACCCGGATCGGCCCTGGTTGCTCGGGTTCTCTGCCAGGCCTACCACTACATGATTACATCTGGTCTTGAATACGGGTATGTAGCGTCCGGTGAAGGTCTTGTGTTTTTACGCGTCCTGGAAAACGAACCCGACACACTGTTCTATTTTGTCCTCCACGTCAGCCAAGAAGAAGAGCCCGCGCCAGAGCAGAATGAACCACCTCCGGTCCGTCAACCACACCAGACAGCCGCAGCACATCTCGCCAGCATGTGCATGCTTGCCACCCGGTCGACAACACGGCCCCGGAGCTGGATTGATGCACGCAAAGACGATCTGAAGGCGTGGCCGGAGCTGTATGATGCAAGCGTGCCTCCGTTGGCTCCGGCGGTGCACCCTCCACGCGGCGATCCGAACCCACCGAGAGGAGGTGGTGGAGGAAGTAGGAGTGGAGGAGGCAGCGGCCGTGGCGGCGGTAGTGGTGGCGGCGGCAACAGAAGACCGAGTGGCAGTGCCCCAAAACAACCGCGCCCCCCCTCTGGTTCTTCATATCGTGGACAAGCGACACAAACAGCGCCCACCCAGTTTATCGTTGAGCTGCCAACCCTACCTTACTGCACCCAGGCATGTCTTGTCGGTCTTTGTAACGGCGCCCCGCTTGACCGCAACTGTCCGAATGTGGCGCATCACCGCGAAGCCGTGGTGTCATCTCCGTCGAACAGCACCCGCCAGGACCACCATCCGCTGACGGCGGCCAATGTGTGCTCGCGCATCGTGGCCCAACTTGCGGAAAACATGGACAAAGACTGCGAGTGTCTCGACCGCTGGGGCTGCTACGGACGCTACGGCGTGCTCTTTAAGATTACCGTTACTGGGTTCGGTTACACGCTCGTCGCAAAGGGAGTCCAGGCCGTGCACAGCTACATCCTCGAACGCGAGGCCAACGTCTACCTCACACTCGCGGACAGGGACGCGAATGTACAGGGCCGCCTTATTCCTGTGTTTGTTGGCCTTGCTGAGCTGTCGCGACCCCTACCGCTCCACAGCTGTGCGAGCGTGGCTCGGCTCATACTGTTATCATACGCAGGGCCGACGCTGGCGTCACCAGGGATGCTAAAGAGACTACAGGCCGCTGGCGTGGACTGCGAGGCAGAGGAGGCGCGCACTACGTCTGAGCTCGCCGTTATCGGGCTCAGAAACAAGGACGTGCGGCCCGAAAATCTGACATGGAATGCCGAGGCCGGCCGCGTCATGGAAATTGACTTTGACCAAGCATGGGTCAATCCGAAAAAGCCAACAAAGCCAACAACGCCCGAGACGGAGTGCACGAGGATGAACATGCCGAGGTCACCGCTCACCAAGCGAACCTATAGCACGTGCGGCGTGCAGCCACAGCTGAAAAAGGTGCGGCATACGGAGGCGGATAAAGGGGCTTGATTCAATTGTGATAAATCGCCTAAAGGTGTAGACTGTTTATATATTATTTTACCAGGTCGAGGGCTTTAGGACGCTATGGGAGACTAGATTGACGAACCAAGTCGCTAGCTTCGTTGATTTTTAACTGGTTATCTATGTATAGAGGTGCGAGAGTATTGTTTAGGGGGACTCGTGAAAAATGGGAAGGCGGCGAGTGTGTTAAGCTGTGGAATAAGAAATGGCAAATTAAGAAAAGAGAATAAAATAAAAAAGACGGGCGTTTAAAAAAGCAGAAAACAATACAGTAAATGAGTATGTATTAAGCGGCCTGGCGTGGAAGCCAACCGCTTACACGAGGGAGGCAGCAGAAAATGCGGGGAGCGCAGGCCAGCCTAGATAGATAAGCCGGCGCTCTTATGATGTAAGAGTGAAGTTATATCGATCTAAGGTGAAGCAAGAGTGGTACTAATCGTTCGACCAAGCGGTGGCCCCGTTCAGGGTCTTTGGCACCAGCGACAGATCCCAGCCGGTCAAACATCGGGTTATCATTACCCGGCACGACCCAAGATGCCAAGGGTTTTGTAACAACAATACTTACACGAGGCCTGCTAGATGCAAACGGCTCCCTCGTGCTGACAGATGACCACGACGTAACAGTGTGCACGAACAGGCCTTAATGTGTTAACTGCCTCGGACCCCACTAAGTAGACTAGAAGCTATTTATCTGGTTAAACCGACCATCGCCCATAGACAGGCACAGCGTCTAACACACACGCACTTAAAAAGCATACGTAGAAGGAACCTAAGAGCCTGTATAGCCATCGGGTAAGAGCAGGCACAACAGCCCAGCCCACCCACTCCCTTAACACTTACCCGCCAACTAACCCCAGCATCTACGGTAAAGACCGTGTCCGACCCAGGTGAAGACGCAAACGACAGTATTCGCGTGAACGCGGAAGAGCCAACCGGGATAGACATAAACGAAACGGCGGAGATCCTGTTACACCTTACGGAAAAAAGAAAGACGGACGGCCGGTTTAACGAGCCGCCCGTCGTTAAATCCACAACGCTTCGACCTGTTAGAGTCTGTAAACCCACCTACAAAGCTGCCCACAACACCCTAAAGGAGGTAGATACAACTCGATATATCCCCCCCTCACCTTATGCCTAGACGGCCTAGGGGTACCTTACTTTGAACACGATACGACGGCGTCCCGTCGTGACCTACAGGTAGTGTGGGCTAACACCTAGAAGTCGCCTACAGCCTATAGCGGATTGCTCTCGTTATGCCAGCGGGAGGACATAGACGTTATACATATGTAAGAGCCTTATGTTTTTATACCCTCCCGGACCTAGAACCACTTACGACATCTTTACCCCAGTATAAACATGGAAGGAAAACGTTACTCTCACCTAAGACCGCCCGCGTGTACTCTCATATATGCGGAGGCGGCCTGCGCTAATGGCGGAGCAGCCCCCAGGAAGTGATTCGCGTGACCTTTTGCGGCTGCGAGTCAACAACATTAATATACTTAATGTTTACCGATAGCCGGAAGAGGACAGCGCTCTCGACTACATCACGAGACTGGCTGTCCCTAAAAGGTTCCTCCTCGGAGGGGACTTTAATGTCAATTATTCCCGCTTTAAACCGAACACTGGCCCTGTAAACGGCGACGACCGCCTCGTGCGCTGGGCGGACGAACAAGGACTTAGGTTTATCGGCCAAGTAAAAGAAGCCATTTATAACACAGGCCACGTCCTTGACCTGACGTTTAATAACCTACCCTTCGCTACCATAAAAGTGTGCCTTAACATAAACTCTGGCTCCGACCACCGAACTCTTGTCACCACCATACCCCAGATCCGAGAGACGCCCGGCTCAGCCCCGGGAATCAGGGTCTCCGACGACAATCTGCCAGTTTCTGCAAGGCTCGTCGGGGGTTACGCATAAGAGCTGCCAGCCATTAGATCCGCCCTAACCGATACGCGTATCGAGGAGACGGCAGAGTCCTTAAGGCGGGTCTTAACAAAGGCTATCGAGTCCGCGGGCACAACAAAGCGCTAAAGCGGCAGAGCTGCACCGTGGTGGACAGCAGCCTGCCAAAAGGCACATAAAGCCTACACAACAGCCTTCAACAGGCCAGGCGAGGCTGCGTCTCTCGAGACGAGGCCGATGCCGCTCGACGAGCTTTCCAAACCACGACAAGGCTAGACGACGACCTGCCCGAGGACCCTTTAAAAGACGAGACAAAAACCCCTGACCATCTACCATGGAGCCGGGAGAGAGCCGGGAGATCGGCATAGAAGAAGTGGAGGCAAACACGACCGGGGTCAGCACGACCTCCCCAGGCACGGATAGAGTCTCCGTACGACTGTTGAGAGCAGCGTGGCCACACATAGATGCATACATACACACGTTGTACCGGGCATGTGTCCAAAACGGATACTACCTAAAGGTATGGCGGGAGGTAAAGGTTGTCATGCTCCCGAAGGGAGGCAAAGACCTATCCACTCCACGAGCGTGGCGACCAATAGCGCTGATCTCGTGCGTGGCCAAGGGCCTGGAGAGGCTGCTCGCGAAACGTTTACGAGTATAAATATTAGGTATGATGCCGTTAGGAACCGAATAGCGAGCATGACAATAGGCTTTGATTCATAAGTAGGTCTGGTAATAAACAAAGACTAATTCTTACTTCCTGATTCTATCCAGGAAGTGGGTGCCTGTTAGGTTTAACACCGGATTAGGTAGGAAGAGATAAAAAATCACTATCGCGATAAAGAAAAGGGGATTGTTGATAAGATCGAGCAAGCAGTAGATTATTGTCAAGACTGAATCTTGGGGGATTCAGCAGTCCCTCGTTAGGGGCCGGGCTTTTCTAATATAGTAAAACCAGTGCTTTCCTCACTAAGCACTTAGGGCACCACCCTACGTGATAACTTATATAATAGATAAGAGAGGGGTCGTAACAGTGCCTCTCAGTATATAAAGTATGCCTTATAAAAGAGGAACGTGGTAAAGTGCTGAACAAAGCAACGTTAATATATACCACTATAAGAGTTGGTTTATTATCGTAAAGGAAGATTAAGAAGCCTACATTCGAATATAAGAGGAAGAGGGTAAAAAAGTTCTATCTTAAGGTACCATAAAGAAGTTTTAAGAGCCGCCTCCTATTGGTCCGTTTCGGCCCGTTTTTTCCTGAATACGCTCCGTTCATTGGTTGTTTAAAGACTTTGCGGATTGTTATAGTTTAATTAGTCCGTCACGTTAACGGCCCTTAGTTTTTCGTTTATTTAAACCTTTTTATTCGTTAAAATCGTTTTTTTACTCTACTTTTTCGTTAGTTTTTAACACGAAATCGATTTGATTCGTTAAAGGGGGGTTTATAGGTATAATGTTATAAGTCCGGTTTATTTTTAACCTTCGTGTTTTTTATCGCGTTTTCGTATTTAAATTAAGTTTATTTATATTCGTACTTTAATATTATTAATTATTACTAATTATTTTTATTAATTATATTTTACTTATCGTTTATTTTATACCGTTTATAATAAAGAACGTTTTTATATTTTCTCCGTAAATATATTTTACGTGTAAATACACCCTTTTTATTACTTTTTTCGTAAAGGAACGGTTAAATATTAAACCGTATCGGACTTATAAAGATTATACTATTATTTTAAGGAATTAACGTATTCGAGGTTTTTTTTTAAACCGTTTTAATCGATATACGGAAGTGTATACGTTATAAAAAAACCTTTTTAATTATTTCTTTTATTAACCGTATTAATAAACGGTCGTAATAAACTTATTTTAATTATAAAGGTGTTAAAAAAGAACGTATTACTTTTATTTTTATTATTAATAATACTTTATAATTTCTTTTTTTTACCGTAATAAGTGTTTCTTTTCATAATATTAATATAATAAATATATTTTAACTAGTTTTAACCGGTCCTTTATTATAACGTTTTATTTTTAACTTTAAAATCTATTAAAATCCCGTCCTTTTTATAATACCGTAATAACCGTAACAATTATTTTCTTCCTTTTTTACTCTTACTACTTTTTCTTTTATTTTCCTTTTTTATTTACTTTTTTCCCGACGTATTTTATAACCGTAATAGTTAAAACGGGTTTCTTTATTTTATTTCTCGATATTTTCGGTCCTTTTTATCTCCTCCCGAGTCGTATAATAGTCGTTATAACCTTTTTCGTCTTTATTTTTAAATACCTCTTTAATCTCCTTAATACCGTAATAAACGAACTCACTACTTTTACGGACTATTTCACTAATACTAGTAATTATTACGCCCTTACCGTACTACCCGTCTCGTTAAGTTTTACTTTTAATAACGTTTCGGCCCGTATTTAACTTTTAAAATGTTATAACCGATTCGTGACCGAAGGCCACGAATCAGGTGACTAGGTTTACATAATAGGGCGCGGTGTGGCTGGTCCCCAACCACACGCTAACGCCACGTTAGTGAAAAGCCTTTTCTCTTTAAATAAGAGGTCTCCTTTCTTCCCACCGGGAAGAAGGGGTAAGAATTAGTCTTTATTATAATATATATTTACTTTCGTCCTCGAAACTAATATTTTTTATTAATTAATTTATTATAAAGACCTATTTTATAATTACTTATAATAATTTTAATTCTTTTTTTACGGATACCTTTTTATAATAGTTAAAAGAAGAGAAACGATAAACTTACCCTTTATCGGGTCGAGTCGAGTTATACGTTTATGTTTATAAGGTTTTACGAGTCTTTCGTAAGTAAACGTCGACTTTATTCTCGAAAACCTTAACTTATAATTAACGGTCGAAGACCCGACCGAATCTTCGGGTATTAAAGTAGTAATAATAATACCGATTAATAGTAAAAAGGGAGAAGAAAACGGTAGGATTAGTACTACTACGAAAGAATAAGTAAAAAAGAAAAACGACGAAGAAAAGACGTTTAAAAAAAGGTTAGTAACGTTTAAAAAAAACGAGTTTTTAAAGAAAAGATCGTAGTTTTAA